CAAGGCCCTAGCAGTAGCAAATACTCGAGCTGCAGGCTTAGAGGCAGAAAAAAGACGCCTTGAGCAGCAAGTAGAGGATGCTAGCCCTCAGCAGCCTCGAAAGCGCGTTCAACAAGATCCAAATCTACGCTTTACAGAGGTAGATAGTATCAGGGAGGCTATGCATGCAGCTGAGGTTTTGGCTGCTCAACATAGTAGATCTACTGTATCAAGTGCTAGAGAGAAAGCTGCAGTAGTTACTGCAGCTATAGCGCTTGAATCTATGTGTACTCAATGGCAATTAAATTAACTATTGGTGGAGATATCGCATGTTCTGTGCAGGTGTCGCGTTTTGCCAAGGTGTTCCGAAACCCGAGGTGTTCGGTATCCATATGCACTAGCTTAGTTATGATAATTATAAATTACACTGCTTAGCGTGACGATATATTACTACGCTACTGTCCACGCCTAGGCCATGCGCAGAACTCGCTTAGAATTTAGGAGCTAACTAGGGTGGCAATACCGCAAATCTCCGCATCCCCTAGTAGTTATAAGGCTGATAAAAGCTAGCTATTACGAGTGAGAGATTCTATATAACTGTCCGATTACATGGTCATCTGCGAGGTGGCTGGCGCACCTGTACCTGTCCCGAAACAGTGTTCTCCCTTGCTTGGCATGCATTCAACAAGAACACAAGAAAAACATGTAGAAGCGCGATCAATCACTCAATCAATCAATCATCACCTTTTCATCAGATACTTAACGATCATCATCACGCGATTATCTGACAATAACCGTGTTGTACCTTTAGTAATCTAAAAACCCCAGACAGCTGCGCCTGCACGTCAGCTGCTCGGCGATAAGAATCTCGTCCAACAGGGCTGCTAATGTTTGACTAGGTAGGAAGGCTAGCACTTAACTGTAATTTTTGTATTGCAAGGGCGGAATATGTCAATTAGACTATAAAAAATAGTATTTCCCCCTAAAACAAGAAGTGATGAGTGTGCTGCGAGCTCTATTAAAACTTTAATCCAGAAATTCCCTGATTGGTTCGCGACACTGTGTGATTCGCGACGCAGTGTGGGACCTTAGCAATGAGCGGAGAGATCGTCATTGGACTGTTGAAGATCTCTGTACGTCATCGGTCCTCCTTTCCCATTTGGGATACCTATGGTATCAGGCAACAACCATCCAGACAATGGCAAATTGTTCGCAGCGTCGCAACCAAGCATCTCTCGCATAACTCATAATGACTACTCGGAGTTACACGCAGAAGGATTTCCTCCACAGTTACGAGTTCCCGTTGCGCCCCGTGCAGGACTTCACCTTAAACGGTACCCCGGCGTCACACGCGCCTGAACACCCACAGGAATGGGGCCAAGAAAAGGATGGGTTTGATTATTGGAAGGATTTTGAACAGCATTTTGGCAGCAAGTCATCGCAGAGGTTTGGTGAGACTGTTAGTGTTACCTTCGCTGCTCTGTGAGGATATCCCCTCAGATCAAGTCTACTAACGGTTGAGCAGGCCCACAGGAGTATTGATACTGCCCTAAGTCCGGACAACAAGCTGCTCGCTATCAGCTCAGCTTCTCCCGAGGGGATCCTGATATACGACGTTGTGACAAAGGAACTGCGCCAAACACTTGAGGGCTGCGGTACATTAGGCTTCTGGCCTCGAGCGGCAAAGCATAACGTAGAGGCTGGAGGAAGAGCCGCGACTGATGCTGTTGGAGGAAACCCAGCATATATTCTGATCAGCAACTTCTCAACAGGCGAGCCACGTCCGCAGCCATACGCCGGGCTGATAGTGTGGGAGCTCGACTCCAATGGACGTTTGTTCGTGGAAGAAGAATCTATCAACCCTCCCGCCATCGCCACGAAAGCAATCGAAGCTATCATGCCTGAGTTGGAATCAGAGCATGAATGGACGCGAGCCTTTGTGAACGCTTCTGCCCTGCATGCTGATTTTGTCAAAGCCCTGGAGAAGACCTCCGCCGACCATCGCAGGAGGAACAATAGCGTGATCCAGAATGCGCAAATACCCAGTTTTGTCCAGAATCCATTCAGCTACGACGGCAAGTTGGTTTTATATGTTACCAACAATCAAACCACGCAACACGGCATGCGTGACCCAGATAATCTCCCACACGTGGTTGTGTATAACGTCGATGCAGGTCGGGAAGTTCATCGCTTCAGAGGACACACGGATATGGTGGCATGGGCTGGCTTCAGCCCTGATGGTCGATATGTTGCATCTGTGTCCTGGGATGGTACACTGCGCATGTACTCGACCGAGACCGGAGAACTAGAATGGGCAACCGCAGACGCAGTTGGCCAGAGCTGGAGCGGCGCCTTCTCGCCAGACTCGACACACATTGTGTGGAGCTCCCGTAGCGGAAGAGAGATCAAGGCTCATCAAGTCTCCAATGGGAGGGTAGTGTCTACGTTTCCTGAGACTGTGAATCACTGGTGCCGCCACTTCTCGTGGCATCCCACCAACCAGCAGATTGTTTTGTGCGCCGACAAGACAGTGTATGTCTGGCAGCCATTTGGCGGTCCAGGGGGACTCGTGGTGCAGCATATGGTGATAGATGGCGGCGACTGTTTCCCCCGAATGGCGTCAATACAGAACGTATTCTGGATGGACGATGGGAGACTACTGACAATGAGGATATCAGACAGGACAACCTTAGTCTACGACACGCGTACGAACGCGAAGGAGGTCTTCAAAAGACCCAGAGGTGTGGATGCTGCCGACGTCAGGTCGGGCTTCTATGAGCTGCCCAAAGAAGAGGGAGGGAAGTCATCATATCTCAGCGTCGATGGAGACGGGAAGGTAAGGTACTGGGACAGATGCGTCGCACCGACACCAGATGTACAGTCCGAAGGAGAAAGTCCGGTTGAAGCATTGATATTGGAGAATCGCTCTAAGCAGCCCAAGGAAGCCCCAAAGAACGGAAAATTTGGGGCTGTCATGCGTAAGATCAGCGAGCAGATTAGAGACATGGACGGGCAAGACCCAGCCACGACGAGCGACCAGGAGAGGGAAGCTTGGGTCCAGAAGGGTACTGGTATCTGGACTGCTGAATAGCCGTTTTAATTTCCTATTTGGTTATAGTTGCTGTAACAGAGAATAAAGAAATGGACTGTGCCATATTGCTGGGCTCCAATACGTGGGAACCAGTCCAGGCTAATGTGAATGAACCTACTCCCTAGCCCATGTAGGAAGTCACGTGTACTCGAACCATGCTGACCATGTTGACAAACAAGAACCATCGCTTGCGGCTGAATGAGTGAGCCGTTCCAGGCACTACTTGAGCGATACAGATCATGCTGGCAGATGCCTTGGAAGATTGCGAAGAACTTGCTCGGTGCGGGCAAGTTCGATGCACGTGCGATAAACGCACTGGCCAAGGTCTCTTTTAGCCAGAGTCCGAAGAACGTTTCCAAATATCAAAAGTCCGAATTCCATCTCTCGTTTCACGTCTCCAAGTACCACACCCGGGCCGACCTATTTCTCCAATCGAACGATTAATGGCGTGTTTCGAACGTGAGCGCGTGGACCCTTACGGTCGGGTAAACCCTCGTGATCGCTTACCTTACGAGAGAGACCCCGCTCGATGCCAGTCGAAGTTGCTCACACCAGCTGGCAGCTTGTCGTATGGTGACAACGCCACACCATGTGTGACGATGGACGACGATGGCATTGCCTCAGAAACAAGTCTACCAACCGAGCTTGGCTGAGCTTGCAGGCGGTTAGCGTCTTGGGTTGCTGTGCGAAGAACCTTTACCGGGTATCAGCCTTTCGGTGTTGGCAGGCGGTGCGAGCCGCCAGGACTGGCATGTGAAAGGAGCTCCATGCCCCAAGGATTGCACGCCTCCGCCGCGCTCCACCAGTTCAACGTATTTACGAGGGCTGTCCGCGATCTTTTCTGTTCTTCTCCCGCCCCCTGTTTCTCCTGTAAATCTTTCCCGTTGCCGTCTCGTCGTCATCTACTTCCAACCCTGCCCATCCAGTACCACGGGACGATGTTTACGTGCACCTGACGGTGCCAAGCACTCCCGCTGCTTTCCAAGACGTCGCGTCCCAGGCTAGCCTGTTGCATCGATTGGCGAGCGAAATGGCGGGTCATGCCGAGCCATCTCGACTCGCGCTGAGACAAGCCCATTGGCACACCGCACAGGGAACGTGGTCCCCGTACCCACCAGAGACAAAGAGCGTTGTTGACATCGATGGTCTAGAGCACACGAGGGCATGCTCGGATCCAGTTCCCCAGTTTCAACCACGACAACAATTGACGTGTGCGACGCTGCGCCACAGCGGACCAACGCCAGCTGCAAACGACAGTACTCGTCCGACGGTGCCCGCGGGGAACACAACACGCAGGACCTCCGAGCCGCTTACAAGGTCGGTAACAGGCAACACACGCGGTGACTCAGATGGAGCGCGTGCAGCTATTGGTAAACCTTCGCTGGTACATGTTGTCAGCACAGCCCCAAAGCCGTTCAGCGAGTCGTCCGTGGGGCCCAGTTCGACGGCGCATGCCCAGACCCTTACTCTATCGCCATCACCTGGCTCAATGCAGATCGCGCTAAAACCCCGCCTTTCACACCAGCATACACCTATCCCCACCCGGCACGTTACCAGCACCGCTTCTCATAAATCTGCTGTCCGCCACACAAAATCGCCCAGTTTCCCCAGACTCACGATAAACATCCCTCAGACACAGAGCGAACACGGACACTTCGTCATCGACATGGCTACGTCACAAGAATCTCCACCAACAAAAAAGACGTCACTGCCTGGCGAGAAACGTGTTACTTTCTCCAAAGAACAACCAGACATCATCCCACAGCCCTCAAAACGACGCCAATCGTCTGTAAACCAGCGACCGTCATGGAGCAATGTCTTTCTTCTTCGCGATTCGAAAGTGCGCGACGACGTTGCAGCGAGAAGTAGGAGCCTATCGCCTGGACCGTCGATATTGAAAGAAGTCAGCGCGTTCAAGTCGGACGTAACGGACGCAGAGCTGAAGCAAGATGAGCATGGCAACGAGAGGAAGGTTCACATCAAACCTTTGTGGGAGAAGGATCTCAAGCGGCTGCCACGAGGCCGCCAGAAGACCAACGCCCTGCCTATTCCCCAAGCAAAGGTTTCACGCAACGCCAGTCCCAGAGCCTTCAGTCCCGAGGATGCAAGCCCGCGGGACGTCAGCCCAACGAGTATGTCTGCACGATGGGCAAGCCCACGAGAGGATACGTTCGATAAGGCTGCCACCTCACCTCACTCGATCGTCGTGCACCCGCCGTCACCGCCCGAGTCAGAGGACGAGGACGAAGATGTCATCGAAGAAGAGTCTGACGAATCGCCATCGCCGCGGCACTCGCGAAATTCATCCATCGAAGAAGTCGAGGCTACGCACAATCGCTTCGGCAACATGAAGATCGACATCGACGGCTCATCACATGCCCACCGGCACGAGAAGCGCAAAGACTCGGGCGACTCTCGCAAGGACTCTCAGGACTCCCGCAAGGACTCCCAGGACTGGCGCGAGTCCCGCAAATCGTCGTACGGTCACCGCCGAGGCTCCCAGGCATCACGCAAGGACTCAGACCAGAGCGACAAAGATTCGGATAGACCGCCTCCTCCCCGCCGGCGCTCGTCCAGCGCGGACCAGGCTGAGATGTGGCTGCGGAAGTCGTCGATTTACGGCGTGCGTTCCAAGGCGCCGCGGCTGCCTACACGACTGGGCAGCCTCAGGGCGTAGAAACATTCACACGACTGTTTTTGGTGCTACGGCATTCAATGTACTCTAGCTTTCGAAGAGTTTGATCAACCTGTACTATAGCGATGCATCTGGACCGTGCGAGGGAGCGCGTCCACGACGTTACGACTTGTTATGACTTGTATGCATGGGTTTGGGTCGGTTTGGAATATGTAGCGCAGACAGCCAGCTACAACGCATATATGAATCAACACAACTACGAGACTAACCTCGAATGAAACTTGCTCTTGCATCTGTGATGGTGGAGGGCATTCCGCGTGCGCACTTGATGCGTCCGCGAGCGCACTCGATGTCACGAACCCCCAATACAGATCCCACGTGCACATGAACGCCGCAGACGTACCTAGTGCTGATGCGCACCTTACAGCACGCAGCGGCAGCGCTTAGTCTGCCGCCCACCAGCCACACGCCCACCAGCCCTCTTGCAGACACCACATTCAGTCATGATGAGCTGAGCGGGCATCAGACAAACTGTTGAGCTGCGGAGCAGCAGTCGTGATTCGGCGCCGCGTACGTCCCAGATAACGGGGGCCCAGCGTAGTGGGGTGGAATGGAGGGGTTGGCATTGACACAGCCTCCACGCGACCTCTGCGTGCCAGCGTCTCTTTGCTGGGCAGACAGGGAACATGCGTGGTTTGATCCAGCATGGCCTTGGCGGCGGTATTGCTTGTTCATTCTTACCTTGTTTGAGCGAGCGCCGCGAGGGGGAAATATCGGGGCGTACAGCGGCTGGAGGAGCGGCTGGATGGGCGAGTGTGTGTGGGGAGCTGCATGGCTGCTTTGCGTGGTTTATTCCGCTGTTATGTGCGCGGTTGCTTGGTAGCTTGGTAGGGGCTGTGCAGCGGAAGTTGGATTGAGTAGCAGAGGAGCTAAGGTAGTGTTGCTGGTTATTGATAGTGCTCCCCTGGGTGGAGTGCTAATCGGCGTACTGGTAGATACGCGGTAGTCGAAACATAGTTCGGGAAGTGGAGACGCACAGCTTGCGTAGCGCGGCATTGTCAGACGCTCCTGCGGCTCTGCGTCGTTCTACTGCGTATAGGTCCTTGGTCCAGGCTGTGCATCAGCGTTTGGGATCTTGGGAATGACGGAGATCAGAGGCGAGGTCCTGAAATGTGGAGTCACTGATCACGGAAACCGAAAACCGTTGGTCCGAGTGCGTGGTTTTCTCCCTCTTTGATCGGCGAGGTAGTGTGATTTATGCGACCATGTAGACGTTTGTCGAGACTTTGTCATTCTGAGCCATGACTGGAGCAAGACCTCTAGTATCGTGCGGAACCCTGCGCTACGAGCGGATCCTTACTCTACGCCGCCTGGCGTGTATCATGTCGTGTAAGAAATGTCACGTAGGCTGTGCGGTGAAGCGGCGGTGGAAAGGAAGTGGTACTGCACCAGTGTGTTATCCGAACAACTGACTCTTGTCAAGTCGGCAAGGGACTACCGAGAGTCACGAAGCCCCTCACGAGGAGTCACAAACCCATCATTCATATCCAACATGAAACTGTCTTTAGCCTCAAGAAAATAGTCATCAAAAGTTTGCTTTTGGCCGACCCTTCTCGCAGTTGAGTAGTGGGAATTTAAGTGCCATGAGAAAGGAAAGCAGTCCTTCTAGTCGACCGAGTATAGGCATCCGTTTCAGCATGTGCATTTTTTCATGCACGGGGGCCATTGCGAGCGATATGTGTAGCGAACTCATGGCCACCACCCCGAGGAACTTTTCATTAGAGTCTACAGAACCGAACCTGCACTCGCCGCAACAGTCAGCCGCACGCTGCCATGCTCGCTATGTACTCCAAGGGATTGATGATCCCCTAAGCCCCAGCAATATCAAGTTTCCCGCATGGCTCAAGTCCACATCATCGCGTGCCAAAGTCTCAATCAAAGTCTGAGAATCGTACCCAGCACACTCGTCACCCACCATCGCGCTCTCATGCCACATGCCTTACCCATGCAATCATCCACATCAATCCTCACCCTCCTCACGCCCTATCGTGACCACCACCCATCCCCTCTCCAACCCTCACAGTCCTTCACTCACCCGTCTCTTAGCCAGCAGATCGCTAATCCGCTGCCCACTCGGCGTAAAGACGCGACCAGCTCGTGCTTCATTCTCCAAATGCGCATCGATCTCCTTGTCTAGCTTGCTCACCATCTCCTTGCTCGGCGTGCGGACCGCGCCGCGATCCAGCGCCTTCATGCTACCTTTGCCGCGAGGTAGAGGCGTGCGCGGCGCGGCGGACGCAAGGGCGCGGACTTTGGGGTTCTTGAGTGGGGAGCTGGGTTTCTTGGTGGATTGGGCAGGCACATCTTTGCGCTTCCATGGAAGGAGGTGTGTAGTTTGCGGTGATCGGGAAGCAGAGGGTGATCCTGGTGGCGTGTAGGTTTCCTTATCCTCCTTGTTTTGCTCCAGCTTCCCCTTCCCCTTCTTCGCGCTGGTGGCCGTAGGACGCATGAAGCCCATCCTGCTTTTTGAGCGTTCTTGCGTCGTCTTGACTGTTGTCTTTGTAATCACCTTCGCGTTTGTCTGCATGGATGGCTTCTTCTCCGCTGACGTACTGTTCCAATCCTCGACTTGCTTCGCGATGTCTTCGGCACTTGCAAAACCCACTGTCTCGCCCTTCTTCTCGGAAGCGCGCGCGTACCGGGCGCGATGTGAGGCCATGGCGGGGACGCGGCTGGGCGAGCGTACGTCGAAAGGCGATATGCGAGGGGCTTGGGGGATGGTACCAGGTGTCCTGAGCGGCGTCTTGGGCTTAGTAGGAGAAGGGCGAGGCAGCCGCGAATGTATTGGTGACCGGGGCCCTGCCTTATTCTTTGGTCGCAAGGTAAGCGGTGCGGGTGCTGCCTTCTTCGAGCGTGTTGAAGGCTTGATACTATTTTTTACCGCTGCCATACGCTCGTTCAGGTTGCGACGAGGCGTGCTGTCAATATTCGTTGCGTCTGTCGCGAAAGGGAGGTCTGGGGGGCTTCTACCCTTTGTTCTTGAGCCCAGCCAACGTGTCATGTCGGGACTGACAGGCGCAGATGTGTAGCCATCGCCCAACGATCGGCGGAGGGTGCTGCGTATATCGTTCATGTCTGCTTCTATGGCCGCCATGATGGCCGGGGGAGTGCCAGTGGGTGTACGCGGTGTACCAGCGAATGCCACTCGTCGGTGTGTCCCATTTTTGCGGGATTCAGTGGGCGATGGCTCTGAAGAGCCCTTATCCTTTTCACTAACTGCTCTATTGACGAAATCTTTGGTCACCGGCACGATCGCATCTGTCGTCAGAGACCGAAACATGAAGCTCGGCTTCGCAATCACACCATCAAGGGATTGCACATGCATCTCGGAATTCCGTCGTGCCTTATCTAGGACTGTCGGGCTGGCGAACCGTTTCTCTGGCGCTTCTTCGTATAAGCTTGAGCGTTTCTGCAGTGCAGTCTGGCTCGAGTTCCTCAACATCTCACCAAAGTTAGTCGGTACCATAGATGTCGACTGCTTTCTTGGTACTGCGGTCGCTTGGGTCCCATTCACGTTCAGCCCTTCTTGGTACTCAAGAGACGCTGATGAATGGGAGAGAGCTTCCACACTCGTTACACGTTCACCATCGTGCGGGTCCTTTTCTTTCACCTGAGATTCGACCCCACCAACCTCCGACGTCAACAGGGATTTCAACAGCAATCCTGTCCATACATCTTCCTTCGTGACTTCCACAGTCGCCATGCCGGCATGCACACTATTAGTCTTCGTCAACTTCAATGAGTTGCGCTTCTTGTGGCTCCGCGGGGTGGCATCCGCCGGAGTCGGCTCCGCTCCGTTCACGCCATTCACGCTACCGTCCTTCTCCGGACTCGTAGCCCGCGTTTTCAACAGCTCTTTTGGCGGGCTCGCAGATTTCGCTGGACTGTTGGCTCGCTTGGGGCTATTCTGTTTAGAAGGGGCGTCTGCAAAACCGAGCTTCTTCACCGGGGTCCAGGTCTTGGACTTGCTCGGCGTAGCGGCGCTGTCCTTCTTCGGCACGATCTTGCTCTCAGGTAGCTCGATGGTGTATCGGAAACCTGTTGGTGTTGCCTCGAAGCGTTCGTTCTTTCCTGGGGCGGGTGTTCGCTTGAGGGGGCTCGACGGACGACTGGATGGGCGGCTTCCTGGAGTCTTGACTGGGCTGGACGAGCGGCTTGGTTGTTTTTTGACACGAGTCGACGTGAGCATGGTAGAATTAATGATCTTGGTCCCCTTTGCAGCACTGTTTGAGGGCGCGGCCGCAGGACCGAGCGGAAAGTTCTTCGCGGAGCTCAACTGTCGACTTTGCGGCTGTATTGACAGCTTCACCGGAGAGCGGGGTTGTTGTGTATCTTCAGTCTCGGATGTCGTGGGCGTATCGCACCTCTCGGTTTCGACAACAACAACGTTCTCTTTGTCGTAGTAGTTCATTGTCGCGTCCCGCACCCCGGATTGACGCAGGGAAAGCGTCGTCGCAACAACAAGAGTCGAGGGAACCAGTGTTGACGACGCGGGTGATGCATCACCGGCAGGTTGCCCCGCACTATTGATATCGAGGGCGCGGAAGTGCGCACCGTCCACAGCGTTTAGTGTACGCATTGAGCGGGAGCTAATCGTTAGTGAATGAACGGCGTCATGTGATTAAAGCCGTTGAGAAGCGGCTCAAGCCAAACGACCCCACACAAACAAAGTGTAACATTTGTCGACGGGACTGCGAAGAGGCCTACTTTTCAACCCTCGAGTGTTGCGAAGGACATATTTGGCGGGGCGCGTGAAGGGTTTGTACGACAAACAACGTTGTGAGACAGCCACCGCATGCAGCATACCGCCTCGTTCTAGGAACGAGGTGGTACCAATAATAGACGAATGCAAAATTTTGCTTCAGAGTGCCGTAGAGATTGCTATCTATCTCGCAACGCAAGCAACGCTAGAATCGCCTCGATAATCCTTGCCTAGACATCGTAAGCAAGACGTCTATGATCAACCGGATCAGGTTAAGACCAGCTATGGCCCTTATCTACAACGCATCACATATACACATCAAGGTTCACTCCTCTGCGCTTATAGCTTCTCCTTCAAGCTAGACTTGAGTCTCCGCTCAACGGCATCTAAGTACTCGTTGGTCGTCACGTACGCGCTCCTCTCCTTCTTTCCGCACGCAAGTGCCAAATCCTTGGTCATGATGCTGTCAATATTGACAGCGTCCACGCATGCCTTCTCAAGCTGCTCCGCGAAGGTGACGAGCTCGGGTGTGCCATCGAGCTCACCGCGCTTGGAGAGACCCTGTGTCCATGCGTAGATAGAGGCGATGGGGTTGGTGGACGTCTCCTTGCCCTTCTGGTGTTCGCGGTAGTGGCGGGTGACGGTGCCGTGAGCAGCTTCAGCCTCGAAGGTCTTGCCATCGGGGGTGATGAGAACCGAGGTCATGAGACCTAGGGAACCGAAACCCTGGGCGACAATGTCGGACTGGACGTCTCCGTCGTAGTCTGGGATGGTCAGGATATGTCTTGCTGGATGCGGATTGCATTGACTTACTCTTCATGGCGATAATGTAACCGCCTTCGCTTTTGATCATCTGGGCGACCATGTCGTCAATGAGACGGTGCTCGTACCAGATGCCTTTAGCCTCGAAGTCCTTCTTGTACTGGGTATCATAGATCTCCTGGAACACATCCTTGAACTTGCCGTCGTACGCCTTCAAGATGGTGTTCTTGGTACTCATGTACAGCGGCAGCTTCTTGTCGAGCGCAAGCTTCATGGAGGCATGTGCGAAACCCGTGATTGACTCTGTGGTGTTGTACTGGGTCTGAGCGACACCTCCGCCCTCGGGGAAGTCGTAGACCTTGATCACCTCGGGCTTGCCGCCCTTGGGAGTGTATACCATCTCGAGGGTGCCCTCACCGGGGATAACGCGGTCCTTTGCGCGGTATTGGTCGCCGAAAGCATGACGGCCGATGATGATGGGCTGCTTCCAGCCGGGTACGAGACGGGGGATGGCGGGGATAACGATGGGTGCGCGGAAGACGGTTCCTCCTCTGCATGCGGTCAGTGGTGCGTTGCCTCCCATGTGCGAGCGGATGTCTTACAGGTGGTTTCGGATGGTGCCGTTGGGGGACAGCCACACTGTTGCTTTGTAAGTATAGTCCTTGCAAACGACGGTCGGTGCTGTACGTACTCTTCTTGAGCTTGAACTCTTCGACACGCTGCTCATCGGGCGTGATGGTTGCGCACTTGACACCAACCGAGTACTTCTTGATAGCCTCTGCGGCATCCAGCGTGACCTTGTCGTCGGTCTCATCGCGGTAGGGCAGGCCCAAGTCGTAGTACTTGAGGTCGATGTCCAGGTAGGGGTGGATGAAGCGGTCCTTGATCTCCTGCCAGATGATGCGCGTCATCTCGTCGCCGTCGAGCTCGACGATGGGGTTCTTGACCTTGATCTTCTTGATACCTGAGGACGCCATCCTGCGCTGCTGTGCAATATCGACGCTGCGGTTAGCGACAATGGGTGTGTATAAAGCAAGCCTGGGGTTCGGTGGGCTGGTTTGGAGGGCTGAGGCGGGTCTCCCAGCGTGCTGTGAGGCTAGAGTTCTAGTTGCGAAGCCGCGTGAAAGTCGCGGAACAGTTGCTGCAGCGCGGAAGGCTGGCGTGGAGGCTCTCATGGCTGCCATTTTCAAGCAGGCGCAGACGGATAGCCTCGGGAAGTCACCGAGGTCTGGGTTCGGCACTTTGTTCCAAGGTAAACGCTGAGAGCTCCCGGCCGCGCAAAGACTAGCAGCAAGGTCCGAGGAGAGTGCGCTGTGTGGGTATCGTCGCGGGGTAAAGAGACCCGTCGAAGCTTTAATGCGATGGCAGGTAGCAAGTCACCTCACCCAGTTGTACGGCGTTCGATGCGGAGGAGTTACCGGCTCGGTTAAATGGCACCCCACCCACAGTTAGGAGGAGAAGCGACAGGACAGGCAGGTCGCAGGAAGGATGAGCTTTGATGAAGCTTTATTGCGCCTTCGGGGCCTGTTGCGCGTCTCCGAACGAGCTGCAAATTCGTCACGGGACGGCTCATGACGGAGGAGGGACGTGGGGCCCGTTCGGTCGCGATATCGGCGAAGCTATAGCCGTCTCGACGACGTTCGCAATCACCAGATACAAAACAGAAGTTCAATTCGCAGGTTCGTCAGGGGACCCGAGGCGGGATCTAAGGCTTCTTAAGTCAGGCACAACACGCTGCCCTGCATGCTGTGTCGGAAACGCGTTCCCACTCGTCAGCGCATCCACCCGGCGGGCAGACGGAGACAGGGCGCCGCGGTGTAACCTCAAATCATCGTCACTGGTTCATCTGGCCACATGGTCTGTACGTGAATCGTCTAGTTTGTTTAGAGGGTCTATAGTTATTGCTTGTTCCAATGCGCATCCGGTTCTCCCCAATTCCAAGTATGCAGCAGCCGAGCATAGCCACGAGGCTGGCTAACAGCTACACACCCACAGGAGGCTCCCTGCACTTTGGCGGCGCACTACTCGGCTCCTTTGGCGGCTTTCTTCTTGGCCCTTCTACTCTTCGTGCTTTGACCAGCACTGGAATTACTCCGCCTGTCTGTAATTCGAATGTCCTATGCCCGATGGCTGCCAAGATGCTCCTAATGGCACCCGAGTGGCTTGTCAATGAGAGGAAGACTCCGTCGTCGTTCTCGAAGATATCGTCCAATAATCGGGACAGACGATACTGGCGGGCTGACCGAGGTTCACGGTAGTCCGCTTCCCAGAGAACATCAGGCTCGGAGAAGTTCGGTTCCAGCGTGATGTGCGGGAATGCCTTGAGGATATGAGAGGCTGTTTTTCGGCGGTCGCAAGTGTGAACTCCCAAGGCTTCTCTCGCAAGCTATCCAACAGTCAATGGTACTCCTTGATAACGGCTGGGTGGAACCAAACCTCCTTGATGTATGGCCGGTATTGCTTGTCGTGCGGAAGATCAAGTCCCTTGAAGCTCAGGTCGGCGGTCTCGATCGTCCTTGTCAGCGGGCTGATGTAGTACGTCTCCGGCGGTGGGATTCCCTTGGGAAGCAGCGCTTGCCATAGACCATTCACGTCTCTTGCCTGACCCTGACCAACTTCAGTGAGAAGGGCATCAGACCAAATAGCGCCGTCTGCACCATCAAGCATGGCCCAATAGCACTGGTGAGTCAGTATCAAGGATACGAATGGGGAAGACGAAGGCATCGTACATTCCAAGCCTTAGTCCCGTACTTGCTTTCCGCTACATTATGGAAACCCTGTCCATGTCTCCCTAAGAAAAGTACTTTGACGCTCTCTCCCTCTCCACTTTTCTTGTTCAAGTCCCTGACAAGATTTTCGAACCTGCGCCACTGTCCTTGCTCTTTCTCAGCATCAGTGTCGATTTCATACTTTCGCTCCAGAAGCCCGAACTCTTCTTTGATCTAGATTCAATCAGTTAACAGGTCTCTTGGAGGTCCTTTGACGTACAAAATCGAAATTAGAGTCGTCAGTTGAATCCTCACTTTGCGCGAAGTAGCCCTTCAACGTCTCGAACTCGTAATGAAAGCTCTTCGGCGATTCCGACGCGGAGGCGGACATTTTCTCTTGCGTCCGAAAAGATAGGAAAATGAATGTGAAGACGAGCAAGCAAGCTCTATGCATGTTTCGTTAATACTGTTGCCGTAGCTAGGAACATCGAGATGCGCCTACATAGGTGTAGTGATCTTGAAACTGAGGTAGGGATGCTCTGTGTTGCGATACCAAATCAGCATTACATTGTCATCAATTTAAGGTTCGGCTGCCGTGCAGATAAAGTTGTGAGAGAGAGAGGCAGTCGCGATGGTGAGAATTGACAGTTGGAAAGCAAGCCCCACCAAACGCGGGTGGCCAATCACAGACCGAAGAGCCCAACATGAGCTTTCCTACGGAAGTTGTCTTTTCATTTACAGTAGAATAGGCTGCACGTTTCGTCATGGGTCACTTCCTAGTAATGGTGTCAGACGATAGATTGTCACGGTAAGGAACATGCCAGGCAACGATACGGGCGAAATTCGAATAGACTGCATTAAAGCATGTCGTCTACACATACACTCTACTGAGCGACCTTGCACAATGTCCCTCCATCCCAAGAGGTGAGCAAATGACCCTAGGCACCGAACGCCGTCCCATGCATCCATCATCCATCGTCGCCTTTTTACAGGTTCGCCTGCTCCTGAGCCCTTTCCCTCTCCACCTCGTACATGAAGTCGAAGTAGCCCTTGTCGAAGTGGTGCACACGAACGTAACCATCTTCTCCACCGCTGCAGTATCCGGTGCCCTGCGGGTGGACTGCAACGTAGTTGAGCGGGCCGAAGTGACCCCTCACACGGCCGATCTCCTCCATGAAGATCTTGTGGTAGAAACGGGCTTCGAACTTTCCTTGACGGGCGCTGGTCGTCGTGACATCCATGGCGGCTTGGCCGCCGCCGAGGATAACATAGTCCTTCACAGGTGTAATGGCGGCGCTGTTGAGGGGGGTATCGGCTACGTAGGTCTTGAGCACTTCGAGGCTGTCGGCGGCGGAGATCTTTGCGGTCTTGTCCTTGGAAGCGGTGATGAAGTATGTGCGGTCTTGGGACCATTGGAGATCGGTGACTATCAAAGTTAGCAGTGCTCGAATGCACAATTCCGTGATAACATACTCAGCGCATCTGCCTCGTGGACCTGGGTGTTGTAGAGCAGCTCTCCGTTCTTGGCGTCGAATTGCGAGACGCTGCCGTCTTCGTGTCCAGCAATGATGTAGTGCGCAAGGTAGCTGAAGCCTGCAACTGTGGGCTTGCTGTCCTCGCAGACTATTCTCAAAACGTGCTCGTCCGACTGCTGTGCCTCGACGTCGGGATTGATCTCATAGACGTAGATCATACCAAGATGGCCAGATCGCTTTTCGGTAACACCAAGAAGCTGCTTGCCGTCTGCCGAGAACTCCACGCGCTTTATCGAGGTGGCAAAATCCCAGGTCTTCAACAGCTTGCCCGACTTGACCTCCCATAGCCGCATGGTGTTGTCGGCGCCGCCGGTCGCGAGGAGGGTGGAAGTGGGGTCGACATCGACTGTCCAGAGCGCACCCTGGTGGCCGTGGTAGGTTCCTAACCGCTCACCGTTGTGGGAATCTGCTTTCTGTAAGCAACTGCGTGTAGCGCGGTCGCAGCGGGGATCACTAACACCATGCGCACACGACGTGGTCCTTGGATACTGAGAAAATGATGTCGCCATCGGGGTTGTATTTGACCTGGGTGAGCGCGCGCTCGTGCCCGGAGAGCAGTATAGGTCTCATCTTGTAGGTGTGAAGTTCGGAATTTGATGAGGTTTGGTGCCGGGTGTGAAGTTGGGCTGGTTCGCGGTGGGGAGGAAATTCGTGATGGTGTTTCTTGATGGTGGGTTGGTTAACGCTACACGAATGCGGCCTAGCTCTTAATAGTCCCGCATCAATCCACCGGGGTACAACACCTTCGACTCATTTCCCACATTTCTCGTTCGTCGAAGCGCCTCATCTTGCTGCGGATCTGAGCGTGTGAGTCAGAGCCACACTGTGCCGCTCGATGGAGTCGGGCATAGTCATAGTCACACTCAGCTACCGTAATAGCAACACAATGAAATTTGCCTCTACATATCTAGAACTTTTGCTATCGAACCTTGGTGAAATTGCACTACTCACTATGTACCAAAAGGAATACATACTTCATTTAATTTCTCGCCGTACAGCTCTGCTGAAATTTTCTGGGTTCACTAAAGAGCTCTGAATACCTAAAAAAAACCCATCCGTTCATGTGCCTCTAGTAGCCGAAAGCCATTCAATGAGCTGATTCAAAAGCTGTTCCTTGCACCTTCAATTTCAAGTGTTCAGGTCCAACCTCTCCATATATCTTATGAAGGCCAAGGTTTCTTTTTTTTATAATAGAGAAGGAGACGGTAGTGGCATGATATCTATATCCTCTACCCCTTGAACAGCGCGACTTGAGTATTCCTACTATACTATACAAATGAGATCATGAAGACACGAAGAGCTTCGTGTGTAGCTTGCCTGCACCGAAAAGTCGGCAGGTCCCGCTTTCCGTTTGCTGGCCTGGCAGGCGCGCCTTCCCAGACAAACGCCGCTTCTTTCGACCTGAACACCACAATCCACTCTCTCACTCTCAACATCGCAACGCCAGGAGCTCGTTTCCATGGCAATTGATAACCCGGCAAGGCTTGTGGACGTCTCGGCGGCGCTTGCAGCGCTCGAGCCGCTCGGTGCTCATCAATATTGCATTGCCTTCGGTAGGGCCTCTGTGTATTGCCAGCAGTCTAGGGCAAACGTTGTTGACAAGATGAAATTGGCTGACAGACCGCAGGTCCTGGCTCCATGCAGTTCTGTGCCACTCCCAATGGCTACTCGACGTGAGTGTATCTAGTTTGAGAAACCACAGCTCCTACTCACTGATATGCATAATTGTGACAGCATTCACTTGCCGCGCAAAGTCTTCAGGGATTTGCTCGCGGGTCAGATCAAAAAGGTGCTCCATGCATCTTTTGGCAACAATGCCAACTCGTACTTCTTCACATACGAGATGCAAGATGGTACTATCGCCCATCGAGCTGGAAGCGGCATCCCAGCTGGTTCGAGGTGCTTCCCTGATCGCATCTCTTCTGCTTCGAAAGAACGCGCCTCGTCTTTACACGTTCAGCTTGGTGCGAACAGATCCTACGTTGCCTGGTCCGGTTCGCTCTGGGTTTGCCATGGAATTTCTGGAGGCTTACGAGCTGTCCGTCATCATTCGAGTTCCATCGACATCGACGATGCCAATGGCTCCGAAGGCGTGCTGCTGTCGGGCACTATTGACAACATGGCTTGGCACAACGATAGCAGTTGGTACTTCAAGAACGGAAACGCGTATGCGGAGCTTCGCACGGGTAGCGGCGCGGAAGTTTTAAGGGAAGCTTGGCATAACTTGATACCTGAGAACCTAGCTGTGAGTACACAATTTGACGGTGGCGCGGAGGAAGCTTACCTGCTCAGTACGTCGCAATCAATCCGCATTCACTCACGGGCGGAACCTTCGCGTTCTTTGAGAAGGCCCAAGACGGCTGCGAACCAAATTTCGTTCTCCGGTTCGAACCAGAGGACGTGGTGTCCCGATTACCCTCAAGATCGAATCCACCTTCAATTCATTCCCAGGTCATCAATGTCCCAAAGAACTCGGAGGGACTACAGGTGTTCCAGTGGGCAGCTAGCAAATACACCGGACGTTCGCACGCGAGAGATGCTTGGGAACTCGAATTGAAGAAGGGCGAGCAAGTCAGTATCCTGAAATACATGGGCAATGACTGGTTCCTTGTCTTGACTTCCAGAAGATGATACCACACGTCGACCCGCGAGAGGCATACGTGCGATCCACGGTCGACATTGAGAAGATGCTCAAGGCGGGCAACATTCGCACCTTCCCGGATCTAACTCGATACATGAATGCATGTACCAAAGACGCATGTAGCCCTCAAAAGGCAGACCCTCATCACCTTGGTATATGCTCCCACGATCTCTACAAACTCATGCAAGGATCTGGCGACTACTGTCTGGATACGCTGAAGATGGAGCGCAACAAGTGGCATCCAGACAGGTTCGCTCGCTATTGCCATTCAGATGACCGCGAAACTCTCAGGGAGAAAGCGCAGGCACTCTTCGTCTTGTTTGGTGTCCTGATGGAAAAGACTCCGGCGCCCGAGCCAGTTGCGTAGGGAGGCTGCTCAAACGTCGGAAACACTTTACATGGTTTCGGCCCAAGTACAATGGACTTATCTGACTGAACAAGGCGTGCATCAAGTACCGTTCGGATGTCATGTTTGAGATAGGGATTAGAGGCCGTCGGGATGGACGTCCCCGCGAATTCGGGGACTAGTTGGTATCGGAGGCACTAAACTGCATCTAGAAAATCATCGAATTGGCCACCACCCAGATGCACGGCCAGTGAAAAAACCCTTCAAAGGTCAATTGCATCCCTTGACGTGCTCAAACCTTGATAAGCTCAAAACTCGTGACCGTCCATCTCCTCACATTGCTTGTACGTAATCGAGACGCGCGGAAGCAGAGGAGGGAAAGCTACTCCAAGGCTTCGGTGCGGGTTGGCATGCCCGGCGTTGGCTTTTTTCCACCGTCGTCCGCGCGCGCCTGACTCATCTTAACCGACGTTAAGTGTCATGGTTTGATAAAATTGGTGGACTCTCGCACTGGATTTGATAGACGCATTTGGCAGCGTTTGGCCCGACGATGAGGCTGCGTCCGATACCGATCAGCGCGCAGGGCCGTTGGTTTCCGCAAGCTACCCCGCTGAGCACAACATTATTTCGCTCCCCGTACGTTCGGAGCTATGTCTACCCACCGCCCGCTTCACGGCGTCTCTTCTCCCACACCTCGCCCCTCATGACGGCCTCCAAGATCGATGGCAATGCCATTGCGCGCAGCATCCGCGAACGCCTTGGCGCAGAGGTCAAGCAGAAGCAGGCGACCAACCCGCGGTACCGCCCGTCGTTGAAGATCGTCCAGGGTAAGCTTCGCGCCGCAGGAAGCATCGGGATCAAATGCTAACGATTCGCAGTCGGAGACAGGTCGGACTCGAGTAGGTTTCCCGTCTATCGTGGTGTTGGATCAGCAATTGACGCAGGGCAGGTACCTATGTGCGCATGAAGCTCAAGGCCGCGGAAGAGGCAGGTGCGCCCCTCCTTGTGACTCGAACGACCACTAACAACAACGGCAGGCCAACATCGAAGCCGAGCTCGTCAAGTTCGGCGAGGACATCTCTGAAACCGAGCTGCTGTACACGCTCAACACGTACAACAACGACCCCAGCATCCACGGCATCCTCGTCCAGCTGCCCCTCCCCAAGCACATCTCCGAGCACACGATCACATCGGCTGTTGCCGACGAGAAGGATGTCGACGGCTTCGGCATTGCGAGCATTGGCGAGCTGGCCAAGCGTGGCGGCAAGCCCCTGTTCACGCCATGCACGCCCAAGGGTGTGATGGTGCTGCTGAAGGAGGCGGGCGTCGACCCCAAGGGCAAGAATGCAGTCGTCTTGGGCAGGAGCGATATCGTGGGCAGTCCCGTGAGCAACCTGCTGAAGAACGCCGACGCGACTGTTACCGTGTGCCACTCCAAGACCACCAACCTGCCTGAGATCGTCAAGCAGGCGGACATCGTCGTGGCCGCCATCGGCGTCGCACACTTCGTCAAGGGCGAGTGGCTGAAGCCCGGGGCCGTCGTCATTGACGTGGGCACCAACTTCATCCCAGACGACACGAAGAAGTCCGGCCAGAGGCTCGTCGGTGACGTCGACTACGACTCCGCGGTAGACGTCGCTTCCCAGATCACGCCCGTGCCTGGAGGTGTCGGACCCATGACCGTTGCTATGCTTCTCCAGAATGTGGTCGACTCCGCAGACGCCACCTTTGACAGGCAGAAGAAGCGAAAGATCAACCCGCTACCCTTGAAGCTCCAGGACCCAGTACCTTCAGACATTGAGGTATCAAGAAAGCAACACCCGAAGCCAATCACCTCCGTCGCAGCTGAAATCGGCATCTTGCCCAACGAGCTGGAGCCATATGGCTCGACCAAGGCGAAGGTGGATCTCTCTCTGCTGAAGCGCTTGGAGCACCGCAAGAACGGCAAGTACATACTGGTCGCTGGTATCACGCCCACTCCTCTCGGTGAGGGCAAATCGACCACCACGGTGGGTCTCGCACAAGCACTCGGAGCACACCTCGGCAGAATCTGCTTCGCCAACGTACGGCAACCTTCCATGGGGCCTACCTTTGGCATCAAGGGTGGTGCTGCAGGCGGTGGTTACAGCCAAGTTATCCCCATGGATGAGTTCAACCTTCATCTGACTGGCGATATCCACGCTATCACTGCCGCAAACAACCTCCTCGCTGCCGCCATCGAGACGCGCATCTTCCACGAGAACACTCAGAAGGATGGCCCACTATACAAGCGACTTGTACCGACCAAGAAAGGCAAGCGCGAGTTCCTTCCCATCATGTACCGACGGCTGAAGAAGCTCGGTATCACCAAGACCAACCCTGACGAGCTGACGGAGGAGGAGATCCGCCGTTTCGCCAGACTTGACATTGACCCTGAGACCATCACCTGGCGCCGCGTTTTGGACGTTAATGACAGGCATCTGCGAGGCATTACCATTGGCCAGGCCCCGACAGAGAAGGGTCAGACTCGCGAGACTGGCTTCGACATCTCCGTTGCCAGCGAGTGCATGGCAATCCTTGCGCTCAGCAACGACTTGTCTGACTTGAGGGAACGCCTCGGCCGCATGGTCGTCGCTAGCTCCCGCCAGGGCGACCCCGTCACCTGTGACGACATTGGTGCTGGTGGTGCTCTGGCTGCCCTGCTCAAGGATGCCATCAAGCCCAACTTGATGCAGACACTCGAGGGCACCCCCGTCTTCGTGCACGCTGGTCCCTTCGCCAACATCAGTATCGGGGCTTCGTCAGTGCTCGCTGACAAGCTTGCACTCAAGCTCGCGGGTACTGAGCCGGATGAGGATCACACCGAGAAGGCTGGCTTCGTGGTCACTGAGTCCGGGTTCGACTTCACCATGGGTGGTGAGCGTTTCTTCAACATCAAGTGCCGCTCTTCAGGCTTGCAGCCTGACACTGTCGTCATCGTTGCTACCGTCCGCGCCCTGAAGGTCCACGGTGGTGGTCCTCCCGTCTCCGCTGGCGCTCAGCTCCCTGAGGTCTACCGAACCGAAAATGTTGAAATCCTTCGCAAGGGATGTGTCAACCTGAAGAAGCATATCGAGAACGCCAAGTCATATGGCGTTCCTGTCGTGGTCTGCATCAACAAGTTTTCGACCGACACCCAGGCCGAAATTGATGTCATCAAGGAGGAGGCCCTCGCCGCTGGCGCTGAAGATGCCATCGCGGCCAATCACTGGGCCGAGGGTGGCAAGGGCGCGGTTGACCTCGCGAAGGGCATCATTGCGGCGAGCAATGCCAAGTCGGACTTTAAGTTCTTGTATAACCTGGAAGGAACAGTGCAGGAACGCATGGACGCAATCGCCCAGAAGATGTACGGCGCGGACAAGGTTGAGTTCTCAGAACTCGCCCAGAAGAAGGTGGACACCTACATCAAGCAGGGCCTTGGCAACCTGCCCATTTGCGTGGCGAAGACACAATACTCGCTCAGTCACGACCCTGAGCTCAAGGGTGCTCCGACAGGCTTCACGGTCCCCATCCGCGACGTCAGAATGGCTGCTGGTGCCGGCTACCTCTACGCGCTGGCCGCCGATATCCAGACTATTCCTGGACTGCCCACTGCGCCTGGATATCTCAACGTCGACGTCGACGTCGAGACAGGCGAGATTGGCGGTCTCTTCTAGATTCATACTTTAATAGCGGAATGGCGTTGGGAAAAGCGCGGTCTTTCAACATTCAGTAGAGCTTTTGGCGCTTCACGGCTAGACGCATCGATGCGGGACGGATTGGTATGATAGAGTTTTTCAACACTCGCCATGCATGCATGTCTGTGGTTCAGTGCCGAAATACGGTCTTTAACTGTGTAATACAACAATTACACGAGTTAAGCTCACCTCTCACTTTCTTGGTGATCTCATAGTATCGGGGACTAACAGGCTTAATTTGAAATTCAGTGGTCCCCGATCCTCGACTTGGAGGAGTCTCAAGAGGTCCAAGTTGCCTTGCGCAATCCTGTGCGCCGCCAAGTCGTAATACAGTGGCGTCGCCTCAGGTCACTCGGGTACCTTAGGACCAGGGGTACACTTTTAGTGTGGTAAGCACATGTCTTGGACCCAGGACGGCGGCACAGTTACACATGATCGTGACGTTCGCTACTTCGGAGTTACGTTCGTTTACCCAGCTGCGGTATACTACCTCCAACATCGCATGTGCACAGCAAGTTACGAAGTAGACATGGGATTTGCAATGAGTAATGTTCATCTATTACGACAAGGTATAACCGAACCTGTCGGAATCATTCGGCTTCATGCGCGCAAGAAGCACAACAGGACTCGCGTAGACAAAGAGGCACAGCATACCATACACCAATATCTGCACACTAGGATACGTTTTGCGAACATCTGCACGGAGACCTTCCCCCGGAACGGCAGCTCCTCCCTGCGTAAAATCCAACAGCACCCATGATCCTTACAAGCCCGTTTCAGCATGCTCACGCACAGAGGCGTAGGCGTAAACCACCCACGGACCGCCAGGCCTACCCGCAAGAATCGCGCAAGGCGATTGCCCCGGCGTCTAAACGATCCTGCAACCCAGGAACCTGTGATCGGCACTGGGGCGCAATAACACAAATGTGTACGTTCCGAGCACACGTGTGCGGAAGAGACCGAACGGCACGGCGCGAGGATGAATCGCGGTGTCGGGAGTTGACTATGCTGCAGTAAATTGTCTCTTGTTTATGCCACATTGTCACGTTCTCGACATGCTGCGAATGAAAACGATCGAGTAACATGATTCCAGGGAGCACCTCTGTACATGTACGAATGTTTCTGAGAATAAGAGAGCAAGCTGCTGGCAGCACACCTAGACCACACTATTCGCCCGAGGGTGACTATAGATATCAGCACGAGACTGTAGCCAGTCTGCCATGGATAGACTGCCTGTGGTGAGGAGCTAAGGGCACACGAAAATCCTGAGGAGGCGTGGTAACAACCTAGGAAGACGTGCCCATACCAAGATTAAGACACTCGACACTAGCTTCACTTCTCATAGAGAGAATCCAGCATGCTGTGAAACGCTCCATCGAGTCGAAAATGGGCCTAGAAGCTGCCTTCACAGCTCGTATCCTGACGTCTCGCATACATCTTCAAAACCCTTACCACGTTCGAAATGCTGACAGGAACAAAACGCTACCGTGAATCTATCTAGCACGGTCCTCTCACGCATTCTCACTCCGCCTCTGCAGAATTCGCTCGATCGCAGTGCCCACCCTCGATGTGCATCGTCTTCGGACGAGAACCGCGCCGCTGGCTGTCACTACAAACCCGCTCCAGATAGCATCCACGAGCAGTGCCTCCCGCACCAGTACTATTATTTGCGTGAATCGTGTTGAAACATACTGTGCCGCTGGACTGACATGTTCTCGAGTAGCCAGCCCTAGTCCTCACCCCAAGGCTTCGCGTAGCAGTGACGACATTGCTCACGAAGGCTAAGACACACTGTGGAGAACCGAAGTCGTCTAATTGCGGGAAGGAGATATGTATAAGTAGGTCTGTAACCGCCCATCCACAGACCGCCTCATAGCAGATCAACGAGGCACGTATTTTGCACTCGCATTGCATGTACAATCCAGGTTACAGATTCATGCTTCACACTTGCTACCTCTGGGTCCTCTCCTTCGTCATTGTTTTGTCAGCGGCTGCCACGGGAAGAAACTCACCCACGTACTTGAGCGCGTCGCTGCACCACCGCCACGAAGCATGCAGAGCGCTGAACAACTGTCCCCAAACACCTTCGCAGCGGGTGCTGGACCGGGTCCCCTGGAAGGGGAAGCCTACTACCAGGGCTTACAGAAGGATGTAGCTGCTTCTGGGGATAGGAGCGAGAGTAGTGCGTAGCCCCCGAAGGTGATTGCAGAGCCATCGGACTGACAGCGCGCAGACGTCCGGAACAGACACCACCACCGCCGCGGCGCTTCAGCCCGGAAGTTCGCGAACGCAGCAGAAACCAGCAGGAACGAGGATATACCGCGTTCGCAGCCCATGCAACGGCAACCCGCAGCCCTACACCACGCTTCATCCCTAAGCCTCACGCCCCTCCCCACCATTGAGACCATTCTGTCCTCCTCTCCCCCGACGCCAATCTACCATCAGTCCCCAGCCCCGACTCCGTCATCCCAACCCCAGCCCGCCTACAAAACCAAGATCCACATCCCCAAGCCCCCAACCCTCCGTCGCAGACACCAAGTAGACCCCGACACGCTGGAGGAACTGCTCCGCGCAGCGGACAGGCGGGCTCAGCGCAAGTCCAGCTCCGGCGCCAACTTCACCGGCAGCCGAGAAGTAGACGTGGCCGCAGACGCAGACGTCGAGATGCCGGACATGCGAAAGACGGACCGCATGCGACAGGACGCGGCAGACGCGGCAGACGCCTACCCTTCTCCGCCGCCCTCCCCTCTCCTCTCGCCGGCGGACGTGTGGTTCACACCGAAGGTGTCGTCGACGCCTGCGTTGCAGGGTGAGGCGATGGACTGGGACTGGGGTGACGGCGGGGAGATGGATGAGGATGTGGTGTACGGTGCTGCGGGATTGGCGTTGAGTCCGAGGGCGATGAAGGGAGCGGAGGGTAGGTGCTGTCGGTGTGGGGGATTGGAGTTGTATGATATCGCTGAGGAGAGTGAGGATGACGGAAGCGGGGAAGATGGATAGGAAGCATGGGCTCCGAAGTTTGGGTTTGCAGTGTAGTAGGGTATTGGTGGCTGGCGTTTCCTTGGGTGCATCGTTCCTCAGTCGTTCGTCGTAGTAGTGTTCTCATCGCCATGTTTTTCTGTACAGATTCCCTGGGATAAGCAACAGGTCACGGCTCCCGCACGAGCAGTAGTCTTGGATACCTAATCCGTCATGATGTCATTCGTGTTCAATGTCTATTCGTTTCATGAAATGAAGAAGGACGGGACGGGCGCGGCTGTGCAGCCAGCCCACCCCGAGAGTCCCGACGTCGGCCTGAAACGCACACAGCATTCCGTCCTCAAACGCCCGCTAATCAAATCCCGAGATGCCAGTCTGGTGTCCCAGCCATGCTTTTCCATCCGTATTCCCCTCGCTCCCTGCCAAGCCATCTATTTCTTCTTGTTTGGGAACTTGGGCTGCCCAATCTTGTCACCGCGCAGGATGACATTGAGCACGCGCTCCATGTTGCCGAGCAGCTTCTGGTCGGGGGTTGCAGTGCCGCGCTCGAAGTCGGCGATGATGGTGGGCGTGCTGTTGCACTTTGTGGCGAGGTCCTTCTGCGTCATGGTGGTGCCCTTGTCGTTCTTGGCCTCGGAGCGCGCCTTGGAGATAGCCTGCCCGACTACGATGCCGACCGTCTTGGGCTTGATGATGTCGTCGGAGCGGTCGACCTTGGTGAGGCGCTGGCCCTCGGAGCCGGAGCTGCCCTGCGCGTGGGTTAGTGCGTGCTGGTGATAATGATGGTGTCGTGTGCGGTGGGTCTATGACGTCGTCTGGGAATTTTGGAGAGGCGCCGGAAGGGGTGCTGGAGAGGAAATTTACGTACCGCGTTGGCCGTGGAGAACTTCTTCTCTGTGGCCACAACAGCACCGCTCCGCTGAGCTGCGTTGAGCGCGCTCTTGCCCTTGACCACCGTCTCGCGGGGTCCAGCGGCGCCGCCACGAGTGCGGGAGCCGATCTTGGTAACTGTGTCCCAATCTTCGCTCATTGTGTCGGTGTGAAACTGTTTGGTTGCTGTGGTTCGAGTGTGGCGGGGATCGAGTCTTGCGGGGGTGCTTGTGAGAGCTGAGGTGGTGGGGGTCGGGTTTTATGTGACGAGGCGGGGTGTTTGTGGCGTGCGTTTGCGTGGCAGTCGGGCGGTCTTTGTAAAGGCGGATGGATCGGAGTGGAGTACAGAGCGCCTAGGCTGCGAATGCTTATGTAGAGAGGAAGCGCTGCGAGGCGGGCTGTGACTCGAAGAGAAAGCGGCGAAATGGCGCTAAATCACCGTGAAGGCCGTGCACCTTCGAGAAGAATCCATCAGAGCAGCCCTTTGGCCGCCCTTCCAGAAGCTTTCAGCACTCAGGATGTCCGTTAGATCACCACGTTCATGAGTTGAAACTAATACTTTGGATTGATTCAATGTACCATGTTAGGTGAAAACGCTGTGTCCTCTATGCACCCCCAAACCCACAATATCACGGCTTGCGCCTGGTCCCATCCTGACTGTTTGACAGAGGTTTATCATCCAAGAGAGGCCTACATCAACTTTTAATATGCCATCCGAAGAAGTGGTACCAGCCGACTGCCCGTGTGCACTGTCCAATATCCGCCGCTAGTCGTGCCTCATAAATCGTGAAATCGCAATGGGCATGTCTAGGTCATCCCAAGGTCCGACAAGGCCTGCTCGAAAGTATCCCAGGTTGTCAGCGCACCAAGGGCTCGCTTCATGTGTGCGCTGATCAGCGTCATGCCGTAGATGTAACTGGCGTTGACCCAACCGAACCTGCCAGTTGTTAGATGCGAACGAAGCAGAGAGATGACCATGACTTACCCTTCGCGAGGAACGCCCTTGAAGTCGCTGCCCTGGTTGCCGTATTCTGCCTCGACCTTGTGAGGATCAATTGGACGTGTAACGTCGTACTTCTCGACGACCACGCCGTTGAAATCGACGAAAGCTTTGGTGACCATGTAGATCCAGCGGTATGCCAACCGCTGTGCCTCGTCATTATAACCGTAACGCTGTAACCCGACCCAGGCCAGGATCTGTTGTGGCGCCCATCCGAAAGGAAAGTCCCACTGTCGGTTGGGCCGATCGAGGCCAACCTTGCCGCGAGACTTCTCAGTCCCGGACACGAGCCCGCCAAAGACCTCAAACTTGGGCAATGCTCGTGTGACGAGTGCATTGGCTTGTTGAGGGCTGGCGAGACCAGCCCACATCGGCCAGAAGGTCGTTGCGCTTTCGTAGCCAGTTCGTTGCTCCAACACAGAGTGGTAGTCAAAGTACATTCCGGCCTCCTCGTCCCAGAGATACTTGTTGACACGCATGCGACGGTCTCTTGCACGGCGCTCCCAGGCTGCCGATGTTTCCACGTGGCCTTCCTGCATGCCCTCCCCGCAGAACTCCTTGGGAAGTGGTAGCTTGTCGCCGAAGATGTTACGGATCGTGCGACCGATATCCACCTCATATTTGTAGAGGAGAGCGTTGATGTCGACCGTGCAAAGGTCAGCCGCAACCTTTTCCAAACGATATGAAGTATCATGCCCAGACTCGCGCACTGCCCGATCGTGCAGAAAATAATTGTCCAGCTCCGGCTCATTCACCTTTTGGTAATTGTATGCTTCCACAAACTCCTTGAATGTCATGTTGTGTTTGTCCGCATACGGCTGTAAGACATGCTCGAAATGACTCGCCTCGGTCTCTGGGGGAACGCCAATACCTCCCGGACGGTAACGGGATAGACCAGTCTTTTTGTCTAACCGGGGCTCGGCCATCCACACCGTGTAGTACTCCTTGATGGCTGCCAATATGGCTTGGCGTAGAAATTCCTTCGCACCATCCTCGTGCTTGATTCGTTCGTAGACTCGGAGAGCCATATCTGTAAGGAAGGGTGGTTGAGATCGGCAAAGGTAGTAGGTGCGGTTGGCGTTGAGGATCTTGCCATAGTGCTTGATGCAGAAACAGAAATGTGTGACCATAGCCTTCACAAGCTCGGGTCGGTTGTTCTCCAGCAGGCCGAGTGACTCCATGTAGCTATCCCAGCCGTAAAGCTCGTTGAACCTGCCTCCAGGGACCACGAAGGGGAGTCCACGTAGATCCTTCTTCTTGGTCTCCGGGTTGATATATTCCTCCATCGCAATTGCAAGCAGACCCGGCTTCTCATTGAGATCTCGAACGTATTCGTCGTTCCAAGTCTCTGGAAGCTCCACAACGTCCAAGCGCATATCGGGATGTTCGTCGCGGATGCGTCGATAGTATTCCAGCTGCTCGGGAGCGCCGTGTGGGACGTAGATACGCGGACGCGGGTCGTCGGTCCAATCCTTAGGATCGCGGCCCACCTTCTCGATGTTCGAGCCATCGATGCGTCGTGTCAGTCCATCCCAGAACGAGTGCTCTATCAGACGGGTGAGGCGGTTTACAGGGTTCTCGTTGAGGCGGGCTTCGTCGAGTACGATGGTTTTGCGGCCATAGTCTTGAGCAAGAGTGAGTTCTTGCAGCAGGTTCGACAGCATATAGGTGCCCCGCACGTCGAATTTGTTGTGGGCGTTGGACGCGAGCGTTCCGAGGGAGAGCACCTGTTGGGTCAGCGAGGAATCGGTGCCTTTGAAGAAAAAGTTTACCTTGGGGCCCTTGTCATCTATGGTGATTTGGTAATTTCCGTCGCTGTCCTCCCGGGCGAGTAGTGTTTTCAGGGTGGGTTCGACCTGCACGAGAAAGCGACGCGGCTGCGCTGACACTTCATCTACGGACCTTCAGCGCCTGCAAGGGAATTGTAGCCTGGGTACGTACCGTGACTGATGCGCCGGCCTTTGAAGCTGTCGGTGACTGCTGCATTGCGACCCCCCGAGCCATGGGTATCTACAACCTACTTGCACTCAGCTGTGAACAGCAGTTATGGAGGGGCTGCACGATTACTCACCGCAGAGTATGTGCGTGCTCGAGCATGTTTGCGGTCGTGACTTTCGCCGTAGTAGACGCCGGGTGTCTGGAATGCATGAGCTTTGGAGACAAGACATGTTCACAAGCTACCAACCGCGTAGGGATCGAGGACAGTGGAAGAACGTCGGGGTCTCGAAGATTGCGAGGTCATGCTACGAGGGACGCGGCTCGAGTAAGTCGTGTGACTGTGTAGCAGGAGTGGCGGTATTGATGTATAGTGTGCAGGAGTCTGGTGATGATATCAGCAGCGGTTGGACGCGCAGACACGAACGTTTTGGCGGGGGTGGGGCGATGGGTTTGCAAAACGACGATAGAGATGACATACAACGGCAACAACGCAGGGCAACGGTCGAATCGCTTGGTAACAGTGAGGAAGGTGAAGGAGGAAATTCAGTGGTGCACCGAGACAGGGTCACGCGCGGCGGATTGCGGCGGTGGAGTGTGACAGGGCCGGCCGGAAAACCAGAGTGCAAGCGCCGCCAGTGAAGGGCGGTCAAGAGCGAGCTGTGGTCCGTTTTGCATGCATTTGCGATGAACGGCCGCTGCACGTCCTTCGTGAGAGTGGCTGCAGGTGCTGCCGCTCTCCGATGATCCTTGCGGGCGCCGATGCCGCTAGCCTCGGAGCATAAAATCAGTCTCTTCTGCTACGTCATGGGCCCTCAGTGCTGGAGCCTCTTCTTGGAGCCGCAATCCACCCAAGCCCAGGATGCGCTTGCCCTGAGTGGCCGGATGATGGCATCCCTGCCGGCGCCCTTTCCTCTGTTCGTCAGTCACGAAGTTCGCCCCCCGTCGGACATCCCACGCATCGATCACTGCTTCTTCAATGTGGTCGTGTGACCTGCTGCGCATTGTCATTCGCTATCGTACACTACATATGAAACCGCAATGGGTAATTAGTCCAGTCATTAAATAAACGCTGCGTGGAGAGAGAGAGGCTGGGCAACCGCGATGCCCGCATCGCTGTACGAAAGTCGCGTTGGTGGGGGTGGCACCAGTGCAATCACGAAGTCGCCTTCGTCACCCTCTGGGCGCTTGCACGGCTGGCGCAGCCTGGTGTGGTCTCCTCGTCGACTTCATCTTGTCCGTCGTATTCCGTCGTCTCATCTTCAGTCTCCTCCAGCTGCGTTTTGCTTGCTCTTTCTGCTCCCTCGCCGACTCCACAAAATGTTCTCTCGACACGGAGAGCGTGTCCGACGACGCCAAGAATGAACCCACGCTGACCACGTCGTCTGCCCGAGCGTCCTCACTCAGCTCCGATGCCAGCTCACTCGCGTCCAGCGTTTCAACATCTCTTGTTCTGGCATGCATTTCTTCGGGCCCTCTTCGATCTTGTCGCGCAATCAGTCGATCCATCGGTGTGGACAGCGATGCGACATTGCCCGAGTACAAACCCAACGCGTCCATCGACGCCTGCCGCCGAACTTCCATGTCGATGTCTTGCGGCGATAATCCGTCGAACGAGAACCCCAAGTGGTCGAGAGGTGTTCGATCATCGTTGGCTTCGTCGTCCGGCCGTGACATTTCCTCTCGGATTCGGTTGATGGGAAAGTACGGTTGCTGCGTGATCAACGTTAGTATCATCTCTGTAACAATGTTTGGAATACCGACCTTGGGGAAAGCAGCCGTGTGGATCCGAAGGTTGTGAGCAGACAACCTGCTTCGTCGCATGCTGGCCATTTCGGGATGGTGTTGCTCTCGTCTCGCCACGTCCATGAGGAAGTACAATCTCAACCCGCCGTTAGCTAGCATCGCGATATATGGCTTTTGCGTCATCCTACCTCTCAGCGATGGTTCGGTGTATTGATCGAGACAGATGCAAGTTTTCGAGTTATACAGCAGCTCTAGATGTGCGCGTAGATTGCTTACTGACAGCCTTCCGGGACTGGTCTTATATACAGTGACGCTCCATTACAACTATACACAGAGCTGGTCTCTTATATCCCTGTTTATTGATGTCCCCGTGGCGCACTCTGTGCGGAACACGAATGCGAGAAGATCGACCGCCAGTTTGCAATCCTTATGCGGAGGGCCCTTGCCACGCAGCGCCATAAGACGTGCATGATCGCGATAGGGAAGATGCACCTTGGCCCTGCGTGAGCGCACAGTGAAAGAGTGACAGCCCCGCATCTCATCTTAGAGATATGCCCAGGGCGCGCCACAAGGTCAGTGCACATCTGGGGCTGGCTGGCAAAAGCAAAACCCACGAATCCAACGCCAGTCACGACGGCGAGCTTGGTCTCCCCTACCAGGATCTGAAACGCACAGCTGTTCGACATGCTGCGTTGTCATCATCTTACTGCAGGACATTCACCCACGGATACTCTATCTGGTTGCACATTGAACAATTGTGCAGTCGACTTTGACACGCCACTGGTGAGGCAACTTCACTGAGGCTGTTCACTATGCAAACGTCATGGTCGGCGATCCTAGCCATCAATACATCCTTCGATCGACTTTCGGACCGCAATGGTTAAAAGCTAGCCAAGTATTTCCGTTTGTGGCTGGCCAGGCGCGAGACAAGGGTGCCGAAAATAACAAGGCTCGGCGATCAACTTGAGCAACAGCGCACAATGCGGCCTGGCACCAAGGCATCATGATCCACTACCCGTTCCGGTGACAGCTCTACCCGGCCCTTAAAGCCCTGTTCAAGTTCGAAGTGAGGGTTTTAGCGTGGTCATCCCACGCGCTCCGTCAAGGAACGGGCTGTTCCTGATTTAAGTGTATTGTCTCAACAGCCAAGAATCCATGCTACCCCGTCTTTGCGCTCAAGACGCACACGCCGAACAGTATGATGATTTCTCTGTCCTGCTATCGAAACAGGTTGACTTCCTTTTACGGCCTCCTGCAAAAGAAAAGATTCGAATTTGAGCCGCATCCTTGGCGTTTCCGGTGTTGCGGCTCCTGCACGCTCTGTGCCCAGCAACCACTCTTTCGGGCCCGGAATTGGTGAAAGTGGTCGGCGGATGTGTGTGGCCGCCAAAAACAAATGCTGAGATCCATTCAGCTCCAGATCGTAGGATGCAGAGGCTGACCTGTACTCCCAATACTGATACCAACGCAACAACAGACTTGTTCTAAAACAGCTAATGCGCTGTCTACAAGCAGGGTTACTAGTTGTTCGGCGACGTTATACACGCACAGTTTCCGTTTCCGCCTGCAGTGTATACAATCTCGATACACTACCCCTGGTTTTCACAGAACAATGTAGTTGTCATGGACGACCGTGTGACCCGGAGTGCCCGGCCTGGCCATTTTGTGGCGCGAACTCCTCGTATTTTCAGCAGCCAGCTGTCAAATTGACGCCCGAGACGTCCCCCAGCACACATCTCCCGCATCTCATTCGCCAAGCAATCTACGCACCATCCAGATTCATTATTTTCAGGTGCTTGCGTCTTCTCGCATTCGTTTTTCGCCCAGATCCCCTGCCACGTGGACACAGAGATGCAGGTAATACACGCAGAAGGATTCTCCAATACCACGACCATGGTACGGTGACGCCGCAAAAGATCTCCCGTGCGCGAGCACACGGCTGCGGCGCAGCGATAAGTCCTTGTCGCCTTCAGACCGATTTAGATACTAATCTTACCATTGCCGTGTCGGAGATTCCCCAAGGATGTATGGAAGTCGATTCTCATGACGGCTTTCGAATCCTCAGGTTCTTGTTACGTGACCTCTACGTCCTTTGAAGCGCGGCTTTGGGCAGCGCAATAGTAAACAACGTGCGTAAAAGTTGTTTGCATCTAATCTGTCGTCAGCACGACCTGCCTCATCTCGTTGCAGGTCTTTTGAAACAAGGGCTGCTTACCCGTCGGTGTGCACCTTGCCATTACGTGGTACCACTTATGAGATCAGCTGCTACCTGGCATGCCCTGGGATGATATCACTGTTCGGTATCACAGCAGCCGGCAGATGGTACGCTGCAGGTTACCTGAGATTGGCTTTCGATGGCTTTTGTCATCGCAGTTCTCCATCGATCATCAATATTGCTCCATCCGTGAGATGATGAGATCACAATCTTATAACCTGTCCTCCTACCTCCGTCACAGTTCCCTCTCTGGCTTCCAGCGCGTGTCTCAGCTTGTCTCCTGCACGCTTCTTAGGTTGTCGAGCTTCACAATCATCCATGCATCAGAGGGTTTGTCTACCCTATACGGACATCGTTACCCACAGGTCGTTGTCATAAGTCCAGAATAGAACTGCTTCTGCTGGTCGAATGTAAGAGCTGGGATAGTAGCTTCTTTCGTTGGATTTAACACAACATGCTGCTCACGCAGACAGTATGTGCCAATGCGCGCATACCTCGTCGTTCACATGTTGGAAAGCGAGCCATCATACCTGCTATGCGTGCCGATATCACTATCTATTAAGCTCGAACTTAAGTCTCGCTATCGAGTGATGGTGTGGAGCTGGACCCGAGGCACTGGGTAAGACAGGCGCGACAGCGCATCAACTCAACTGTCATTCAACAGTCTCAAGCACGCAATCTTTGAGAGAGCGAATTGTCCAATTGTCTCTGCACATGTACTGCTTCCCATACCCTCCCTCCAGCGCAATTGGCCAACGGCAGTCTCGAAATGAATGTGAAATCTAGTTGACATTTTGGCTGCCACGCCGAGCGTGTTGCCAACCATGCTAGCGGTTGAGCGACTCCACCAACAAACCGCTTCACGACGATTATCACGGAAACAGTGCAGATGCTCTTATGTACTGCTCTCTGATCTAGGATTAATACTCGATATCAAAAGCCAGTAGCCGTACACCGTTCTTCTTATTCCCTGCGGGCAAGGAAACAGAACGTACCGCGGCATCAAGAATAGCCTTTATTAGCAGCAGATATGACTCTTACCGAAAGGTCGTCGTTGGGCCTTTAGAGGTCCTGCAAGAACACAACTAACAGATGACGGCTGGAACGGCCAAGTAGCTCGTTGGCATCTCAACAAGGCGTTGAGACGCACTGCAATCAATGGTCTCTCCGGCCTCGGAGCGCCCCTGCCTCGAATGCCTCTGCTTTCTTTATGTGAACACACCTAATTCCTATCCACTCTTCAATCAACTGCGTATCCTGATGCTTTGCACGCTCGGAGGCCATGGGTTTCTTCAAGAAATGGAGAGCACGTTTACATCCGCTTGAGCAGCCTTCAGTGGAGAAGCAGGCCGTCACGAAAGACAAAGTGACAGGCAGAGCTTCAGGCCATATTGCCGATCAGATCAGGCCACCGTCCAGCGAGAATGCCAGGATTGAAAGCGCGCAAAGGGCAAACAAGGTTGGCGAATCGGTTTATCGTGTTAACGTGTCTTCCGCGTCGCTTCGACTGACTGTATGCTAGTTGAAAAAAAAATCACCCATCCGCAAAAGTACAGACTGTATGAAAGTAATGTCTTTTCGCAAGCCATCAGGCAAATCTCCTCACTTGATCACCGGGTATAAAGTGGATGTGTCTTTCTTGCAGGAGAGCGAGGCCTCTGTCGCTTGGCCGAGACATACAGGAGGTATTCACTCACTCTGTCCTATCCCACTGTGTCTTGCACAAGCAAAGGCGCCAAAAAAATACGCCACCCTGTCTTGACTCATACTGACTTTGTGCCGGCACCAGGCAAGCAGCCTGTGCTCGCCCCCGCGCGCTCTCGTGCGGACTCCCATGTCGTCGCGCCCATCGGCCCCCTCCGCCCCAAAGCGACCTTCATCTACGTCCGTCGCGAGCACAGCTGGCGCACCACCGCCGCTCGCTTCAATGCTATCTTCGACGCCATCCCATCGAACGCTGCGGGCGCTTGCCGTGAGAATCCAAAGCTGTACATGAAACGCAGACGTCGGGCGCTTGTTGAGCTGGGCCTCATCGAACAGGAGCTCATCGCGGCGCCGGACACTCCGAAGGGCAAGAAGATTATGGAGAAGCTGGACCAGCTGGAGGAGGAGATGGAGCGGGAACGCTGGGAGGCGTGGCAGAGGGAGATGGAAGGGGTGAAGAGGAAGGGGGACGTCCCGGCGAAGAAGTTGAGGCGGAAGGTGGTGATGGCTGGGCCGCATTGTGTGAACGATGCGAGAGTTAAACTGCCGCCGGTTTATAGGAAGCAGGGTGGAAAGGAGAAGGCGGTTATTTATCAACGGGCTCCCAAGAGGGGGGAGAGGGGGGATGGAAGGGGGAAAAGGAGGGCGGTGGAAAAGGAGGGCGGTGGAATAGATGAGTAGTGTACATGTGGTATGGAATCTTAATGGCGGGTTGTAGATTCGCAATAGGGGTCAATGGGTGTAGTAGGAGATTGACAGCCGGGTCAGTAAATGTAATGGGAGGGGGTGGTGTATATCGTGCTTACAGATATGTTTCCCATCATTGGTCGGTTTCAATCTAATAAATCTGTCGGTTTTGTTATCAATTGCTATAGTGCTGTCTTCGGGCTCCGAGGCTACTGCCAGCATGATTAAAGCCGCACGTAGCTATCCTCATTCCATCACGGTTACAAGTTGCGATTCGCCATTGGTCAGGCAGAACACCGTGCCTAGCTACGGCGGTATCCCCACGGCGTCTCCCGGGTTGCTCAGCGATGGGCGTGGTTACATGGGTTCGTGTATGTCTGCATGCCCTGATTGATGGGCCGTTCGACAGCTTATAGCAAGATATGATTAGAAGGGCGCGAAGGCACGTCAGAAGCTCACGCTGGGAGTTCGCTCCGTCATCACTCACTCACTCTCAGACACTACGATCCACCTCGAACGGCGCGAGCGAAATTTCGTCGGCAGGCACAGTATCATCGCTCCCCATCCCATCGCCGCAATGGCGTCGCTCGACTCGGCACGAATGAAGTCTACTCTGGCTCAGTTTTGCCTCTGATCCCAAAGCGCCAGACGAGGAGGCAGCGGCAGAGCGAGGTCGTGCTCTCTAGTCGGGCATTTGTAAACCCCGGCGGGCGGTACTATTTTCCGATGGCCCGGTATAGGCTGTTTTTCCTTGACCAAGATGCCAGTCTGCGAGCGCTGGAAGCCGAGGCACGCGATGTGTCATCTTGGCCGCGATTTCGAACAGGGAATATCGGCGAGCTTAGGGCGTATACAACGAGCGAGACGTACGGAAGGGGTGTTGTGAGGCGGTCGAGCATGTGGATGGCTAGAATCGAGCTGTGTTGCACATTGTGGTGAGAGGGTGCGAAGCGAGTGAAATGGCAGGTCTTGATCGTGAGTTGGGACCTATACTGAGGTAGATTAGCATTCTGACATTTTGGTATCCGAGACTGGTCTTGCCGGAGGGCAAGACGTCTTTCGTGAAGGAAGGTCGTGGTTTAGCGTGCACTTCATGCACAGATTTAGTGGTCTCTGGTGGAAGGCCTGGCCCCTAGAGCAGTAAGGTGGTCGTCGAAGGCAGCACGTCAGGATCAGCTCGCACCCGATGCATTGACTCGTGGTAGTCCGGGAGTGCGGTATGGTTTCTTGAATGTGGGTTTGGCTGGCGGTTGGTTCTTTTCGCTGCGAGTGTTTTGATGGTGGAATAGCTCAGTGAGTTGAAGACAATGTGTTACTTCCAACTCTACGCCCACTGCCGTTATGCCTTTGTCCATCCTTGCTTTGATATGGCGACGTTCGCATAGCCGGATGAAGGCGTCGTTGTCATCGTGGTACGTCCGTGTCGTGTCCATCTATCCACAGCGTAACGCATTTCATGGTCCAAAAGCGTATGGCCTTCCGTCTCACATCGTTCGACCTCCTCCCTCGTACTTTGGATGTCCCACTGACAATTTATCTTGTTGTGTATCGTATTCGTGCGTTCGGCATCAAGCTGATCATCGTACCCTCCATCCTTCTCCTATCACACCTCTCTTTTGATCCACCTCCTCACACCTCGAGTAAGCACCACCAACCCAAACAGCCAAGAATCGGAAGACCACGCAAACCAGCAGCAACAGGGACCACATACCTTTATAGCAGCCTCAAGGGGCCGGTCCTTACCCCTGCTTCCCCAAGTCGAGGCTGAGCGAGGTAGGAAACCCTGGTGAATCCATGACACGAGTGCCTTTCCGGGCCGTGCAGTTGCCAGCCGGCCTCGTGGGGGACGCTTCACACGTGCGAAGTGCGAGTTGTGAGCGCAAAAGTATGCTTGGCGGACATGCACGCACACAACCGGACATCACGTCTCTCGCGAAAAGGCAGCGTTTCTCGCGCGACGAGCCGGCTAGGGGTACATGTGCGTATGGGGATTGCGCAGTTACCGGATTCAGAGAATGGTCGCACGTAAAAGGAAGGAAGGATGAGGAAGACCAAGAGTTTGGTCGCAAGGAGCGTTCATGGCAGGCTCCTGCGACTTTAGGACCCCCATGATGGATTGGAATGCGCACTGCACACGATGACATTCTGGAAGGACCCGTCGTGACGGGTGCATGCAGTAGGATGATCGCTGCCGGGCGAAATGGCCAGGGAAGCTGTCGCTGGGCTGCAGTGGGTACCATGGCCATCGGCGGAATGATTATGTGCATATTTACTTGCCTGACTTTGGGAGATGCTGACGGCGCCGGTGATAACTTAATTATGACTTCAGAGAAAGATGTGCGCGGATGTGACACTGCAGTGTGTATTGCGCATGTCGCATGTCGCATGTCGTTGGCAGCGAGGTGTCGAATAGTGCATGCCAGTGCTAGCAAAGACTTCAGAGAAAGAGCTTCTTCTACGATGCAAAATGTGAGGCTGTAGATTGCAAACGGTTTGAGTCTGTGCGCGTGAAAACGAGGAAAGGCACCCAAGGTCACTCGTTCTGGGGCCGAAAAGCCCACAGTCTACGAGTAGCATCCTTGAGGAGCCGAACGAGATGATCTCCCGCAGTCGCCACAACGCATGTGGAGACCTTGCATTGTGCTGAGCTGGAATACGAAAACGAGTTCAGTATCTTGAACGGAATTTTTGCAACATTCCCTAAGCCAGATGGGATTTCTCGCTGAGATGTGGTATCTTTGTGACTACGAGGCGGGCAACTACTGAGAGACTATAATAGTTTAGCAATGACTACTACATTCATCAGGCGATAGCGACATGGTCTCGGCTCCGTTCGAGGACCACGATTGTCTCATGTTACCAGATTTGAGTGAAGGAAAAAAGAAGGACGGATCACTTGACGGCAACCGTTATCAGGCCTGCGTATCACGCAGTCGAGTCCAGCACAGACTTCGTGAAGACCTCATCGTGCATAGGAGAAGCTTGCTACCGGAAGAATTGTCTCGATGGCAACGTTGCGGTGTCTCGGACTGAGACCACGGTTCAGAATCGAGTCACGTGTATGCGTCGGGGTTTGGGAGTAGTCCTAAGCGCACACCGACGCCACCAACGCTGCAAGTCCGAAACCGTTTGTGCTGTGAGATGCAGGGGTTGGAGGGATACTCGGTGTTGCTTCATATGGACTCAGTGCGGCGGTCTTTGACAGCGGCCACTATGTATGCAAGGCTAAGGACATGGGGAATGTCAAACGTAGTGCTGAGGTGCGCCGCGAGACATGCAGCTTACTCGTGCAGTGACGATAGGGCGACGTCATGCACTGGTGAGCAGCTGAAGCAAGAGATACAGCGCTGGTATGAGGTGAGGCTGGAGGTGCATTAGCGAGTGGGTGTGAGTGCTGAAGGGTGCACATGAGCGTTCAGAATCGCAAGCATCAGAACACAGGATGAAGAGGGTGCTGACGTGAGATGGATTCTGCGCTCGTTGACTATCGTCGGGCCGCTGGACCCCCTACATACTAAGCTACGCGAGGGGTCGATTGCTTCGAGTCGCGCAGCGGCAACGAAGCCTTGCGACAAGGTGGAGATGCGGGTCTAGACGGCAGTGGACGTGTGCTGGATTTGCGGACATCGAACGAGAGAGATGCCAAAAGGGGCCTAGCGAGCGGCTGGCAGCCAGAAAGCTTGAGGTGCGGCAGAGCGTTGCCTGGTTGCCTTGTCTTGGGCCCTGCCACCCTACGGGGAGCGAGAGTCGTGCCCTCGCGTGACGGCATTGCGCATGTAAACATAGCAAGGCTGATTTTGTCCAGCGGCGCCAAGGTGAGGGTGGCTAAAAATAAACCCTCTTTCTGGCCTAGCGACGCATCCGGCGAGGCTATGGACATGGGCGCTTAGAGCGAGAGGCATACAATGTACCCAATCCGAAGCTCTCTTGTTCCCTTCTGCGGCAGGACGGTAGGGCTGCGACTCAGGTTGGTTCCTTTCTCCGTTCCACTCCACCGCTCTCTACCTACGCCTGGGCACGTGCCTGCCATCTGGCGACGAAAGTCAAGCCTGGGTACAATCCAAGCGACTTCGGATGGTTGAGCGGTAGCCCGTCCCGCGTCAATCCAGTTTCATCACAGGCTTGGGAGCAACTCATTGGCCATGTCTCAGAGCACGGTTGCTCCCTCGCTGGCGCCCTGAACGGCATCTCCCACCGTTGCCACGCTGCCTCCGGCTGGAGCACGTCGGACATGCTGCCTTCCAAGCTACTCTCCGCGGGATGAAGAAACGTGTGATTGTCCCACGCTGCGGGCATCTGCATCGCACTCGGGCCACACCTCTGGGTCGGGGACGCTCGAGAGTACCAATCGCCGTCGGCGGATAGCCCGCTCCACGTGCCGATTGCTGAAGGATTCCGCCTGCATGTTGATTGTGCTGGATAATTGAGTGCCTGTCTCAAGTCCTGCTTCAAGTCGAACGCGCTCAGATGCCCGTCAATACTGCACTCCCTAGTCTGTTGCGGTCGCTATCACGCGGCTAATCTACATCCTGGCCTCCGCCTTGCCCGCGCAGTGGTTTGGGTTCTCACAATGCCGCAGATTCGAGAACAGCACTCTCCAACGAACCCCGAGACCCTGCCACTCCCTACTGTCCACAGGGTCTGTCACAACGATCGTCGTCCCCACAAGTCCTTAGCGCTCCTTCGGGTGTACCCAGACCTGAGCTCGAAATCGCGCTTGTGCAGATGCAGCAAACGATCTCGAATTGGTCCGTGACTTAACATGAGCGACCGTCGATCGAACTAGCAGCGCTAAACAGCGTCTTCTGCGGATGTCGACAGTCGACAGACGCGGTTTGAAAATACCTCTTCTTGGCTGCCCAGGTACCGCACCGCACTGCTGTGCTGCCTCTCTGCGCGCCCACTGTTGCGCTCGATATCATGGAGAGAAAGCAGCGGCAGATTCGTTTCCCCCTTGGTTCCCACGCACGGCCTGTCGGAATCCCGACCGTTTGGAACGGCATGGGCATGGGGCGGAAGCAACACGGCCTGGAAGGCAATGCGAGCGTCACGTGTCCGTCTTACTTCCACGAGCCGGTAGCGCAATGTCACGTTTCCCGCTACGCTGCCACTACTGTATCCGCTCATTGTCTGTATGCACCACGCTCGAGCCTCCAGAACCGGTGAGGTCGACTCCTGCGACGCGCGTAGAACTGCCTCTCTCACCATCTTCACACTCTCCTTACTAGCCAGGTCCCATCTCCTGGTGCCGTCTGAAATGTCGGCAAACACAGCGCCGTTGTCTCTCGATCCAGAGCTCTGTTGCGCCTAGGTGGGCTCAGCGTACAAGCTTTCCAAATCTCGAGGGCGGCGCCATGTCAGGCCCCCCGTCTATGGCCCTAGCAGGGCTGTAAGGATGTCCGTGTGGAGATTTGCTGGCTCTTGGCGACGAAGGAAGTATAGCCGCATCCTGTGCGGAGACTGTTGCTTACGGGCAGGCATCACAGCGCTCTTGACAGCGGACGAATGAGCGCGCACAATGCCACCCTCAGCGCAGTCGGAACATGTAGACCTCATCTCGCGATGCATGTCTTGCTCCATAGCCCAGGGCATGCAGGGGCAGCAGCGACGTAGGTGTCGCCCGCTGCATGTCCTGCTTCGATGTTTTCCACGCCTTACCAGCATCTGCGATGCGGTAATGCGTGCACGGCGCTTTGGGGAGTGCTGTCATCCGTCGGCGGTAAGGGTGTCCTCTATTTTCGGAATGCCATCATCCACGCGCGCCCAAGCCACGCCTCTCTTAGCAGTGGCTCGGTCCGAGCGCCGGCAAGCGCAGGGGTGCGCGGACGCCTCCTTGTCCTCTGCGGCTGCTGGAACGGTTCGGTTGCTCAAGCTTTCCCAGGCTATCCTGGGATCGTCCAGCAGTCTCATGGGAGCTCCGCCGCGGTGCAATTGGTGATCCTTGCCATCGCACCCTGGCCATATCTCAGCGACAAGCGTTAGGGCCACTGGGACCTGCATCTCATCTTCTGCCTTTCCTCAAAGCGCTGCCTCCGTGCTCTACCTCGTCCGTTTCCACATTGTGCTTGGCTCCCAGGCACAGCCCACAGATATTTACAGTTCCCCTCCACGACTGCGCCCGCGTTCTCTGTACCCACGTCTCTGAACCCCGATTTGGAACGGCACTCGTCCCGAATCCAGATAGACTGCCATACCTTTTGTGACTGCCCTGGTCCACTGCCGCCTTTAATCTTCGCTTCGTCCTCCGAGTCCGCCTGGCTCTTCCATGTCTAATCCGCCGCGCCATTTCAAGACATGATCACTGGCCCATAGCCATCTGTTGTACGACCGGATCAGGACTCATCGCCGCTGCCACCTCTGAGCCCTACCGTTTCCGAGTCCCCACTTGAGGCTCGAATCCTTCCCGCCCCTCCCCCTCCTCACAGTATAGATATATATCCCCTCCGCCTCTGTCAGCGATGTCAGGCCCTAGTGAGACAAGCGGCCGCCCCTCGGATCCCTCTACCCACCAACTTGAAAGCACCATTCCATCCCCAACAGCACCTCAACGTCTTCGAAGATCCTCGTACTCGTCGGATGAACGTATCGGAACCAGGCCTACAGCACCTCGTCGTCGTCCAGGAACCAGGAAAGAGACGGCGAATCCATCCTCTCGCGGGGACATCTCCACCATGCAGAGGTCTACCAGTCCGACACAGATGTCGCCTGACAGTTCAGTCCACTACACCAGGACTGGCCGCATCAGCAAAGCGAAGAAGGGCTTGAAGGTCCACCACTGCGAATGTGGACGGGTAAGTACTAATTTCAGCCGTTGAGTAGCAGCCCGCTTGAGCTTGTTCAACACAATAAGCTACGCCGCGTTCCCGCGCAGCCCTATCGTATACAACGCCCCTCCCGCAACCCCGTAAACCATCCGTTCCCCACCGACTCCACCACGCTTTTGAACGACATTAACTGACTTATTCTCTAGTCATACACCAGAGCTGAGCACTTGAGGTAGGTCGGATCTTATCCCCTCATGACGAAACTAGCTGACCCAAATAGACGACACCAAAGAAACCATGCACAGAACGCACTGCGGTGCGAGTGGCCGGACTGTGGAAAGCCGTTCTACAGGCTTGATCTTCTACAGCGGCACCAAGAGCGACAGTATGTATCCCGCCTGGCCCAAGCCTGCAAATGTTAACAAGTCCCAGCAACGACCCGGGAAGAGCAGAGTCTCCCCAGATGTACAGTCCAGCCAGCACCGCAGACCCAGAACCCCAGGGCTCTGCCCCTGTGACCTTGCCTGCTCCAATTGTCACTACGCTCCCTGCAACTGATTCATACTATGCGCAGCCGGTGTCTCCGATGCCTGTATCCGCTGCAGACGCAAGGTATACATCCAACCCGTTTCGTACTCCTCGTCTTCCTACTTCCGCGATCCGTCAATCTTTTCATTCTTCTCCTACTTCCGATCCCAGTCCTAGTTTCCAGTGAGTTTTGACGAACATTGAAGTCATGCTTTCCTTTCCTTTCCTTCTTCGTGCTGAGCCGCAAAGCTTTGCGACAAGTTTGCTGATTGTTCCTCTTCAGCCACTCCAAGAGGGCCTACACCGCCCCTCGTCAAAACCCGGGGCCGGCCTCTGTACCTGTGGATGCAGGTATGCAGAATGGCATCACCTGGACCGACCCCTTTGGCCACTCGCCCCACTATACCTCGTCCTCTAGCGATTACCCCTCGCCTATTCCCAGCGGGCCGGACTACTCGAGCAACATGTTCGCCAACCCCCCGTACGGACCTGGCTCCAATCGCACGCGCAACTCATCCAACGCTTCTTACACTGAGACTGCCTGGGGTTATCCTTCTAGATCACCAACATCGGCAACCTCCACCATGGCATACACATGGAACTCTAACGAGAAGAGCCCGGCTCCATCTCACCCAGTGTACATGCACACCTCCTATCCGATGACGAGTATGCCAATGTCTGCGGGTGTGGACCCGATGACGGGGTTTGGGCATTTTGGGCCCAAGACGATGGTGCAGAGAGACGAAGAAGAACAGGCGTTCCTCTTCCCTGAACAACCCTACGGTATGGGCCAACTCGTACACACATATCCATTTGACCAATATCTGAACAATTACTGGAGATTCTTTCACGCCGCCTACCCTCTCGTTCATCGAGCTACCTTTGAGAGCATAAGCCAGCCACCGATGCTTCACGCTGCCATGATCGCCATTGGCGGACAATATTCCGATGATGCCAGCGTCAAGCGCAAGTCTCGCATACTCCACGACCGGTGCATGAGGTTGCTTGACAAGGTAAGATCCTCACATATCCACATCTGAAACCCGCTGACAATGCGCAGAGAGAACTCGATGTCATTACCGAGCCAGAGCGTGTGTGCGACTGGCAAGCTTTGTTCCTCGTTGAGGTCATGTCGCAGTACCGTGCGCGGCGTGCGGCGATGGCATTGTCTTCGCGGTTCGAGACGCTATACCAGAAGGTAACATCTCGCTTACTGGATTTCCGATTCCTGTCTGACAATGACCAGCTCTGCAACGGCTTCCGGGAGGTGACCTCGAACATCGTTGAGAATATCTCCGCACTCGTCCAGCCCGAGAATGCTACCTACGCGCGCTGGACACAGTGGATCGAGCTATCCACCCAACAGCGTCTTCTTCTTTGCTGCTACATTCTCGAGTACCAACAACCTACTCTCCTTGCTCGCAACTCACATCAGTCCTCCATCGATTGCCAGGGATTCGACTTGCCATTGCCAGCTCACTCGGAGCTTTGGGACGCAACTACACCTTCCGACTGGGCCATGGCCGCCCAGCAAAACCCTCACCAGCTGACATATGTATTCCAAGTGACTCCGGATGTCATGCAAACTTTTGACACGTTCCAATCCTCCCTCATCATTGCGGCCTACTACAATCACTTTAACAACCCTACTCCATACCTTGCCCCCTCCAACTTCCAGCATATCGACCACCTCCTCGATAACTCCGCGGTGACCAAACATCAGCTTCTCACAGCAAAACTCCTCCAGGTCGTTCCCATCCGCGCCCTGCTCGCAGTCTCCGGCGAGAGCTGGATCCTGTGCGAGAAGACGTCTTCGCCGCAAGTATTTGCAAGCTATAAGACAACTCTCCGGTCATGGATCAGTGGGCTATGGACTGACGGAACTGACCACCAGGGCCAGTCTGCCAAGGACGCTCTCAAGCTCGCCATTGAGATTGCCCAGCATGCCATGACGGCACAGACGCTTACCCTCCGGCTCGAGCTGGGTGCAGACATGGGTCTCTACTTCGCAGCGCTCACTATCTGGGCTGCTACAGTTGCGGCAAACACCCGCATCAACGCACCGCAATCAGTTCAAACTCATCGCTTCCAGAACCATTCCCCTCTCCCGGGTGGGCGAACCAGCTACCCCTCCACGCCGTCTCACTTCTCGATGAACACCTCTGGTGGCACTACCAACCCCAGCCATCCTGCAGCATTGGGTCTGACTTCCCACCCGACAACATCTCCAGTTCCTCTCTCGCCCTCGGCAACCAGCATGCAGTACTCCGAACTTACCATGCTCTCCATCAACTTCCTCAACACTGCGCTAGTAGAGCTCGACTTGCTGGGCGTAGTACCTCAGTGGCCGCGCGACGTAGCGCAGTGGCAGCAGGGCTGCGCCGCCTTGATGCGCTGGGTGAAGATGCGGCTCAGGGGTGGGGCTACAGAGGGCAGGGACAGCGTTGTGTCCTCGACCCTCAACGTCGGTGGCCGCACTGGCGACGGCTTCGGTGGCGACGGCTTCGGCCAACTACTCGACGGTGTCATCGGTGCCTTGGAGAAGATCTTGAGTCGAAAATGGGATGTCTGGGGCTTTTAAGCACCACTCTGCTGACTCTACGGCCTGCAGTCGCACCAGGTCGACTTTTCTTTCGCGCGTTGCATCATGGCACGCACCTCTTCTCTTCGCGCTCTGTCTTTCGCTTCTCTGCGCTTCGCATCTTTCTTCACATTTTTTCTTCCTCACTTTCGCTTTACCGCTACTGTTGGATAGTGCATCGGCATAGCGTGGGTCTCAAAACGGCATAAACGGCATGATATGGCATGACGGAAACGAAGGATGATGGATTATTACGGATACCCTGTTGTTGCTCTTTCGCGTTCGCTTTCGCTTTTCACTACCCTGTACTACTACTGAATTTTTGCTCGGCATTCGTCTTGCGTTGCATTTTGTCTACGGCTGCTCGTTACGGTGCGCTTTCCATCTCAATCTATCTTGCGAGGCCTCTGCATTCGCGCGAGGTCCTTTCTGCTTTTTCCGAACAAGGCTTCTGTATCATCATGGTGCGGCTGCGGCATTTCTGGTGTGACATTGTGCATGGCATGGCGATGAGCCTGGTTTCTGTTGTGGCGTGCTCCGCCCCGCTTCATACTGTGAATACAACGGCTTATACATAGACGCACTGCCCACACGCTGTGTGGGCTTAAAATACACAGGGCTGTAAAGTTGAAGCCATCATCACAGCATGCTATGTGCAGTCTATTTCGACACAACTACCACTCGGCAGCAGACGCGAACCTTGGTTCGATCCTACCGCGCGCTGGCGTTACGACCGCCTGCCCGTTCAGCCTCAGCCCTCGATTCCACGGCGCATCGGCGCGTCGTTCGCCCGGGTTGTCTCCCCATCAGCCTATACCGCTTCGAGGTCTTGCTGAACCACACATAGCTCCCATACCGCTGCTGCCGCAGAACATCGCGCGTCTGACTCGCGCTGCTCGGCAGCCCCGCCGTCCTCTGCGAACTAGCCAGCACATCACGTCCATCTCCACCTCCCATACAATACGAACGCGAAATGACATCGGACCTCCCGACGCTGCGCAGATGAGCCCGTGATGTCAGACGGAAGTATGCGCGGAGGAGCTGCGATTCGGAGGTGCCGAGATCAGAGCGAGGGTTGCCCGCTCGACTTCCGCTGGCTGGTCGATGCCGCGCGGTGGCTGGGCGGGTGCTTGCTTGCGGGGATGCGCTATGTGCCGGCAGCAGGGCTGCGTCGGCCTGGCTGGGGATAGCGAGGCGCGCTACGAATGTCGGGACGGGCGGCAGCCCTGTGGGTTCGATACGAGACCTCAAAGATCCCTCCGCTATTCTGTATGCGTCGTAGAAACGGACTGGACCGTAAGACCCAAGTCGCATGGTGTTCCGATGCATAGGTGGGCTTGTGCGATTAAAGTGCGTGCGGGAAGCTTACCTGGTGAGCTAGTAAGCTGAACACACATATTTGTCAAGAGCAAAGCAGTGGAGAGGCAAGGTCTCTGCATTCTTGGTAGCTCTTGCCATGCATGGAGCTTTCTTAACTATGTTGAATACTGAGCCCCCTCGTGCATGCCAGTGCCCTCTGGTCCGGCGGATAGCCATGCCTGGAGGCTCAGACTTGGAGATATAGAAAACCACACACCGACTCATTCCTCTCTCTGCGTTCCTCAAGCTATTCCGTGTTCACACCACTACTATCTCCCTCCCTTCCCTCTTCCTCATCAACCTCGAATTGCTCTACAGCATCGAAGAAGGTATTGTCGCCTTCTTCGAATCGAGCACGGTTGTCTTCGCCAGTGTCACCACCGTGATCTTCTCCGTCGTGGAAGTCATCTTCGTCATCCTCGTCGTCATCTTCCATTTCATTCAGGCTCGCTTCGTCTTGGTGCATAGCTCCGCCTGGAGGTACTGGAGCATTCGCTTCTGCACCAAGCTCCTCCGCCGCGTCAGTTAGGAAGAACGGATGATCAGCTGACAAGGGTTTGCCAGTGGTGATGAAGCCCATGGGAGTATGCTCAAAGTCCTGACCTTTGCGAAGCGCTGCAAGCCAATCGTGGACTGTAGAGATATGTTAGCGCCTGTCGCTTGTTGCGATCTGATTCAAGACTTACCGAACGTTAGTGGTTTCTGCACGAAGGTGTCTCGCGAGGAATTGCCTAAGTATTCGCCCCCTCCCACCATCGTCTGCACACCAAGGTAAGAAAGGAGCCCCTCGTATTCGTGCCATTCAAAGTAGAGGCGACCCGCAAATATGCCAAGCTCAATCTTCAGCCATGATGGAACCTTCGTACCCGGGATTAGCGGAGGAGTAGCGTGATAACTTAGGTCATTAAAGTGGAGCATTCGTCGAGTTATAGGCGCTGAGTACACGATGAGGTGAATTCTGCTTGCGCCTGCGGCTGGTCGATGTTGACGAAGATATGGAAGGAGCGCGTCGGCTTCTTCAGGGCTGATGACTAATGCCTTGTTTGATGTAATGCTCCAAAGAATCCATTGGCAGGGTCGAATAAAGTTGTCATTCGGCTCGGTCACCTTTACCGTCCGGCTGAACTGCTTAGAGACATACAGACCTGGGGATTTGTTCTGCGCAAAGGCACCGTGTCGCCTGCCAGACGCGGTACACTGCAACGCAGACAACATTGGCTGGTAGGCTTCGCTGCCTGCGACGACTCTTCCAGATTTGGCGAACTCCTTGATATCTTCGTGTAGACGAGCAGTGTTGAGTGCAGTGAAGTGGAAAGGCTTCTCCGGCTCTCGATTATTTTCCACCTCGTTCTCAATCTCTCTTTCCTGCTCGACCTCCTCAAGTGCTGATGAGTGAATGGCGATTCCACTATCCTGGAAATCCTTTTTGCGCTGATCAAGCTCTGTAGCGAACAATCCAAGTACTCCCCTGTATGACCGCATTCGAGTGTCACCTGAGAATCCTCAATCGTTAGTTTTTTGATATTGTACCATTTATCCTAGAGCCACCTACCGCGATTCCTGGATTTTGGTTCATACATCTGCTTGAGGGTCTGTGACTCTTTTGTACGGATGACGGATAAGTATTCCGAACGCTGATATATATTTTTCAGAAACCCTGAATTCCTGATCTTCGCGTACTCATGTTTTATGTACGTATTGCCTTGGTTGTAGTATAGGGGTTCCAGTTGCTCAATACCATTACAAGACTGCTTTAAAAGCCAAGCAACGACATCAGAGGAGTACACATGGTCGTAGGCGCTTTTTTTCATGAGATCAACAATACTCTGATGAACCTCAGGTGGCGCGAAGAAAGTAACAGCTTGGGTTTGACCTAAGCAAGACAATCAGCCAAATTAGTTGAAATAATGCGGGTCTTACGCAAACATACCAAGCAGACGTAGACGCATCGCGGCTTGAGCAACAGCATCTTTCGAGACATGGGGTCCCAATGTCAGGGCGGCCCTTGCATTGGGGGGAAGCTTGAGATCCGTCCCACGGCAATGACTCTCATCCAAGTATACCAAACAACCTTCCAAGTTCTCTGCAAATGGGGTTGCGAGCAATGGGATGCGCTTCCCTTTGCGGTAAAGGACCCATGGGCGGTGTTCATCATCGAAATAGACCGCTGCAGTAGCTTCCCAGTCAATGTTGAGCCAAGTCCTGGCCAAGTTGAGGTTGTCGTGCTCTAGAATCTGAGCACCTGCATCGATTAGAATCCTGATCGGTTCCTTTGAGAACAACTTGTTCGGCTTGTGAAGCTCGGATAAGAGACTCTCCTCGCTCCATCGTCTGCCCAACTCGTCCATCATGTGGACATATCCCCGATTTCGCTTTTCTAGTAGATATGATAGAACTTCCGCATTAGTGTGAGCGAGATTAGGTAGATCATTCTGTTTGATCATCATGGGCAGCTGGTGTCGTGAGTCATTCGTACCAGAAAACCCAGTGGTCCTACAATTCGGCGGCGAACTCGGGTCGAACAGTACGAGATCCCACCCAGAAGCTTGGAGTTTGGTGTCAAACTGTTTAGCATGCCTTGGGAAAACAAAGTTGTTGAGATAGAAGTCCAGCAGATATATATTAGAACTGTCGATGATGTGAGTATATATGGTCCCAAATTTCAGCATTGTCAACGTACCGAACATATTGATGTAAACTGCGCAACTGCATGTTGTCGTCAACATTAATGGCAGTGTAGTCGCGTAAACACCCTGGCAGATCCCGGGTTGCCCATTTCTCATATTCGACGCTAGGCTCATCCGATTTCAGCAACTGCTCGAAAGCCTGCTTGAATTGCGCTACGCTCAGACCTTGGTAATAGAATGAAAGGCATGTCAGGATGATAGCAACATCGGGATGACCCCATTCAGAGGTTGGTGAAGGTACGCCTTTCGCCTAGTTCGATATCAGAACCGTGTCTGAAAGATCGAAAAACCCTGTAACACCACCAGCAAGTAGTGACGAGGATACGTGCATCAAATATGAACTTACATGGTATGGCACCGCGATAGGGTCACGCGTAGGGTGAAGACCATACTGAACATTCCAGCGTTTCTTCAGTGCTGAGAGTAGGATCCGGTGAACGAACAGCCCACGCAGAAGACAGAGTATCTTCATTAGATGTTGCTTTTCTTTAAACAGGCCGTTGACCTTGGACACTACGTGGGAAGCGACCATCGAGCTGGAGATGAAGACTCGTATGTCGTCTTGAGCAGATGATAAGATCTCTGCACATGGCAATGCAGCGATCTGACCCTTACAGATGGCTTCGACGATAAGGGAGATGAGGTGGTCCTCGACGTCGCGTCGCAGGAGATATATTAGCGGGAAGCCTCCGGATGGCCTGGTCACGACTTCGATGCTGTGCGGATAGCGATTATTCAATTCGGGAATGAATAATAGCACAAGTCGCAGTACAGCTTGAACTGTTTGCCATCTTAGAGGGTGGCCATCTACTGCCATTTGAAATCCAGATGGGTAGATCAGTTGAGTTCGTATTGCTAACGAGACATCGCATTCATCGAGCACGTCTCGAGCATTGCGATCCAGCCACTGCTGCATCTTGATCATAATGTTGGCCTGCTCCAGTTTATCATCGCAGAGTCGCTGCAGACCTCCCAACTTGAAAGAGAGGATACTCTCAGGTAAAGAGAGCAAGACACCACCGGACTTCTTGAGGGTGGAATGTAATTGACCAAGTGTCTCCAGGAGAGCATTGTCTGCTTTGGTCCTTCGGGAGAATGGGAGATGCATGATTTCGCGGTTGAGCAGACCTCCGAGCTTGATATGCATGACCTGAGCAGATTGCAGAAGTAGAGCTCGTGGTACCACGATTCGCAGCAAATTTTGCCTGTCGGCAAGGATAGCTGCGACCATAGGCAGGATACATGATGTCTTGCCCTTCCCCATGAGGAGCTGAGTTACCGAGTTACAACCCGTTGCCGGCGCGATTGTGGCATTGGCTACCTCGACTTGCTCCATACGAAGCATGATGTTACCGTCAATCTCTAACAAAAGCCAGTCTGAGCGAGTTAGGGGATTCCAGTTGACATGCCCTTCGTTGGAGAGTTCTTCTTGCAGTTGCTGCTTTTTGTGCCTGAGAGATGCATCCTCCACCCTGAGCAAACGCTGCCAATGCGTTATTCGGAGGCCCAAGTCAATAACGGCTTCTTTAATTCCTGGACCAAACGCGGATTCAGATGTCGAACGGAGCTCTGAGAGAAGTGCTATCTTAGTCATCTTCGGCCATAGGCAAGATGCTTTTAGCCACGTCGCACGCCTATCATGTACTTCAAGCGCTTGCCCTAAAGCGCGAAGAGCTTCATCACAAGACTGCTTCTTCTCATGAATCTGCTGTTTCAATAGAACGCTATTGGACGGAGACAAATTAGGGAGAAAATTAGAGGTGCGCTTCCCTAAGGCTTCAATACTGTCCATGAGTTCACGTCCATACTCGCGCTGGACGGCCGAAGCAGGCTGACCGGACGTTCCGCGCTGGATAACCTCAACAATACCCCGCAACTCTTTTAAATGGGGCTGCTGGGTGGACGGCGTGCGAGCGTATTGGCCTCCTTCATGCGCCCCCTTATTGTGCAGCATTGCCACATGACCGTTTGGCAGCTGTTTCCATGGACCACCAGCCGTCGCAATGGTGCTCACTTTCGAATCAATGGACGTCCCTTTGGAAGCAGATCGAGTCAAGTTCCCACTCAACAACAATTCTTGAAGTGTTGGAACAGCCCTGCTCCGGTGATAGAAGTATCTATGAGGCTCGGGGAGGGCAAACCCATTTTCCAGAATGTCACTGTTCGTTAACGAATCAATCGAAGCCGATTGCTCATCGAGCACTTGTTGAACACGTTCGATATATTGTGAAAGTTGAAAGTTCTGAGCCAATCGTCTCCAGTCAACTAATGCGAGGTCCAGGGCAGCTTTATTGTTGAGAAATTTGGCATCAATGGTTATTACTTTCTCCACATCGATGTCAACTTGTGGCCACTGGAGAAGGATCGACTGCGCAAGTTGCAAGCAATTGTGCTGACAAGCCTCTTCATGATGGATTCGTGCCAAAGCCATCTGCCCAGGTAGATCTCCTTGTTTCTTTGGCACTGCTTCATGAGGCTGGTGCGCTTCCTTCATCGACTCGGCAAGATCCTTCGTAGCAGGGATCTCGTCGAGCTTGAAACGAACATACGAAGGCCATACTGGCATTTCGATGTCTTTAAGAGCTGGGAGGGTGGCATAAGCAACCAAAACTTGAAGCAGCTCGACGGGTGCGCGCGGAGACAATGCCATCGGTGCCAAAAGAAACATTAAACGATATCGATCATCAGGGCCCGCTTCCATGGCTGTTTGCACAAGAGCACACCAATTTTCAACCACGTCCACGGAGATAAGATCGCACAGCGCAATTCGATCGAAAGGCCCACTCAGACCTCCGATGATGGAGTATTTCTGTAAAATCTGCGCCAGCTGTCCGGTGCTCCGATTTGAGATGGACCATTCACTCAAGTACTTTGTGATAAGCGCTATGCTGTCTCGTGCGACGCTGCCAGTGGGAGATCCTCTCGCTGCGTAAAATGTATCGGATGGTGGTGAACGATCACTGAGTCTCGAAACCGAGCGGGATACCAAGTGCGGATCACTTGTCGACGCTTTGTGGGAGATGCATCCCAAAGGGTCGATCGTAAACAATTGAAGCTGAGAAGCTCTTCTGTATATATCTTCTATAAGCGCGCGATACCGGTCATCCTGGATGGTGGTAGTAAGGTGCTGATTCCAGGTCACGACCTCCATACATCTCAAATCTTCTGGATAGTACGCCCGAACAGGGGATAAATTCGCAATGTTCGCGAGGATTGAAGGTACCATTGGGTCACGTATGGGTGCCCATGGCTTGTATAGGCCGGATTGGAGCAGACACAAGGCTTCTTCTAACCCAGTGCGACCAGTCAAAGGATCTGAAAATACGTGAGATGTATAAGCGTGCCACATTGCTTTCGTATAAAGCAGCCGATGTTCCGCAGGGCATTGAATCCGCCCGAGCACATCGTCAACGTCGAACCTCAGATACGAACCTTCGGGAATGACACGTATGCGAACATGTCCTCCATGTTTGCCGAATTGAAGCCGACCTTCTGGAACAAGTATCAGCCGATGGCGTTCGTTCTTTATAGAGCGCAGCACAATCTTGCTGAAACATCCATACCATGCGCCGATGTCCTGAAGATCGGTATACACAACCTCTGCTCCCAGCTCGCGACATTGCAAGAGGTTGGAGTGATTGACAACAAAGTTCAGTTCCAGGCGTCTCAACTCGACACAGAGTCGCCCCTTCTGAGGTTGTGTCACTAGAATGTGCTCGGCAGTCTCAAATAGGAGAAAGTTGTGGGCAACATTCAAAGCAACTGTACTGAAGGGATCAACTAGGCTTGAGCTTTTCCTAGTGACTTCGGAGGTGTTGAGGTTGAGTCTCCAATTGCTCTTTTTAGACCTCCATTTGTCTCCTTGCCGAATTTCCAAGATCTTGCTATCAATGTTAAGCCAATGGAAACAACCGGTTATCAGAGGTAAAGGTAGATCATGCTGAGTGTTGCTTCCAGTGACGCTCGTGAAGATAGACGCATCTATGAGTTCCAGTGTGGCAGGACCTTGGAATGCGCGAACAACAAGCTCACCCTGACGAAAACCAAGATGAATCTTATGATTGAACGGCATCGAATGGGCGACGTAATACGACATTCCGGGCATATATGAAGGCAGAACACGTAGTGCGTATGTCCCAAAGAGTGTATGGATCACCGGCTTATGATATACCGCTGGGAGTATGCCAGATTGTTTTCCATCGATGAGGAAGTCTCCTCGAAACAGGTGATAGTGAACCAAGTGTGTAGTTCGTTCTTGACGCGCTTGAATGGAGATCTCCACCCACCAGGATTGCGGTACAATTCGGATAGTGGGAAGATCGGCAGAAGCCCCTGACGGCAATGGCCAGATGTAGTTAATAGCCGAAAGTAAGGCTTCAACATTCGACTTTACCAGGCTAGCCAACTCGATACGGTGTTGAAACGAGTAAAGAAGATCATCCAATAGTAACTTCCGCAAGGCGTAAGGCAAGTCGTCAAATGGACCAACAAGACTTTCCTGGAGAATAATAGAAGCACCGATAAGGTACTCCAGAGCTTTAGTATCTAGATTGAAATCGGCAGATACTGGGCGCTGCACGGCCCGCTTACATAGTACCGAAGCCCAGAGTGCGAAGATTGTGGAATCTTGTCCGACATTCGGAGGCGGGGAATGCAAGGCAAGGCACCACTTCCAAGTAGCAATGCGGACTTGTTCTAGAAGCTCTAGAGCCTTCCTTTGAACGTCCCTACAAGAAGAAAGCGATATGACCTTGAGAAGCAGAGTTATAAGCAGATCCATCTGCACCGGCTCCCTCCAGTTGCGTCGTACGGCATCCAAGCGGTTGCTCACTTGCTCTAGAAGCTTGTTGCAAAACGTATCATCATCAAATATCATATGGATGTCTCGCAGAGGATGTCCGAGGAATGAAGGTCCTACTTGAAGGACGAGTTTTGTAACGATGGCCCAAGTTGACTCGGTTGAAAAGTTTAGATTGGTGGCACCTAACTCTCGCAACAAAGAAAGCCATCGTCGATTCGTCCCACTGAGTAGCTCCTGCCACGCCATGAATTCATGGACGTTCAGGTCGGCCGGGCACTTTGTTTGGCTAGCAAGTATATCGTTTGAAGAAGGCCAACGATACGTGTTGACACCAACGCAATTGTATGGTGAGCTGCTGGGAAGCATAAGGGGAATGTGTCTTGAAAAAGACATCTTGTCGTCCCGTTGAGTCCATGATTGGCTTCCAGTGTCATAATACCTGAGGGTAAGTCCACAAGGCCTCCAGATTTGATGCAGTTCAACCGGGAATCCTGTCTCCGCGTAGTGACAGTCGAGATGTGATTTGGTGCTGGATCCTAAGGTCACTTGAGGAAGGACAGAATTGGCATAATGGGAGAGTCCATTATAGCCACGCAACGTCGGCACATCTTCAAGAGCCTGGACTGGAACATGTGCGAGAATCGAGAGTAGGAGCCAAGTTGCGTCTCGATAAGCAGCGAATGGCAGCGGGCATCGCAATTCGAAGACAGCAGCCTTCGCGGTGGCTTCGTCCTTTGGCAGAGGATCCTCGAAAATTTCGATTTTGATACTGCGCGCTTTGAATGCGAGACGGTGTTTGGGACAGGCACTTTTGTGGATCGACTTCAGCACGCCATCCTTGACGATCTCTTCAAAGCCAGGGCATGGGGGAGATTCTTCAATCTCTTGAAGGGTTTGCTTATATTGCTCCAACTTCGTTTCCCACTCCTCTTCTTTGTGTGTCCGTAGCTCTTCCGCATCAGCTTGTATCTCCTCTCGCAGTTGAGCTAAACCTGTGTACTCACCAAGCTCGTTGTAGTACACCGAGGCAAATGAGTCTTCAGCAGGAGGGTCGAAAATTGTCTTGCTTCCGGAGCCGGCCCAACCATTGCATCGGTGCTTGATATACGTCTGTACTTCTTCTACGCGTTGCATATCATCTGCATGTAGAAACTCCAGGGCGTCCAAGAGTTCAGGGTCAAACCCAGGATGGTATATCTTCAAGAGAGGAAAGCCAACAATGGCATGTCGATCCAGTTCGGCCCAGAGCTCCATCACATCAAGAAGAAACCTGCTCTTCATTTCGGGATAGCCTTCAAGAAGGTCTTTAGTGCTAGACACATACTGCCCAATCGTACGAGCTAGAGCACAGCAACGGGTCTCCCATTCAATCGGTACCCTATAACCAGCTTGCATGGGTACGACTTGGACCTCCACCGTGCTGGCCAGCTCGAGGTAGCGATCTGCGACAACTGCAAAGGAATTCGTGTTACCTCGGAACGCTTCGTAACGCTCAAGAAGTTGACGTGGCGAGAAAAGTTGCGGGGGAGAGGTCCACGAAGCGCCAAAAGCGACCAAACGCAGTCTGTGCCCGCTTGATGGTAATTGCAGTTTGGAATCATTCGGATCTGCGACCTTAGGCAATATTCGAATCGGCCTCCGCGTTTTCGCACGGTATACATTCCATTGGTTCACCAAAAATCCCCTCGTGTTCTCCAGGCGCATTTTGAAATCGCGTTGCATTTTATCGAATAACGATGCCCGCAGTGTCGCGTCGTGTCCCGACACACTCATCTGATGATGCTCGATCTTGGCGAGTCTCCGCCCCAGCTTCTGCATGAAGTTGAAAGCGGCCTCGTGTGGAATCACCCTGTAACATTCGCCTAGGAGGCGAGACAGGAAAAGAGCCATGATAAGCTTGTAGTAGAAGTGACCGAGATTTGGACCCATGATCTTGTACAAGTGGCGTTGCATGGCTACGCGAATAGCCAGATATAATGGGGATCGACGCCATGGTATGCGCGCATCCTTGAAACTTATGGTATCGTGGATGCGTTTTCGGAGCAGTGGAACGTCGCATCTCATGCCATTGGCCTCGAGCACCGTCATGAGGAACTCAGTAATAAGTGACGGGTCCATTGTGCCGCGTATTTCTGGTAAAGGTGCCCCTGCTTTGTAGGTGACTGCGGCAAATCTCTTCAACGGCTCAATGCTGGCACGTTGGAGAAATGACGCAAAAGATTCTTGAAATGACCGTGTGAGATAGACTTCCGAAGGTACGGATGCTGCGTACGCTGGGAAATCCCGTCGTAGCGCGTTTTCTGAAGCGACAACAGCTTCACAGTTCGCTGCAGCCTCGAAGGCTTCGAAGAGCACATGTTCCCCGTTCGTACTGCTGGCTTCGTTAGCTTTAGAGCTTAAGATTGGGTTGTCGCTCTACGTACCCGGCATCCTTGTACACAAGTATAGCTGCGTTCTGTTCTTTGACATAGAGAAGCAGCGCGCGTTTGTCACCCAAATCTGCCAGCTCTTGAGCGAGGAGGTCTTTGTCTAACGTGCCTTCGAGATTGGTCGCCTTAAAGCTGATAAGCGTCGATTGAAGAAGCTCAACAAGGTAGGCGTGCTCCTGCGGAACCAGTGGAATGATTGCTTCGACGGCCTGAAGTATACGATCGAGCAGCGCAGCTTCAACTGCACAAAGGTTGCGGTCTTCCGTGCCTATACGCGTTGGTTCGATGTCAGTGCGGGTCAAACAACTGAGGCAGAGTCAAATACCGGGCACGTCGCGCGGCAGTGCGACGTGTTGATAGAGCTGGAGCAGGAAGTCCCGCGAAGCAGCCATGGCCGCGAGCTTGTGGCAGTTGCTAAACGAAAGTAAGGAAGGAAGTGTCAGGTGTGTTAAGGCGAGCGGAAGGTAGCGACTATGGACAAGCAGGGCAAGAGCGCGCTCAGGTGGCACGGCCACCAACAGTGCGTCAAGACTCCCGCGATTTGCGAGGAAAGAGCGATCAAAGAGCGGCAGGAGCGAGTGACGGTGACGGGTCGGTAAAGACTAGTTTATGCCGATATCTGATAACGCTGATTGCCATAGGCATGCCCTAGTCGCCTCGCATTGTACAGCAGGGAGCAGCGGTAGCACCAACATACAATGGTGAGGCTAGAGAACAAGCGACCCACGAGAAGTGTTTTTCAATACACATCCTGTGTTTTGTGTAATGCCAGCCCACAGGCGTGGGTACTGAATTACTAGCCCTGAGATAGTGTACCTGCTCAAGCCAATGATGGGGCACTGTGAACCCTGGAGCGACTGGTTGGAGGGGTAGGCCCTCAAGCGATGGAGGCCACATGTAGAGCACATGGGACCCTGCACACCGATGCTGTTGATCCGTGTAACCGCGGAGCTGCGGGGAGGGCATACAAAGGATAGAGGCAACTGTAGGTAGCGGACAGTCTGATTAAGGTTGTTGCTTGTACGGCACAAATATCCGCAACTGTGTGTGGAAGGAAGACATGAGTGATAAGTGGAAGATAACGGTCATTTAACAGAAGTAGAATGGAGAGAGAAGGTATTGAATGTAACAGTAGATAAAATTTCGCGGTTTGCCACCAGGCGTTCAGTCTCCTTCTCTTGTATGGTGTGTGCGGAGAGACAGTAAAAATCCTGTCACTTACAAGATAGATTAGGCGCACGAAATCATTCGGGGTCTTCTTTGAGACTAGATGATAACGGATTTGTCATGTAGTGATTGCGAGATCGCCTGAAGAGCCTCGAGGTCGTTGCTGCGAATCTTGCGTGACCACATGTGCATCGAGCAAATTGCTGTACATCAAGTGGCAACTCGCAGTGCTTGCCTGTGGTCAAAACCGGTTCTGATTCGACTTCAACAGCGCATTCTGCCCGCCGAGGAGACCCACACTATTGCTCTTCTCATGATGCACTTGAATGTATCGATACGTGAATAATAGATTCATGCTCCGGCCCTTGCGGGGACTCAGGTTATCCGCGCGCGTTGAACACGCGTGCAGGCCGCAGTAATAACTCTGTGAAAAAAAATGATAGCAGAGGTTGTTACACTGTCATATGGGCGGTGATCTGCAGGAGCATGAGCCTACATTGCTATGTCTGTGGTGAAGTCTAGCTAGGTGGCCGAGCCCGAGGCTAGCCCATGCTTGTGCATCTTTGGCGAATCACTTCTGCCACATATACCCAACAGAAAGGGTCTGCCGGCGGCGTAACAGTAGCGCGACAAGAAGCGGATCCCGACGCTGTACAGCAGCGACCAAGAGACGATGACCCGGAGCATCCCAACATTATGATATTCGTAGGCATGCTCGCTGGGCTAGATGAACGCCCTCAAACTGATTCACCATGTTACATCTGCGGGGACGACTTCACGGCAGATCAGTACAGAGCAGAGAACAGTAACCGCGATAAACTAGTGCGTACAAGGTGTACACATGCGTACCACATGTTATGTCGTCTCCACTTGCTCGTCGATGTCGCGCGTACAGCCCGTGATGAGAGACCTTGCTACTCAACACGGTGATGTGTGTGTTGGAAGCTGGCTGACCGAAGCTTCCAAGCTTAGGCGTCTCGCAACTGCACGCATCATCTCAACCCCATTGCTGACCTTTGTCCATCGACGGCCGGCACGCTTTTACTCGGATATGGATGATCTGGGATGGAAATCTTCGACTTTCTTCCTTTCCCATTTCCCCATCTCTCCAGCCGCGGCTGTCGGCAAAGGCCCACAAGCGAGGATCCACATGGCTCGGCCGAACTCCCTTGTAGGGGGCGGCAGCATGCACCCGCACCTGGAAGGAGATGGCGGTATCGGGTATAGGCTAGCAAAAGTGACTGCGCTGGGAATATTTCCCGCCTCCGTCAGAAATCTTGTTTCAACCTCTTCTACCCCTTTCGTTCGTTGCGCTTTGCTCGGTGCGACTGCGTTGCTCACATCTGAGCGTTCGCGGGATAAATACCATCGAAGTTCGGGGTGCAATCATGTCTGCACACGAGAACGCTGGGGCAAAGGCCTCCGAAAAAGAGAGGGAGAAGGCCGAGGCCGATTTGGATGTCGATGATGATCGAACGTCGGTGTCCTCGATATCGACAGACTCGCTCAGCTTCGAGGAAGAGGTCATTTCAATCCACCAGACTCTCAGTCGCAATGCTGGTCTCGATGAGCGTGAAAAATCACTGGCCCACATCACCACCGTCACGACAAACATGACCACGGACCCACGCTTCGAGATCGACTTTGAAAAGGGCGAGAGTCCGCAAGATTGGAGCATGGCCAAGAAGTGCATGGTCATCTTTTTTATGAGTTTCTCGACCTTGGTCGTGGTGATGTACTCTACTTCTTATACAGCTGGTGTTCCGGGAATGATGGTCACCTTCCACGTAACATCCAAAACGAACCTTGTCCTCGGTTTAACGACATATTTGGCAGGCCTTGCGCTCGGATCCGTCATACTTGCGCCCTTAAGCGAAATGTATGGACGACGCCCAGTTTATTTAATTGCGGTTGCCATGTTTATTGTTCTGATCATCCCATGTGCGTTGGCACAGAATTTGGCCACCATTCTCGCAGTGCGTTTTTTCGGTGCCTTCGCCGGTGCAGCAATGATTTCCAACGCGCCAGGAACGGTGTCCGACATTGTCAGCGACGACTATCGCGCTCTTGCATTTTCTGTCTGGTCAATTGGGCCGATGGTAAGACCCCCAAGTTTGGGTAGGTAGAAATGGTATCTCATATCCAACAGAACGGCCCTGTAGTCGGGCCTTTGGTGGGAGGCTTTGTATTCCAGTACATGGGTTGGCGCTGGACCAACTGGGTCGTAATGATCGGGTCTGGGGTATCCTGGTTCATGGTATTCTGTAGGTATCTCCGACAACCTGGAGAGACACCGGACTGACAGTTGGCAGTAATAGGCGAGACTTACGCGCCCGCGCTTTTGCGCGCGAAATCAGCAAAGATGCGCAAAGAAACCGGCGAAGAGCGCTGGTATTCGCGCTACGATGATAAGAAAAAATTCTGGCCAATGCTGAAGGAGAACTTGTATCGCCCGCTCGTCATGAGCGTCAAAGAGCCCATTTGGTCGGTCTATCGCTTCGATTTTGATGGCAACGCTAACATCTCCTTCAGCATCTTCTGGAACGTCTATATCGCGCTTGTATACGGCGTTCTCTACCTTTGCTTCGTGTCCTATCCAATCGTTTTTAGTGAGCTTCGTGGCTGGAGTCCTGGCCTTACTGGTCTCGGGTATATTGGTATCGGTATTGGAGGTATGATCACGATCTGCTCTGAGCCTCTGCTACGGCGCCTCATCAATTCGCATAAGCCGGATCCCGTAACCGGGAAGCCTCCTCCAGAGGCAATGGTCAGTGTCGTATGCATAGCTGCTGTGTGCGTACCTGTGGGCGAGATGATATTCGCTTGGACATGCACGCCGGACGTGCACTGGGTTGCTCCTATCATTGCTGGGATTCCATTTGGTGCAGGAAATTGCGGTGTGTTCATTTACGCATCGAATTACCTCGTTCATTCGTACGGCATCTATGCTGCATCAGCTCTCGCGGGCAACGCCGTCCTTCGAAGTGCTATGGGGGGCACTCTTCCGCTTGCGGGACCTGCAATGTAAGCCGTCGTTAGCCTCTAAATTCCTCATTGTACTAATATGCAAATCTAGGTACAAATCTCTTGGCCCTCATTGGTCCGCTACTATGCTCTCGCTCATAGAGTTCGCCATGATCCCCATTCCCCTCATCTTCTACCGATATGGCCACAAAATCCGTGAGAGATCCACCCTGATCCGACAAATGCGTGAGGACAGGGAGAAGCTGGAAAACAAGATGAAGAAAGTTGCGGAAAGGGAAGAACGATTGAGGACGAGGGAGGTCACAGCGATAGATGAGAAGGAGAAGGTAGAGGTGTGAACAAAGTTCTATGTAAAGCAACATTGAAGAGTTAGTTCTGGCAGCAATGCATTTGTATGAATATAGATTATCATGATAGAACATATACTCGTACTGAAGCGCTATACTTCTTCTCATCGTCAAGACTGGCTGGAACGAGGAATGCTAGCAGCTACAAGTACACTGTCTATGACGTACAAAGACTACATGGACTGTCTCATGAATGGGGTTCTCGGATAAACAGCATCTTTTGTAGTTATAGAGGCTGACGGCCATCTGAGATCGAGAACATCAGGATCCACACCATTGTTTGTCGTTCGGGCGCAACAGTTGTATCGTCTACCAGTGAGACATGATCGCATCATTCGCAAAACAGCTCCAACAGGAAATTGAACACAATCAAATAGACACACGCAACATAGCCTTGTCATGTAAGACATTGGCGGCACAGTCCACTCAATTCAAGCGTAGTACATGTTTTGCGGCACAGCACCCGAGTCGCTGGCGGCGCGGCAGTGCGCTGGCGTCAGCAGTGCTACGCCGCCATTAAACAGCCACATCCAAACCAAGGACTTTTCAACACGAGCATATCTGCACCTCAACTGAACCTAATCTCAACTTCCACTCCCCGTCAAATTTGTGCCCGCCGGATTTCCTGCGTCTTTTTCAAGCGCTCTTGCATAGATAGCAGCCTTACCATCTCAAATTACTGCCTGGTTTCTCGGCTACCATATTGTTTCGGCATGGCGATCCTGGACTATGCCGGCACGACACTCGCCCTTGCAACTGTTCCGCTCGTGGCTACAATCGTTGTCCTTACCAAACTTGTGGCATTTATCCCGGTGCTTGTCAAATGGAGGAAGGATGAGGAAACGTCGACTGCGAAAGGAGTGCGGGTGCCACAAGATGAAGGGAAGGTCGCTGAGTTTAATGGTAAGTCATAGAGCAAGCGCTTTGAGGACCTACTGAACACACATTTCAGAACTTCGTCGCCGGGCAGGTTCCAGCGCCTGATGCAAAGACATAGGGATACCACCAGATGTGCAACACGAGGTCGAGTGGGTGAGAGGCAATTTATGGATGACAGACTAGCACCTTCTCGAGTTTTGATTTACCGTCTTTCGGCCTTCGGCAGCCGCTTCATATGTGTCATAGTATAAGTCTCCACCTCTGCTGCGTCACTCGTTCTCCTGTGTTCCAACCTTTCCGCCCACGCCCTTACCGGCGAACAAGGCGCAAACTAATGTACCCAAGTGAAAACACCAAGATGACCTGCTATCGCGTTACCAAGATCAATGAGCGCACTGTCCACACCTTGGGATACTGGGGAGACAATGAGGCCGACGATATACATGCACGAGGTGCCAGGCGGCATCCGCGCTCCCATCGCATGTTGCATGTCTGCGTCTTCAAAAGTGTGGAGACGGTCGATGCCATTCTCTGCGTGCCCATGTGTCTCGCTTTCCACCTTCCTTTCGCGAAGATCTCATCGTCACCAGCCCCCTCAACCGCCTTCTTGAAGTCCTCGAGTCCGTCTGCGGGGCCCTCAGCTGCAATATGCGCCTCATCCAGGTCTCTGAAGCTCCAACCTGCGTGCCTAACACTATTGCCTGCGGGGTTGACAGCCTCGACGTAGATGTAGTTTTTCCTATTAAGGGTGGCCAGGAACCCATCGCAGGAGACTTCGTACATGTCGAACAAATGGCTTTACGCGTAGCTGTTTGACGATTGCATGGCGATCTGTGGAGAAGGCCACTGCAGTTCTGCCAGCGCAGGCGTGGATGTGTGCGTACTGGAGTGGGTAGATGTCTATGGCCATGTGCTTTCTGGGCGGCTTGGTTCGAATAATGCTGACTACGATAGCCACTGACGCATCAAACGATGAAGCTACTCGCACGTGCCGCCGTTGAGAGATAGTGCGGCCCCCTTCCTCAATACCAGTTCAATCACTCAGTTATTGCGTGGAGAAGAATATGTGAAGATGAATGAAAACATGCATAGATGGTACATGGGTGCTAGTGAAGATGGACTCAGATTCGTTCGTACTGCAACGCCTTGAGACCCGACCCCATGCTAAGAACGATAATATGAAGACCCTGTGAAAGTATGCAGACAATCCTAACCGAATACGAGTGCCCTCACTTCAATGCTCTCGCGTCCGACAGCGCCCTCAGGTGTCCTCGGATCAACAAAGGCAGTGTGCGGTGCGCGACCCCACAAACCCACTGTCTCGTCGCTATCAAAGCATTTCAGCAACAGGCGGTCTTCATTCTTCATACCTGACCAGTAGTACCATTTCTGCGATGGATTGAAGAGCACCTGTGCCGTCTCACCAGTGCGGTCTGGGTATCTGTGCTCTACTGGAATCAAATCCTCGTCTCTAACTGTCGAGCTGTCCGCGACAGCAAGTGGATGTGCCATGACCGGGCCATTCAACGGTCGCCACACGTTGATAATGCGGTACCGGCCTTGCAACAACTTGTCTGCCTCGTTGGGGAGATGAAGCTTGATGCGCTGTGCAGCAGAAAACGGCGTCTGGTCCACGTGAACCCGCGTCACGGGGGCTCTGTTCGCTCCGGGGTGCGATCGCCGGATAGTATGGTCGAAGAGAAGTACTCTATTTGCGCCAGGCACATTCTCCAGCAGCAGTTTCTCGACCTCGGGGTAGTAGACCCTCTTGATTTGCTCGTCGTCCTGGAACTCATGTTCCTGTGAAGATACACTCTGAATTGTGTCGAAGGCGTTGTTGTTCAGGGAGAACTTCTGCTCCTGCCCACGCAAATCATCGAGAGTCACTTCGTGCAACGACTCTCCAAAGTTGCGTTGTGGTACGCCCGGCAGTGGCTCGACATAGTTGTGCGGTTTGGCGCCGTCCTCGGGCGGCTTGTAGAACGAGAGAGAGGCTTTGACGGGCCCGCGAGGGATAGGTAGTCCTTGGAAATTAACGTCTGTGGACGTAGGTGTCGACGATATAGTACCCGAGAGCTTGTGTGCGGGTGTCGGTCGCGGCGCAGCGGTCGTCATTTGAAATGATCTATAGACTCGCTCGGGTTTGAGAATAGATTGGGGCGGATGCTATCACAAGATTGTGGCGGACAATGGTAGAATCGAGGTCTTGTTGTGCTAGCTGTGGTCAATGCGCCCAAAGGTAAGTTGACTTGGATGAAGATGTGGATCAGTTAGGCTTTTCGCGTGCATATATATTCATACGATTAGAAATCTTGGATGCATTCGTGCGGCTTCCCTTGATTTCAGAGGGCGGGGGAGATGCGGCGGCGATGATGCCATCCCCTTATGGCCGAGATTAGTAAGGCTGTTGCACCAATCGGTGCATCGACGGCTGACAAACAACTCCATTGCGTGATCGCTAGCGAGTATACGAGCTAGAGGGTATCACTGAGTTGTTGCACAGTAATCGAGGGTTTCAGCGCAGTTGAGGGATGCGGTAAGCTTGCTGTGATGACGAGGGACACAGCAATGTCCTAAGCAGACCTCGGCGATGGTTCGGAACTTGACGTTCACCGTTCTCGCTTAGTATACTAACCATCGCTAGCATAGGTATGCGGCTACGCACCCGACCCGCATGCTCGCTACGACGTTCGCGCAGACCAAGGTTCGCGTCAACGGCATTGCGCCTGGAGTATTCCCCAGCGAAGTGAGAAGACCACGATTGCAACTATACTGTTGGCGTGTTAACACCTTTAGATGCCTGCTGGTGACTAACAACAAGTCAAACCTCAAGACGGAGATGTCGAACCCAGCTGGGCGACCCAATTCTGATATCGACGTGGCTGCATCGATCGTGTTCCTGGCTGGCCCAGGTGGTGTGTTCTACAACGAACAGATCCTGTTCCCCGATGGAGATAAGTATCTTCTACCTGCTGCTCAATACTCCTCTGACAAGTGCAGGTAACACCCTCGTGCAGCCGGCTGCAGAGTAAATATATACGACTCATGACTGTACACAATGTAATGGCATATCTGTATTCATAACGACATTATCGTAAACCTTCTTCTCTTACGACTTCCCGTAAAACCCATGTAAGGACGTTCGACATTGTGAATTCTCTGGCGACATGTTCTGCAGGACTCCAGACTTTGACAGCGGCAGCCCAGAAGGCATGTGCGCCATCGCCGGCGGTTGTGGGAGCTTGCCCTTGTTAGCCCTCTCCGGCCGTCTCTGCTCCACGTCCGGACCTCTTCTCAACCTGGCTTTCACAAACACCGCAAACACCCCATCTCGGTGCGCCTGCAAAACACCGAGGCCGGCCAGAAGCGCTGATACGCAACATACAACCAGCATCAGATATCGCCCCGCACGCTGGCCCCATTAGCCCATCATCTCTGCAATCCTTTAGGCATACTTACAGATCTCTCACAAGCAGAAAACCCATACAATGCATTCGTGTCGGGAAACACACTCGGCACCGCTTCACATAGATAGAACTCTTGGGTGAAACTCCGCTCGGCCCACTGGCTAAAAAGCTTCGGCAGACGACCCTGCGCCTCACTGGTGAAGAGGTATACGGTGAATCCAATGGAGGCGGCGGTATTAGTCACGGCCGCAATGCAGACGGCGCTGCCCAACATTCTGATCTATCGACATGTCAGTCTCAAGAAAATCTTTCACTTTTCCATTATACAGTGATCTGGCCTCAGGGTAGGGCAACCGTACGTGGACTATGTTCGCCCTACCACAAGCTCTACTCCAATGTAGCACAGGCCATGCAATGCCCAACAGTGAGACGAGCAAACTGCATGCCCCGACGGCGAACTTCACAACCGTGGGCCCGACATCGATATTCGAAGGGTTCAGTGGGACGAACATGAACTCCGCCATGCTGGAGCCCGGGTACTGGCGCCAGTCATTGGTAAAGGCATCTTGGACGCGAGATTCCAGCACGAGGATGGCGATCGAGAGGGCGAATAATGTCAACGACGAGAGCCCGATGGCAATGGTGTGGGGAGAGAACTTCGAGCCGAGATAGGGCATGCTTTGGGTTTCCTTGATGCGGGGATGAACGGCGATGCAGGCATGTTTATCGGTGGAATGGTGTGAGTACGGTGATGAAACTGATGAGGTCGAGACTCAGGCTAGGTGGAGGCCTGGAAGGATTGGAGCTCGGGACTGAAGCCATGCTACGCCGCAGCCTTGTGGGGAGCCGAGTGCATAAGGTAAGGTGCCTACGAGGATAGACTCATATGGCAGATTTCATAGCTAAATGACATAAGGGGCGTCAGGCAAGCATTCGTGAACGCTCATCTCCCGCATGACCTGACTAGAAATCCGAAGGCGCTAAACGCAACTCTGGCACCTTATGCTAATCGCCTCGTAGTTACGACAGCTAGAAGACAATGTGTCTTTACCAAAGTTTCGAACTGCCTCCGCTGACTTGCTGAAGCTCAACATAGGTCCCGGCGAATCTCGTTCGTCCTTGTTGATCTTCGCTTCCAGTTTCTCACCAGGATGCAATGCGCAGCAGCCGACCAATCTTGTCGCAGTTGCACCTCCAACCCCGAAAACATGAAACGCCTCCATGGTTACAGCCACGATCGGCAACCCGCCGCACGGCCCCCACGCAATCTTTTTTTAACGCACAACAAGGCTCCACTGGCGCTATCGCGCGAATGCACAACCTCCTCCTGCGATCTATATCTGTGGGGACTGCGGCCTTAAGGCAGACGAGACATTGGTCCAACCTAATCCCCGCGTGCACTGTGCATCCGCTCTCGCCCTCGTCATTCCGCAATCCGCGAGGGCGACGAAATGCAGAAGACGCGACAAAGTCGACTTCACGGCCTTGATGGCGACTACGGCATCGATGACGTCCGAGGATATCCTCGTCCGAAGCCGCAGCCTCCGGCTTCATATCCGCTCCCTCACCCAGACCACTCCGCGAAGCAACAGGCTCAAAAGCGCCTGGAGTCGTATAACACGCGCAACCATGGCAAATTCCATGAACGGAATCGGGGGAGCAAGAAGGCGGGGTTTTGGGGGATGCTGAAGCTGCTGTTCAAGTGCGGGTCCCTTGCTAATCATGCTGCCGGGGCAGCTTGAGCGAGTACGTTGCTCTGAGAGGAGGAGGAAGGGCGGTTGTTTGCCAGATCACTGCCTTCAGGCACGGGATTAATGTCCTGGTTTATTCGAATCGTTCGAGACATGCCGGTTGAAGAGATGCATGGCTTCCTTGAGTGAATGGGATCGTTCTTTCCGATCGGCGACGTAAACTCACGTTACTGGAGTTTTGAGTGACGGGACTCTAGGTCAAAATACTGGTATGCACAATGGCATGTCTTGGGGAAATGTCGCTTTAGAAAATAAAACTGGATGGGCCGTGTTCTTTTCCGATTCACTTGGGTGCCTGATGCCAACTTTTACGAATCACTACTGGGCAGGCTTTATAGCGAACCAGAGGCATGGGAAATGAGATCAGTAGGCCTCCGATGTGCGTGACAGGTCGTGCTTTGCTCGGGAACAAGTTTGACGATCAAACCTCCCTGCGGTGTTTCGGCGCCATTGTTGACGAGGTCACCAATGTACCATAGGCTGTCTACAGTCTTCTACATATGCGGACCCGTTGCGTTCACAACATTGCACAGGATACCATATATTTATTTGAAAATTGAGAAACGTTTTTCTTGGCCCAATTGTTCGTGCAATTGACGAGGCTCTAATATGTGGTGCTTCAATGATACGAAACTCGGGTTATGAACGTTCTCTTTGTTGTGAGTCCAAATCCGGGAGTGGGCCTTCTTTCTGTCTTTACTACCATTTGATCTAGAATTGTTCTTCGTACAGTATAGCTACTCTATAAAGCTGACTTCCACTCGTCTCAGGACATTGCAGGCACAAGATTGACCAGGCGACAGTTAAAAGGAACGTTATCTGCTTCAGTAAGATCTTGTGTATACGATTTAGTCACTGCCCCACCTGATATGAATGAGGTTTGCTCTACTAACAAGCGCCAAGAGCGTTGGTTGTAATATAACCCCGGAATGGAAGTACTTAGTGCAAGAAAGTGCTACACAGCGGTGTGCAAATTCACTGAACCATGCTATAAGATACACGATTTCGATGTTCACGAGTTGCGATGCCGTCATAAGCAACTTGACGTCCATGCTAATTCGCTGCCTAAACAAGGAAGGTCACAGTGATGTTGGACGTGGATGGAAGTCACAAATTTGCTTTCGTATGTGCTTGTTGGTACTATCTAAATGATCTAATGTCGGACCTGTCAGCCAACGCGTGAAGCGTGCACTGATGCAGTCTAGTAATCGGTGTTATGTAAACGCAGAAGCCCTGGGTACTCTTCTCTGCATTCTTGCGAGAGGAGCCAATGCTATGATGCGAGTTCACGAGATGTCTTGAGCAAAACGATCGTCTCTAATATGGCCACATTGGTACCAATGCGGAAGAGGCATTGCGGGGCGTTCGTGTCCCTAGGCTCAACAGTGACTAGCATCAAGCCGTTGCTATAATTACTGGCGAGCCTCAAAAGCTGTGGCGACGTGCCAGCAGTGTCATACCGGATATGCCGATACTTCGGAGACATCGCATGGGTGATATCTGCGCTTGGGTATCGCTGGGCAGTGACGGTGCGCTATATGTCACTCTATTCTAAAAGTTCGGCCGGTATCTTGAATTCCTTTGTAATCCTGGTCATATTATTGACTAGGTCGTTCACGTCAACTGAAGTCGAGGCGGTGCCGTTGCTCGGTGTGCCAAAGCCACTTGGGCCCAGAGAGGTTGGATCGTCCATCTTTGGAGGGTCCGTGTCGATCTGAATGGTGACCTGAGCGTGTTAACACGGGAATTTGAGAGACAGTAGAGGATTAGGCTGCTGAGGATGTACCTCATTGTCCAGACAGCTGTAGTCTATACCTACCGGCCCATCGTTCACAAGCGCGACGTCCATCATAGCTGCGAACAAGCCGTCCTTGACTTTGTCTGCCTGATAAGAGTCCTGCACTTTCTTGAAGAAAGCCTGGTATTGTTCCTTGGCCTTGAGTCCGCTTGCAGACTGGTGGAAGCTGGGCTTGTTGCCCTTTTTCATCGAAGCAAGTAGTGTAAACTGGGAAACTGATAGCGCATTAGAAGGGTACCGTACCGGGGCGCTGGGTGCGTCGTACCGCAAAGAACCTCACCCTCAATTTCAACAACATTCTTTTTCCACTGTCGCCGGGGTCAGTGCTTAATTGCGCTCGCGCGATTTGCTCACCACCCACCTTGCCAGGCGGATCAGTGCTTTCGTCATCCCAGAGCTTTGCTTTCAGAATCTTTCCTGGCATTGACTCGATGTCCTTTTCGGTATCATCCTTGGAGATGGCGGCAAGGACAAGGAGGCCTCTGCCGATGGACGAGATGAGCTGGCCATCTACGGTGACCGAGGCCGACTTGACGCGTTGGAGAACGGCTACAGGCAAAAGTCAGAGGCGCCATGAGGTACTGGTGATATCACGTACTCCTCATGATGGCGGGGTAGTCCTTTCCAAACGAGTGTTGAGGAGTCGGCAGCGACTGCCTGGCGAGCAAGCGAGAGATCCCAGCGAGTGCAGTGATAGACGGTTGCAATGGCGAGTGAATGCTAGCAGCCACATAGGCCTCTGAGTGCATCCATGGCGATACGAAACGCGGCGAGAGCTCATCGTGGACTGTTGACACGCGGGGAAGTCGCGTTAGCTATTCCGGATTTGGCTAGCACGTGACTTTCCACGCTAGGCGGAAAGAGGGCACCTCAGATACGCAGGCACGTCGAACCACGTCCATTACAACGACACACGCCTCTATCCGCGTCCCGCTGCCGTACGATCGCGCGCCCAGCCCCTCCCGAACGCATTCAGCTCACGACGAGCGCCCGCCGGCCCCCGATAGGCTCCCACCGCTCCTCGCGCACGAAGCTACGCACACACGATGGCACAGCGCAAGCTCCAGCAGGAGATCGACAAGTGCTTCAAGAAGGTCGCCGAGGGTGTCGCGACCTTTGAGAGCATCCACGAGAAGATCCAGGTGTGCACCAACCAGTCGCAGAAGGAGAAGCTCGAGGACTCGCTCAAGAAGGAGATCAAGAAGCTGCAGCGGTCGCGCGACCAGATCAAGACATGGGCAACCATGAGCGACATCAAGGACAAGAAGCCGCTGCTCGACCAGCGGAAGCTGATAGAGACGGTAGACGCCCCCCAGCCCTCCCTGCCGTGCCCCCACTGACGCTGCGCAGCAAATGGAGAAGTTCAAGGCTGTCGAGAAAGAAATGAAGACCAAGGCATATTCCAAGGAAGGCCTCCAATTAGCATCGAAACTGGATCCAAAGGACAAGGAGAAGTTAGAGGTCGTCGAAATGCTGCAGCACATGAACGAAGAGCTGGACCAGCAGGTGGAGAAGATAGAAGCCGAGGTGGAGATCATGCAGGCCTCAACCAAGAAGGGCAAGAAGGGCGTCACAAACGCGGAGCGGATATCAGAGCTCGAGGAGACGGTCGAACGACATAAGTGGCACATGGGCAAGCTGGAATTGCTGCAACGCGCGCTGCAGAATGGCAATGTCGAAACGGAGCAGGTCAAGGAGATTGAAGAGGGCATAAAGTACTACGTGGAGAGTAATCAGGAGCCGGATTTCATGGAGGACGACACAATATACGACGAGTTCAACCTGGATGAAGAGGAGGCAGCGTACGGACTGGCCCAGGATGTGGACCGCGTGTCCTCACAAGACACGCAGTCGATACAGGACGAAGCAGAACCCGAGTCGCGATCCGCTAGCATTCCAAAAGTGAAGCCAGTCGAGACGGTGCAGAGTGGGGCAAGACGGTCGTCAACACAGCTCAAATCTCCCCTTCCAGCTTTGGCAACGCTGCATACGCCTTTGCCTGGTGTCTCGAACGCAGCATCCAGTTCCATGAAACCTGCCCCGCTCCCAGCCCGAACACCGGGAGAGCCTCTCAAATATGCCTCGGCGGCCGCGGCTGCAGCCGCGAGCGATAAGAATGGGGTCGGTATTGCGCCGCTGCCACCACCACCCGGCTCAGCTGCGGCGCAGGCTGGTCTCGCTCCTAGTGGCGCACGGGCAAGCGCGACAACATCGCCTGCTCCTTCGCATCCTCAATTGGCATCACAACCTCCCGCTGGAGCACCAGAGACTGCTCCGCAAGCTCCGCCGACAAAATCTCCGACAGGAACCCCGGCCTCAGCTGTCCGGGAGAAAGACACGCTGTCACGTGCGCAGTCGTCCGACAGCAGGAAGACACCAGCGCCTGAGCAAGAAGAGGAAATACAGTCAGCGACACCCCCCTTGACGAATGGAGAGTCGCATGCCGACGAGGAAGAAGAGGAGTCGATCTTCCATCTCCCGTCAACCTTGCAGGATCTCTTCGAGTCGTTGGAGGCCACTAAGAACGACATCAACGCCTCGTCATCAAAACCTCCGGATGAGCGAATGCTCGCTGCAAGCATGGCCACGGCCCCAGATTCAGCGGATACAGAAGCGCCACGCCACTACCGCCCACAGAATCCGTACCCATACACACCTGCACATTACCCACAGGAGCCGTTGGCGATATTCGATGACCCACGGCTATACTCCCGCATAGAGACTGATGCTTTGTTCTATGCCTTCTACTACCGCCAGGGCACCTATCAGCAGTACCTTGCGGCAAAAGCACTAAAGTCTCAGAGCTGGCGGTTCCATAAGCAGTACCAGACGTGGTTCCAGCGCCATGAGGAACCCAAGGCTATAACCGAAGATTACGAGCAGGGGACGTATAGGTTCTTCGACTATGAGAGCACGTGGTAAGCACTTACTTCATCCCTTGTCCTGCCGCATGTTACATCCCCGGACCCAGAACTGCGCCACATTCCCACGCCCGGGTCATCCATCCCCAATCTTGTTCTCGACTGACATGTAGCAGGATGAACCGAAGGAAAGCAGATTTCCGCTTCGCCTACAAGTTTCTCGAAGACGAATTGTGAACGGGCCATCCACGACGCCAGCGTCCTCCTGCGCGGCTAACGGTATTGCGGTTGTATGAATTATTAGGTAGTTGTCAATGGTACCCAAAGGGTATTTCTCGAGCCAGACCAAACACAACGCTTCTCACCGACTCGTTTCGCAGCCAGATTCCAGTAAACAGTGAAAGTCAGGCAGCGGGACGCGGTGAGTGAGCAAGGCGTCTGCACAGGCGGTCGAGCCTCTTTGTCCAGACCACGAGATCGTAGGCCTGCAACTCCCGCATCGCCCGAATATTTGATATTGGTCGCATCGCCACTTCAGCTGCGCTGGCCGCGATTGATCGTTCTGTCGGGCGAGTTCTGACATAATGACGCTACTGAATAACCCGGTCTTATTGGCTGACAGTAACCAGGGTCATCTTGCCTTGGCCCCCACATACTACTCACAGCGCTTGACGTGAACGGTGCGTACGCGCACGGAACTGCGAAATACTAAGGTACCTTGACTCACTCGCGCGAACGTTTGCTCCGACCTGAGCGGCTTGCGCCATGACAAGCGAAGTAGTCATGGGCTTTCCGAGGGTCTAAATGAGGGTTCCCCTGACCAGTTGGGCCCCGCAAGGCGAAATGACTGCCACTTGTGGTGTAACGCACGGTCCCGGCCTAACACAATTGAGCAACCGCAGGCGACAAAACCGGGCGTTTGATGACTTCAATGTCACTTTGCATTGACAAGTGAACCTTCCGTAGCCAGTAAGCTCATGGACGTTTCCTAGCAGGCGCCGGCATTTTTCTCAGCCTTCGTCCCACAGGTCGGTTTCAACTACAAACCGGACGGTCCCCACTGACCTGGCTGGGGACGCACCACGCAACGGGCCGTGGAAGCCATGGCCTCTTGGTGGCTTCCACTCCTTCTGGAACCCTCATTTTCTAAAGCCTTACCCGTCCCACGTCACAGGGCAAAAATGCAAGGCGGTTTTCGCTCCACGAGCGGTAAGTGCCATGCGAGTCCATTAGGGAGATGAGGGTGCCTACCTAGCGGTGAAGTGTGACTACGAGCGACTGATGATTTCGCTAATACCCGACATCTGGGGAGTGGTATGACTAGTGAGGATATCTTGGCAGTATCTACTCGAGGTCGCTGGACCATCAAAGCGAGGCTCACTATGCAAAACATAAGATAATCTGTGCATCGAGAGCGTCGCTTACTGTCCCTGAGCGTCTTCTATGGAGCCTCAGCCTCAGACCTCAAGAAACTTCGTCGCCTCGCTTTACGCTCAGCATTTCTACGACCGCCTCACGCCCGCCATTTTACATCGTTCGTGCCTTTCAGCCTTATCGGAATCCAGGCGTCCGGAGATAAACCAGCTGGGAATTGCCAACATAGCCACTTGCATCCTTCTGTCAACACCTACGGCACAGTCCAAGTGTGTTCGGTTAGTAAGTTGGTCATTGACCTATGGTGACACTATGATGCAAATCTTGGTCTAGGAAGGATCAGCCGGGTCCATCCGCTCTACAACACTACGGAACTTACGGCCATCGTGGAAACTCGTTCAGCAGTAAGTCGGCGTGATGAAGGACTGAGACGTTGGGGGCAGTGAAGGATCTCGTCGAAGAGTCTGATACTTAACCAGCGTATATCACACTCCGTACGAGAAGTCGTTCAGCTAGGCAGAAACAAGACACTACGGTCCAACGTCGGTAATCTAGTCTACGATTGAAAGATATAATCCCATACACGGTACTCGCACGAAGGCAGCAGACCATCCCGCCCTCCCGCCTTCCCGCATCTTCGCCTTTTCCTGCACGTCCAAGCCCTACCGTGCCTCACAACTGCACCTTTGCACATCCTGGTTTGCTGTCATCATGAACGGATACGGCGTAAGTACTTGCCGCTCTACTAGCTTAAATTTCTGTCCTGTAGGTTCTGATGTCTTCTTCTACTACAGTATCCTGTAGACCAGTCCGGCTACTACGCAGATTCTAGCTACAACATGCCGCAATACACCCCCGCTCAAATACACGCATACTATCAACAGTATGGCTGCTACCCTGCGGGCTACCAACCACCACAGCAAACGCCCCAAGTACCCACCTCTGCATACGGTTACCCACAGGGCACTACCGCCTACGGCCATCCTTCCACCTCGCACGAGTACTATACGCCCGTGGGTAGCGCCCAGCAAGTCGCCCGGTAAGTCAACGGTTGCTTGATACAGACATTGAATTCGATCCGTTCGGCTAACATCTCCTAGGCCACGGAGTCCACGGTATGTGATCCTTCACCCCACGGTGCTGGTTTTCGCCTTGCATGAAACCCTAACATCACGACTAGTCCCTCCGCCTGACAGCAAGGCTAACATGTCTCCAGAACCTGGAAATGCGAGCTTCCCAACTGCACATCGACCGCCAACTTCACGCGCCTAGCTGACCTGCAAAGACACCAGTCTACTGTACATGGAGTGGGCACTCCCGACTTCCCCTGCACCGTCAAGGACTGCACTCGCGTGGGCGACAAGGGCTTCACACGCCGAGACCATCTCGTCGAGCACCTACGCAACTTCCATCACATCGACATCCCAAAGCGGAGGCCCGGCGAGCGTAGCGCCTACCCGCTGGGGCTGCCGAATTACCAGTAACTCCACCTTTCCTTCCCTCGTCCGCTCCCGCGAGACACAGCCTGAACTGAACAGGGCCGGAAAACGGGTCTCGAGGCGGACGAGAGGGAGAGGTGGGTGGCGGCGAAGAGGAGACGGTTAGGACCCCAAATTACAACACCATGGATATCTGAATCGTGGACTCTAGTGGGAGCAAGAGCTGGAAAGGCAGAATCGTCGGTGTATCAACAACATCGTGACAAGCGGGTATATTCCGGAGAGATGACGCTCGTCGCAAGCAACCCACGATACTGTATTAGGAACGCGCTATGGACGAGTCCGGGCGTAGGACTCTACGCGGCTAGCCTTGCGCTTGCACGCTTTGTGGGCTCGCGAAAATGTGCCTGAGGGTGGAGCTGTGCTCTTCCGCGGTAAGGCATTTTTGATTTGCGGGAGGAACGTGCGTCGCACGCCCGCGGATTTGATCTGACCCAGCATCGTTGGCTCGCGCAGGGAACCCTGGCTTACACGCCCAGCTGCGCAGGGCCGGACTCGCTGTCGGGGTTAGCAGCGGGCGAGGCGGATAGCAGGATGCTGCTCAGTGTGGGGATAGACGTTTGTTCATTGAGCGGTGTTCATTGTTTCGATTCTTGGCGTTGGGGGGTGTACATACACATTAGACCTTGCTTTTCGTTTGTTCAACTGCATAGCATAGCGCGGGGGACTCGCATGGGGCAATGGACGGGCGCATTCATTCCTTCTTCAGTATACGATTATTACAACGTTTATGGTTTCGCTCTTACAAACCCGACCGCTCCTGCAGCCCTCTTACCAAAGTCTTGCCCCACGGACACGTTCAGCGGCACAGCCGGGGCACATGGTCGTCGCGGGTTGCGCGATGTGCAACGTGGAGATTATGCGGCTCAGCGATTGAGATGAAGCAAGACAGCGCGGTCTTACTGTACAGGCCGCAGGGATGCGTTCCCGTCATCGAAGGCGAGTCTCGCCGCGGCATGCTCGTGCGCTTCTCTACGCTGTGCACGTTGGTTGTTGCACCGGGCCTGAGAACGGTGCCGCAGGACATGGACACGGACTTGGACCCGTGCGCAAAATGCGCTTCATCTGATCTGAGCGTGACCGAGACGTCAGCATAAGGTTCGGTAGGTCGAGATGGCCGTGTAGACAGCCACCAACATCGCCTGTACCAAGTATACTCGTAGGTCTTTGGGTAGGCATATCTCATTGCTGTATAGCGTCAAGGTACAGTGTTACATCAAGGTGTGGGAAGGTACTCTTCTTGGCAGCGTCGGATCCGCAGTAAAGTCTTGATTCTTCGTGCTTTTTTGCGACCCGCGGTCGGAATCGGAGTTGACATGTGGACCTGCGGCCGGCGTGCAACTGCGCCTTCGTGGCATGGACTCGCTCGCCCTGGGTTTGGAGGCTCGACCTGGAACTGATGGCGAGGAGGGTCGGCCAATCAGCGAGCGTAGGGTCGAAGGGCAGGCACCGTCCGGCACCGTGGGTCTGGGTTGGGGCCAAAAGGTGTTAAGTTTGGTGAGGCAGATAGGTAATGAATCATTTGAATCTCATCCCGACTGAGTCCCACTACAGAGGTTACCGCGATGCTCGTGCGAGAAGGCGGTAGTGCCGTAAGGGTTACCTCCTAGGGTTGTGTAGGATATGACGTATGGCCCGCAATGCTACCGTGGTTCTGGAGCACTTAATTGTCACCACAGTTGCTGGCCAACATGCAGTATCGCAGAGTATTCTTGAACCATGGTCTGATAGCAACGTGAATTCATTCCTTGAATCTAGTCATGCGGGCACTGCGGTACAAGACAATGTGATCTATGGTAATCACATGTCGTGTCGTGTCGGCTAGCGCATAACGCTGCCCTTCCAGGCGAAGGCTCTCTTCTCCTCTCACCACAATCTATTGTGCGTTTTGAATTCTACTGCCAACTTCCCCCGCCACCGGCCCATCAACCCATGTCTCTGCCGCTCTACCTGCACTTAAACAATACCGCCTATCGCGAATCCTACCCTCTACAATAACTCACCTCGTCGCATACCCCAAGCCCCGCATCTACACGAGCGGCGAAGCCCCGCCAGCACATACCTCTGCAACCTTTATTTTTCCGGCAGGCGCGTTCTAGCCTCCGAAGCCCATATACAATATGCACGATCTGCGGCGACAGGCTCTCGAGAGCGGCAAGACCGTCTCGCGCAAGGCCCGCTCCCGCGTCGCCTCTGGAGCAAACTCCAAATCCAATTCGGCGCTGAATTCACCCGCCCAGTCGCGCGCGGCATCCCGTAACCCCAGTCGCCATGGGTCCGACGACGACGACTATCTCAGCGATGGCACCGCCTGGAGGTATGTTTCGCGCTCCTGCTTCTGACTTTTTTGTGGACTTCGTCGCGGGCGGTGACATCATCATGGTATTCGTCTACGGCCGTGCGCTAACATCGCGCTCATCCAGCACCAACTCCATCGACGATATCCTCAACAGCGAAGATGCTGACGTCCCCGCCGACGCGTGGAAGGCCGAGCTGCACAACCGCGTCGAGCAGATCGTCGACCGCAAACGCAGCAGCACCGAGGGCCGTGCCGAGAGCCTAAATGCCTACGCCCACATCCTCATGGCGCGCTTCGCCAAAGATGACATCGAAGGCCGCATAGGCGAGCTTCTGCCGTCGATTCTGCGCAGCATCAAGGCTGAGACATCCGAGCGCGAGACAGTTACCGCGCTGCGAGGTAAGTAACGCCACAACTTGCATGGCCTGCGGCACAGCTGACCCAGAATAGCCCTCGCCGTGACCATCGTCACGCTCGACTCGGACGACCTCTACGACTCGGCCGCCGACCTCCTCCGCCGCAAAGTGTCCGACTCCGAGTCCACACAGGTCAAGATCAGTGCTATCCATGCACTGGGCACGGCCGCCTTCTTCGGCGGCACCTCCGAGGACGAGCTCGAAGACACCATGGCCTTCTTCCTCGAGATCGTCGAGTCAGACGGGCTCTCCATCGACGCTCACGACGAGGGCTCCGTCGTCATCGCCGCCCTCGAAGAATGGAGTCTCCTCGTAACCGCCCTCGACGACTTCGAAACAACCACCGAGACCGCCATGGAAGCCCTCGTCGAGCAGCTCGACTCCGCCGATGCAGGCGTCCAGGGCGCCGCCGGTGAGGCCATTGCCCTCTTGTACGAGAAGTCGTACACGCCCGTCGAAGACGACGAGGTGCCCGAGCCTACCTCGGATGACGACGAGCTGCCTCGCGGCGCGCAGGAAAATTTATTTGTGAAGCGCTACACTGTGTACCGCCGGCAGGACCAGCTGCTGCACACGCTCGACGCCCTCGCCAACGCGTCGTCACGCCGCATCTCCAAGAAGGACCGCAAGACGCTGCACAGCACGTTCGGGGATATCCGCAACACCGTCGAGAAGCCGACCCGCGGGCCCAAGTACAGTACTGCTATTGACCAGGAGACGGGCTTCGTGTACGGTGGCGGCCGCATGAAGGTCAAGATCAACCGTAACTGCGAGGTGCGCATCGACAAGTGGTGGAAGCTGCAGCGGCTGAATGCCCTGAGGCGCGTGCTACAGGCCGGGTTTACGCATCACTATGACGAGAACGAGGCTGTGAGTCGGTGCCTGCCGTTTTCGATGAGCGGTCGGTAGAGCGGCGTATTCTTAGCATCTTTTGGGCGGGCCTGTCTCAACGAGAAATGTATCGTAGAGGGCATCTAAATGTAGAGACATGTCCTGTTTGGTTGCCTTTTGTCGTTTGGAGCAGATTTATGCAGGATATTTTGCATCTGCTTTCATGTTGTTTTTGTTGCATCTAATACCCAGCATATTTTGTACGTCATATTGGAGGGAATCGCATGGTACACTTGGTAGACAGGCTAGTTAGGATGGCTTAGGTGAGTTCAAGTGATAGTATCATCTCGAACATTGGGTGTCTTGTAGCCGTGGTAGATTGATTGTATGCTGAAAAATTTGTCGCTAAACATGTAGCGTCTCCGGCGAGCTGTAGGATGGTGCACATACGCTATGGTGTATCCCTAGACTTTGAACGACTTTGTATCCTGTGTGTACGGTGTCCCTCGTGCTGTCCTTGAGGCGGATATCAACGGCTGATTCTGTGCATTTCACGATGGACGCCTTTCTTCTTGGGGGGGTTTTTTTTGGCATGGGGGTATCGTTGTGATTCCCGGTGGACTGAACAAGTACGTTGAGGTGTGGACACTTGTGAGCGGCAAGAGGATGGTACATCGTTGACCTTTACGCCTGTATCTCATGGTTTAGTCACACTCGTGTGCACGTGAGGGGCCAGATCTGTTCAAGGTGAAGTTTGAATAAGCCCTATATCGGCCAGTCAGTCCCCACCATGCCATACTCATTGGCACTGGATTGATCTCGTTGAACGGTTTTAGTCTTGCAGTCTGGTCAAGACATACGAGTTTGCTTTGTTCATGTTTGAGGCTCATCGACTGGCTGATAGGCGTGTGGAACCTCCCAAAACGACATGTGCAGCGGTCCATCAATTGTGCGGTGCACAGAAGGAAAGTACACCGCACTACCCCTTCGCTCTGGTTCACCGCGCTGAAACACTCGCACTCAGAACCCACTCAAACCCATCGCCGCGTTTGTACTAATTGCCCAGTTGAGTTCCTAAAGCCGAGCAACCTGACCCCTAGAGCGACTGTAGTGCTTGCGGCTAAAGCTGCAAACGGGAGGGGAAAGCAGAAGCCTACAACACACGTCACAGAATAGCATACAAATCTTACAGTGACCAAGACGACATCCGCCGCATTGCGTCCTCTGCATGTGGGCCTTCAGACGTCTGGATCTGTGTGTGGCAGTTGTTGTCGAGGCGCAATGCTGCAGCACACTGACATCGCTCTGGCATATAGGCCGGATAGATTAGCCCAGATCACCATCTCAAGCATCCTATTTATCGTGCAGGTCTGGTCATATTGATTATATTTCGATTGACATGTCCCTGAAACATGAAGCATCCCAGTCGAACCTTAACAGCTCGTACCTCATCAAAGAACTCCTACTCCTCGAGTCCCACCTCCGCAACCAACTAGAAGTTGAACGCATTTTTGTAGGCCTTCTTCTCTTTCTCCCGCCTCTCCTTCACCCTCCTCTTCACGCCCTCCAGCTCCTTTGAGATCGCCGCATCCCCCGGCGCATACTTGGCCGCCATCTCCAAATCCTTGACCGCCTCCTCGTCGTTCTTCCGCCCGACTCTCGCCTGCGCCCGGCGGAAATACGCCTTCGCCATGTCCTTCTCGCTGATGCCCTCCACCTCGAGCGCCTTCCCCGCGCTCTCTGCCGCCTCGACGTACTGCCCCACCTTGTTCTGCAGCAGCGCCGAGTTGAGGTATAGCGACGTCTTGAGCGCGTTGAGCTGGATGCCGAGCTCCTTCGGGTCTGAGTCGAGGAGGGTTGGGTACTCGTGCAGGTAGCGCAGGCCCTTCTGGTACTTTGCGAGGCCGAGCTGCAGCGCGCCGGCCTTGAAGGCGGTGTTGCCAAGGTCCTTGAGCGCGGTTGCGATCTCGACAATCTGCGCGCCGACCCACTCTGCGTCGTCTGGCTTCTGGTCCTCGGGGAAGTCCTCGTAGGGGTCGCCGGTCTGGTCGGGCGTCTTGTCTGTGGCTTTGGTGTACTCGTCGCCGGTGAGCTCGCCGCAGTCTGTGTGTGGTTAGCCAGAGTTAGTAAATTGGGATGGATGAAGCGCACCGATGATGGTAGCGTCGTGAAGAGGCTTGTCACCGCTCTGCGTCTTGAGGTTCTCGATCTCCCGGACAATGCTCTTGCCGTTGATGACCTCGCCGAAGACAACGTGCTTATTGTCGAGATGCGGTGTGGGGACTGTTGTGATGAAGAACTGGGAGCCGTTGGTGCCTGTGGCGTGAATTAGCATCCATGTTGGACAGAATGGTCCTTGCGGGATCAATCAAGCCCTCGGAAATAGGAGTGTTGCGCTTGTGCCAGCTTTAGCTTCGAGGTCTCTGCAGATTAGGTCGTAACATGAAGTTACGGCCTTCCCGTGCCTCATTCGAAGCACGGTTTGTACAGTCCTCAGCCTTCAGGCATCCGCTTTCGAACCTAGGCTTATCGCGCCCCACTCCCTCACCGCTGTCTTTGTATTCCTAACCCTTCCCTTCGATGTCTCCTCTTCAAACTTCCCGGAACTTACCAGGTCCTGCGTTAGCCATGCTCAGCAAGAATGGCTTCTCGTGGATCTTCTCAAAGTTCTCATCATCGAATTTCTCCCCGTATATGCTCTCACCACCCGTGCCATTGCCGGCTGTGAAGTCTCCGCCCTGAATCATAAACTGTTTGATGACGCGGTGGAAGCCCGAGCCCTTGTAGTGCAGCGGCACACCGTCCTTGTTCGCGCCTTTCTCGCCGGTGCAGAGCGCGCGGAAGTTCTCGGCCGTCTTGGGTACGACTGCGGTGGGTCAGCATCGTGTGCGCTATGGTGGGAAGGGAGGTATCGGGTCGAGGTAAGTGCGCTCGGCGCGTCGATTATCGGAGGAAGACGTACTGTCATTGTACTGTGAGACGTGTCAGCTTGGCTCTGGTGGTGTAGGTGCGTGGACTTACAAGCTCGAAGGCGATTCTGCCCTTCTTCACACCGCCAATGGCAATGTCGAAAAAGACTCTCGGGCGCTCTGCTTCTGGTCAGGATCCCCTGGCTGCTTGATTGCGATTCTCGTGCTGGGCCTACTTACTGTTACCTTCAGCCATCTTTGCAGGAGTTGAGCTTATGGCGGGGGAGTGAGGGTAAGGAAGGGGCGTTGCAGATGCCTTCAAAATTCACAGAGGCAGTGACAAGTGGGAGAGTAATTGGGATATGGGATCGACAATGAGGAGTGAGGCTGAAGTTCTAAAGTAAAAGGTACGAGATCCAGAAGTTTCTAGAGCTACCGCATCCCGTGTCTGTGCGCCTTGCTGCGCACCTTCCCGGAGGGGTGGTTCAGACACTTGGCGATATGCGCAAGCAAGGTCGTTTTACTGCGCTGTCTGACTTTCAGCTCTAGTTTCAGGCTATGCATGTGATCAAGCTGCTTTGTTCTGTCGCGACGACTCTCTCATCGAGGCGAGGTGGAGGGGCAACGCGGGGCAGAACCGAGGACCTGACTAAAAGGTTAGCGCCAAACGCCCCAAGCTCACAGCTTCTGTAAGGAAAGGTGCTGCACGCCAGATCAATACAACTAGCTAGACATCACATCAGGTCAGATAATGCTACGTCTATTCCTGAGCAGCCTCAGCACATCGTCTCAACATCAAGGACCATCATGTCGAGGACTAGACACCAGGGTGAAGTAAATATGCATAAGTTGTGTAGTGTAGTATATATTCCCACGCCAACTGCGACACCACCGCTATAGGCAAAAGCAGAATAAATGCAGCGAATCCGCCTCTTCTCCCCAACCCAACATCCCCTCATGCGTAACTGAAAAGCAAAATCATCATCGAGGTCTTGTCTCGTAAACTCAGAACCGACCTCCCTCCCGCTCCCGTTCGTAAAATATTGGACCGCTCGCAAAACGCCATCCCATGGTTGTAAATGTATAGCTTTTGGCCGCTAGCAGTGTCGACTCTCATACGGGATATGTAAAATCCAACAATGCGGTGCGGTGCAATGCTCGCTCGATAAGACGGCCTTCGTGGTGTGTGTGTGCTGACAAGGCGGCAGCGCAGAAGGCTGTGTATGCCTTGCGGGTGGATGTGTCAACCACACGTTGCGTGGTTTTCACGGCAAAAGGATGTCGGTCGACCCCTGTGCGCGAGCTCTACAGCTCACTCGCACTCTTCCTCCTCCTCAGCTCCTTCTCCGTCAGACTCTTCGCTCTTTCTTTGTCCCCTTTAGAAATATACCGCCCGGTAAACCAACCATCTAGTCAGAAATCGGCAGCCTCAGCCCCGGCTCGTCCCCTAAGGCTGCTATGGCTCGCATATTCACCCAGCGCGCTACCTCCACCTCTTCCAGCACCATGGTCGTTCCGCTCCGGGCTCCTGTCCCGCTGATGCTCCTTCTCTTTATCTTTACCCTTTTCCTTGTCTTTGCGCTTGCGCTGGAAAGGAAGCACGCCACGGAAGCCGGACCGGTCTTTCTTCTCCTTGATATCTTTATCCTTGGAGAAGGCGGGTAGTGCGGTAGTGTATTCTTCTTCGAGCATGCTGCCTGCGTCCGAATTTTCGACGCTGTGACCACCCGCACTGCGGGGAGGTTGGGAGAAGGCGCCTGAGTTCGCGAGCGCGGAGGCGTTGATTTGAGCATTCGGATTCGCGTAGCCAAAGGAGCCCGCTGGGGCAGATGGATTCGCACGGGTCTGGGGGTAGGAAGGGGGTGGCGCCATGTGGAGGCCGTCGCTTGAGCCCGGGGGCGTTTCTTCGGTAGCAGAGGCAGACGCGGAGGCATTGGTAGACGCCGACTGTGAGATCGAGTCGGGCAGTGAGGGAGCATAGCCAGCGTTGCGAGGAACTTTTGGTGCGGCAAACGGACTGTTGACCGTGTTTGAAGCAGTGCTGGTGAGAGAGCTGGCCGAAGCCGAGATGCTTGGGTGTTGCTGGTGGCGCGTCCGTGGAATTCTTACAGGCTTCATGGTAACTGGCGTGCTTGTCGAGGATGAAGATGTCTGCTCGTCAACGGTACCTGGCGAGGTTGGTAGGCTCTCCCTACCATCGTCTTTTGTGGCTACTCTGTTCTTGGTTGCAGCGCCTCTGCCCGAATCGAAACTCGCAGAGCCTTGCAGCTGCTCCACCAATTCTTCCCATTTGACGCTCAGAGATGACGAAGGTCGCTCCGCACGTTCGGCGCGATTTAGACAGTCCGACGTGCGTTCTTTGAGCACAACACAGATCTGGTGGAACTTGAGCAAGTCACCGTCGGTGGTTTCGATACTCGGTGCAGTGCTCTTTGTGTTCTCTAGCCAGAGATCGACAAGCGCAGCAAAGTTACGAGCATGATCAACGAGGTAAGGCAACGATGGGAAGCCCTCTCGGGATGTTGGTGGAAGTCGCTGGAGTATGGCGAGCGGCGTGCTGTAAGAAGGAGGTATTGGAGGCGAAGGCGACGCCATCGAAGATATTGAGCAGATGTTGTCTAGGTATGACTTAAACTCCTGACGATGGGTTGTCAAGAATGCGTTCATTGGCTCCATCCACGCCTCTTTGGTCCCGAACGAGGTCATATTCGCCAGACCCTGGAGAGATTTCGCGATGAGGGTCAGTGCCCGTCTGGCTCGTGGTTTGGGGTGATCTGCTCGGAAATAGATTAGTTGGAGGTGCGGATGAGAAAATTTACAAACACACCTTTTAGTAAGCCGAAGAGCTTCGGGTTGAGGACGGCAGGCACGAAAAATCGTAAAAACAAAAAACCTGATACACTGCTGTACTGAACAGTCCTCAAAAAGTCACCGAAGCGGTCTTCAGCGCAAGCGCGGATATGTCGGAAGATCAACCTTAGCTCTTGCGGGCACCGAGAGACTGAGTTGTATATCGCTCGCCATAGGTCTTCCGTAAGGTTGATCAGCCGTCGCCAGTTCCGGTCCAATTCGTGCTGAGATGACACCTTGTTGGGGTCCACCTCACACTCGGGATCCTTCTCGTTGATCTCTCTTAGCTTATCACTCAAGGTCTCTTCGAGGTACTCCTTGCCCAGGCGCTTCATATGGAAGTCGAGTGATTTGGTCAACAGTGTGTTCCCGCGAAATAGCAAGTTTGCCTCCAGCTTGGCGTTGTTATTCATGTCTCTGACGAACAGCTCCCGGTCACTGTTCGATCCGAAGTGTGTTTCGTTGGACTCGCTGGACCCGAGTCGTTTGCTGAAGCGAAGTCGTGTAGCTGGAGACTCTTTGAGCGTGCCATCAATCTCTTCTTCCACCAAAGCCATGATCCAATCGCCAGCCTGGCCGGACACTTGGAAGATATTCAAGAGGTACTCGGATAGTCTCTTGAGCTCGTTCGGTACCATTTGGGCTAACTGGAGGGTAAGGCCATTCGAGAAGCGATGTAAGAGCTCCGACATGGGCTGGTAGTCACGAGCCATGAGAATAACGCACTCTTCCGTGCTGACTTTCACAAGCACCTCCCCAACACTGTTTCCGTACATGTTAACAAGAGGCCACCACTTTTCCGTCTCCTGGTTTGGACCCAGATCATCAAGATATACGTCGGTTTTGCCACACGTCTGATCAAAAGATATACCGGTGAAGCCGCCTCCAGCATCAGAGGCAAACGAATCTGAAGCTGTCGGCGCTTCGTGGCCATGCTTGTCGCCACGCGAGCTGGGAGGTCTCTTTTTCAAAAGTAGCGATGCTGTCGATAAGACAGCAGGGAGATCGAGAAATTCGAATTCCTCTCGCCAGAATGGCGTGTTGCCCTCCATCTTGACCATCGTTCGCGCTCTAGTTTCTCCGTCCAGGAGAACCTCGACATAGTAGCCTCCGGCATTGGTGGCATTCGAAGATCCAGGCCTCTGGGAGGTATGGTGCATGTCGGCAACCTTTGGACTGATGGGTGGCATCAGTCTTGCTTCGATAACGCGCACAAACAGCGACCTCTCCATGCGGAACATATCTTTGGTGCCAAAAGTTGGCGACATTATACCCTCCTCGTTCAGCTCACTCAATGCAGGCTGCTTCGGACCGTATAGCTGTGGTATAGTGAAAGCGCGCAACAGAACTATCCAGACCTCGTATAGTACGCGTGACTCTAGCGACAAAAAGATGGGTCGCAGCAATGATAGCGACGTAGATGTAGACGTATATTGCGGGTAAATGGCGATGCAGAACTCGTTATCCAAAACGGACGGATCCAAACGCTGGACGGCGCAACGCGAAAGCTGAGATAGTTGTACAACGGACACCAACGTAACGTCTGTATCGGAGTACAGTTTGAGTTCACCATTCTCTCTGAGCGTACAAGACACTCGCCGCCAGCGTCGCGATCCGTGACTCTGTATACGGTACGCTTGTGGCCGCGAGTGTCCAGATTTTGGCGTGCCGGTGTTGCTGTACGTCACACTGGTGTCCCAATAAATCATTTTGCCGACCTTGATGATCGGTGCCTCTTTCAACAGTGATACCTCCGAGTGTCGTCTGCTGTCTGCCAAGCGTCTTTCCGCTACTAGAGGCGTCTGCGGCTTGGCCATCTTGTTGTGAATGCCTTTGGGACGGATCGGTTGCCAACACATCAACGCCGCAAACCAAGAGTCGAACTCTTCTTGCGTGGGCGGACGCAGATACACTTCCAGTTTCGAATTGTGGCCCACGACGTGGATATAGGCAGTGTAGGCTTCGGCATCGTATGCGCTCTTCACACGACAGCCCCGCAGATCTGGGATCAGGGTGCGGTGGTACGAGTTGTCGCTTTTGGGCTCATACACCAGACTTCCGGCCTCCTCGTTGATATAGCAGTAGGAAAGCGACCAAGGACTCGACTCGCCCCGTCTGAATGCCAACATGCCTTGCATTTTCCCCTTTGTGGCGCGCATCAGTTTGAAGATCTTCCGGGCATCTGACGCTGGCACTGGCGACACCCACGAGTCCGGCTGCTGTGCATTGGGAGAGAGGTTACCAGATCTCTCAGGCGACGATGCGCGGGGCTGCTTGAGGAGACGACTTCGGCTCGTGGAACTTGTCGTACGCGGTGGGGGCTGGTGGGTCGTGGGCGAGATGGTCGAAGGGTGCCCGATGGATGTCACGACTGATTCTTCGATACTCTGGAAGGTCGACGATGCAGTGCTATGCACAGAGCCTATCCGGTGTCTGCTGGCGACGAAGAGGTTGGGGGGACTCTTGTCCCGCGTCGAGCGTTCCTCCATTGTGCGTGTGCGCGGGCGGTTCTGCGGATCTTTGACATTGCGGAGAGCGTATTCGGCATCGTTGTTCGAGTTTGCGCGAGCGACTAAGCTGCGCGGGTTGCTGGCGCTGGTGCGGGACGAGATGCTGTTGGAGCGCGGAGAGACGGGCGTCATCGTGTCCTCTGGTAACTCGGGGGTCACGGCGCGAATCGTATAAGTGCCCCGTTCATCTCGCTGGCGGTCCCCAGCCTCGGGAGCATCTTCTTCTTCTCTGTTGCGGCTCCGCCTACTTCTGGGGGCTGGGTCCATGGCGGTTTACCGCGCGTCGTCTGATTGCCCGCGCAAGATGCAAACGCGCACGTGGCCGTCGCGTTGGCATTGACAGATCACCGGCCACGCAGCAGGTACCCGGCCAGCGTCACCGGAGGAGGACTGTACAGCGTAGGATGAGGAAGGAGTGTTGTATTCGGATTCGCGCGATGCATCGCATGCTCGTAGAACGGTTTCGAGCGCGCGGGGCAGCGTCTTCAACGCAGTCTGGGAGCAGCCTGGGGCATCACCACGAGGATCGAGCGTATCGGAAGGTGTGGTTGCGGATGTTCAAAGGCATCGACGTCGCTTGTCAGCTTGGCACGCTCGCTTCCGGTTACATGCTACCTAAGACTAACCACATCCTGCAGTGGCAAACATGCTCCTTCCACTGTGCAGCTCTCTAAGTTTCGTGAAGGTCTGGTATCGGGCTGATAGCACGCAGATGGTGCTGCTTTCCCGACGGCTTCTCGTGCCAAAGACAGCTGCGCACCCTCTCGCAGATGCTGTCGTCCAAGGGCATCGTCGAGCACTTCACGCATCCACAATGCAAGGGACAGCCGCAGTCGAAGAAAATCATAATAACACGAACCGCAGGCCTTGACACGCAAAACTACATCCAGCTGAGAAACTCCGGGATATCGCAATCAGCCCCTCCGAGAACAACGCTCCGCTATTGACTAGCGCGTAAGATTAACAGTCTCTGCTCCCAAGCCCTTCGGCCACGCCGTTGACACAGACATCCCAACACATGTAATGTGAAATGCGCTCATCTGAACGGTGGCCGGTCAGCAGCCGTCTCCTCCAAACTGATAGCACTCAGTGGCTGCGACCGTGCTCCGCTGAGATCGCCTGAGCCTGTCCTTCGCAGAGCCTGGCGCATCGTCTCGATCTGCAGTTCTCCGCCGCCTCCCAGAGGAGGACTGTGCGTTCCAGGAGCTGTAGGGCTGCCTAGGCCCTTCTCCGACGTGGCACCACTTCTTGGTGGAGATGCGCCAAACCCGTGGGACGACACAGGCGAGCGTACGGGCGATGGTGAGCGATTGGCTGTCGCAGATAGGCTGATGAATTGCGCGGCATCCCGGTCTGTCTCGGCGTGCTCGGCCTGCACGACGTCTGCAAAGGAGATGAAAGACAAGCGCCGAGGGTCAGTCGTGTCCACAGACCCGTAGTTTGCGTTCGAGGCGGATTCGGACGCGTCAGGGTGGCTGAACAGAGACGCTTCCTCGTGGATGAGCGAGGGCGAATGTACCGATTCCGCCATGCTTCCCGCCACAGCCTGTAGACAATCCGTCAGCTGAATGCCATGCAACCTGTGTGTTTTTCCACTCACCGCCGAAGCAGGTTGATGGGCCGCGTGCATCACAATCTCCACCTCGTCGGGATTCAGATGGTCATCCGTAATTGCCAGCGACGAAGCATCTAGCGCTGCTGGTATATGGTCTTCAGTCTTGATGTGCGCCGGTATGGCAGGCGAAGGCTCGGGCTCCTGCACATTGCGCTCGAAGATCTGCGAGGATGCTGGCGAATGCAAGCCGGGCGAAGTTGAGCGAATGCGGCGATTTGGGGAGGCACTGATGCCTGCGGGGTTGATGCGTGGGCTGCCACGGGGGGAACGGCGGTCTGGTGGAGGTGAGGTGGTAAGAGGTGGTGATGGGAGTAGTGTTGGAGCCGATGTGGGCGAGCGCGCGGCGCCTGTCGCTGCCGTCTTGTCTTGCGCCTGCCTATCCGCCTTCTTACCAAGCGCCAGCAGCTTGCGCTTTCCTTTGGCCAGAAGGCCAGAGCCTTCCCCGGCCTCGTTGCTCTCCACGGCAGGCGTCGTGCTCGCGGGCATGGCTTCGGGAGTGCTCATGGCAGCGACTGGAGGAAAGCGCTTTCCTTGACCGAGAGATTTGCTTGCTGGCGGCAAAAGACTGTTCTTGGGGTTAGCTCTTACTGCTGCTATGATGCCGGGAACAGCCACGGTGCTCTGGTGCAGCAAGTACCGGCGTGGACGGGTCGGGCGACGATGGGAGATCAATTTGTTGATGAATCGAGGGGTTTGGGTTGTTGCCCGCTTCAGACAAATTGCCGCGCTACACGGAGTTTAGACAGTGTAACAGACTACAAGTGAATCGCAGTCGAGTGCTACTGTGAACTGTCACCGGGCGGGTAGCAATCAAGGAGGGTGCCGTTGGGATCCATGGATGGAAGCCCATCACGTGGGATGACGCAGCTGGTTTGGAACCTTGTGTCCTTCAAATCTTGCAAGGCACGTGAGCACCCTTACCCCGGAGCCACAATGTCCACGCGCACGGATAACGGTAACTTACTAGAGCTTGCACTATCAAAAGATGGCCAGCAGTGTCTCGCGACATATTTCCGGGCACGAGAATAGCAACATACAAGAGCTCTACGACAAAAACATTGCCTAGTTAACCCGAAAGCCTCTCATGGGCGTGACTGGTGTCTTCGCAAAGCCACCGGACTTCGTGCACACCACTAACAGAGTTACTGTCAGAAAGGAGTCTTCATTCTCTTGCCCTATCCCATAGATATTTTACCTCCGATCTAGATTGAGACGACACCCGAAGCATGCCACCAACCATTCTGTTGCGAACCCCGGCTCTTATTACCCCATCTTTTAATATTGCTAGCAAAGATGTCGAATTGTTGTACCACTCAATATTTGCCGGCCTACCAATCGAGACCAAGTACGCATAACATCTATAACTGCCGCCACAAAACATGGGCATTGTGCGTTGTGATGAACAATCAGAAGAGTCGTGCGCCTCAATACCGATCCCAAGCAGGCTAATTTCGACGCATGCGATGTGGCCTATTCGGCTGCACTCCACAGGTGAAGCACCCCATCCTTTTGGGTGAGCTGAGTCGGTTCGGATTCTTCTCCTGTTGCTCTGCCTTGACGCGCTTGCTTCTGAGGTCAACAAAGCATCTTAATACTGACGAAATGTTGTGGACTGACATCGTGATTACTACTAATACTATTGCCAACTCCATGACCCTGGTGGGCGACTAAAGGATTTGGCTTTCAAAGGATGAGCTCAGCGCGGCCCTCGTCCTTCGTATTCTGGGGTGTTTGGAGCATGGTTTTACGCCGCAGGATGCAGGGCACGAGCGCAATCCTAGCGAGAAGCATTCACCCGGCACCTCCACATTGCGCGAGACTCCCGCGCGTCGATCGATTGACTTTATACAATCTGCAGCTGTCTAACTTGTCACACGCCGCGTCAGTCCGGATGCATCTAAATCCAGCCGAAGTCCAAGCGCGCGCTGAAGTTCTCGATCAGCTTTTGGTTCTTTCGTCCGGACTCTGCTCAGATGGTTGCTAAAGGACTCTTTACGCCTACGTTTCTGGGCCCAACAGTCGAAACGACAGCGTTCAGTCTGGCGAGCATATCGACCATTGTGGTCCTCCTCAGGTCAGTACCCTTGCGTCTGGATTCGCAGCTCGCCTGCTGACATTGCACAAGGTTCTATTGCCGGATATGGATTGTGAAGAAGCTGAAGTCGTATGACTACCTGATCGCAGGAGCAGTGGTAAGTCGACGTATTCCTATGATCGAGCTATCCGCTCTTTCGCCCATGTTGCCGCCTTCGCGGGCGCCTTACAGCCAACAAGGCGCCGGCTGATGGAGACTAGGTGTGCACATGGGGACTGTGTGTCATTAATCACTACCAAGTGCTCTACGGCACTGGTTCTGGTGCGTAACTGACTTCACATTGTCCGGGGACGATATACTAATCGCACGGTATCACAGGCGCATGGCCTGCCGACCTGCCACCAGTGAGTTTGGTTGGATACCCACATGTTGCCACTTGTTGATCCCCGGTAGCCTTCCGCAGAATTTACGCTGAACGGCGTGTTGGGTGCGGCGAAAGCATGGTACGGATATCAGATCGTCTATCTGCTGGTTCCGGCACTTGTTAAGCTCTCTATCCTCGTGGTAAGTTGGCTCAAGACGTGAACACTGATGAATGTTCACTAATTTGATTAGTTCTATCTAACCATCGCCACTCACCGTCCCTTCCGAACCATCGTTTACTGGGCCATAGCATTCGTTACGACCTACAGCATCATCATGATAATCGTGAACGCCTTCGAGTGCCCACGCAAGCCGTCCCTCGTCTTTGAGCCCGAGATATTTGTTATGAGAGAACAGTGGCATTGTTTCAACCTGACGGCTCTGTATTTCAGCCAATCTGCGCTGAACATATTCTCCGACCTCTTCATCCTCGTTTTACCTCTGCCAATTCTCGTCAAGCTACACATGCCGACTATCAAGCGCATTTGCCTGTTGATAGTCTTCTCGGTGGGACTCCTTGTTCCGATCGCAGCAAGTTTCCGTCTTTGGATTCTCTATCTCTGGCATGATGCGCCTCCGGATATATCACGATATTACGGCGGCTACATTCTGTTCTGGGACGCCGTCGAGCTCAACACTGCCATCATCTGTGCGTCGGCACCTTCTCTTCAGCCTCTCTTTAGGCGCGCTTTTGGTGAACTGCGTGCGTTCTCACGAGGCCGATCAGCGTACTACTACTATGGCGACGATAGGGAGGGCACAGTCATGACGCAGACCACGATCGGCAGAAGAGGAAGTAGGAGGTTGGATCAGGAGATTCCGTTACAGCGACGGCCGTCGTCTCGAGAGGTACATAAAAGACGTCCTGAAGAACTGGAAAGCGACCTGGTCGTTATCAGGGAGATGGAAAACGAGGAAGACATCAGGATCTGGGCGCAGGCATCTGCGGTAGAATCAACGAGTACCCATTCCGAATCGCACCCACCGAAGTCGCCAGCGCGACCGCGAGATCTTTTGGCATCTGAATGAGAACATGACTGCACCCCTCCAATCTTACATGGTACCATAGCCACCACTTTGCGCGCAACAACAAAACGTCAGCCCGTGCCTGGAATCGCGTGTATGAGGCCAAGCCCGCGCATGCCGGGCTCAAGAACGTCCAAGATGCTCTGAGACCGCCTTGGAGTCCCGCGTGAACCCCCCTGTCGCACCTGCTTATCTCCACCTACCAAAGAAGAAAACCAGGCAGAACACGCACCAATACAATGCCAGACAGTGTAGTACGGCCCCCGGTAAGGCCGTCAACAAATGACCACGTACGCAATCGGGCCATGGGCTTACATCTTTTGGCTGCCTGCCGCAAACGCGAAGAGCTGAGAATGGATGCAGGTGGGGGTTGGGTTGCGATGTTCAGCTACAAGGGTGCCTTTGCGTAAGCGCGAGTTTGAGCTGCTGACTGTGTAGCATTGGGAAGTCAACAAAGACACGGGGTATATAGCTGCATGTACTCTTGAGACATTCGGGGCACCGGGATAGCGAGGCTGTCATTCTACGCGTTGTTATCATTTTCCTGTTCACGTATATTAAGCACCCTCCGAATTGCGCGCAACCCTTTCCTATCATTTTCGTGCAGTGTATATACCTCTTGAGCATCGCATCACGCCACTCTTTTCAAAATGCCTTCCTTACAGCCCGACTCCGCAAACCCATACACACCCTCCCTCCCAAAGAAAGCCCTCATCTTCCTTTTCAAGGGCGTAAATAAATTCGTCCCATGGCACAAGCTCCCCACGTAAGACCCTCACCAATACATAACCAGCATTCCACCTGAGCAAGCATGCAGCTACATCGGTGTCCTGAACCTCGCAGCCTATCGCTACGAGCTGCGGCAGCACAACCTCCACGATACGTATCCCTCGCCCTCGTACCAAGGTAGCGCCACCTCGGACCCTGTTCCCCATGAATTTGCCCACACGCGAAACTCAGATGGTCTGTACAATGATACAAATCAGCCAAAGATGGGCTGTGTGGGTATGCGATTTGGTCGGAATGTGGGTAGAGACCATACCAAGAAGCCGAGCGAAGAGGAGCTGCTGAGTCCGAATCCGAGGGTTGTGAGCGAGGTCTTGCTGAAAAGGGAAGGTTTCAAGCCGGCGACGATATTGAATCTGTTGGCGGCTGCTTGGATTCAGTTTCAGGTGCATGATTGGTGAGTGCTCCCTCGTTTCTCCAGAATATAGGCTTCAGGTCGGTGTGGCAGACGAATGATGGCTGATTAAGTGGATCGCAGGTTCATGCACACCAATTCTACGACTGAGAAACATGACATCAAGCTTCCGCCCGGTGATACATGGAGTGACTCGCAGATGAGCGTAGAAGCTACGCAAGCGGATGAGATCTTGGATGACACCGACAAGAAATCCCCTGCTTATAGGAATGAGAACACACATTGGTGGGACGGCTCCCAAATCTATGGATCCAGTGAAGCCCGCACCAAAGAGCTGCGCGGCCTTGCAAAGAATGGCAAGCTTGAGGTCGACGAGCAGAAGGTAGTTACTTACCTACCTCGTGATGAGAATGGCGTACCTCGGACCGGTTTCTACACAAATTGGTGGCTAGGGCTGGAAATGCTCCACACACTCTTTGTGCTCGAGCATAATGCAATCTGCGATGATTTGGCCAAGGAGTACCCTGACTGGGAATCCGAAAGAATATTCGACACCGCTAGACTAGTAAATTGCGCACTGATGGCGAAGATTCATACAACCGAGTGGACGCCTGCCATCCTCGGCCATCCAGCCCTGCAAATCGCAATGAACGGCAACTGGTGGGGGGTCCTAGGCGAGAAGCTGTACAAACTTCTCGGCCGCGTCGCCCCAGGAGAATCCATATCCGGAATTCCTGGCTCTGGCGCCGAGCAGCACGGCGCGCCATACTCGCTGACAGAAGAGTTCGTCTCGGTATACCGCATGCATCCTCTAATTCCAGACAATATAGCCTTTTTCTCTGCCGCAACCGGCGAGCACAAGAAAACTTACCCTATTAGGGGCGTTGCGTTTGGAGAGGCGCGAGCACCGCTTACAGAGCAGAGTCTCGGCTTCGAAGACATCTTCTATAGCTTTGGCATCAATTTTCCCGGCGCGGTCACTGTGAACAACACACCTGACTTCCTCCGGGATCTGCACACGCCTGAAGGCCGCCACGTTGACATGGGTACCCTCGACATCCTGCGTGATCGCGAACGCGGCATCCCGCGGTACAACAAGTTCCGCGAGCTGTTCCACATGAAGCCTGTGGCCTCCTTTCTCGAGCTCACCGGTGGCAACACCGAAGTAGCCGCGAAGCTTGACAAGGTATACGAGGGCGACGTCAATAAGGTCGATCTTCTAGTTGGCTGTCTGTGCGAGCCGCTGCCAAAGGGCTTCGGCTTCAGCGACACAGCGTTTAGAGTGTTTATCTTGATGGCGAGTCGGAGGCTCAAGAGCGATAGATTTATTGCGACGGATTGGAATGAGGACACGTACAGCAAGGCTGGTATGCACTGGGTGCAGTATAATGGCATGAAGGACGTGTTGACGAGGCATTTCCCGGTGTTGGGTGAGAGCTTGAAGGGGATTAAAAACCGTAAGTTTGTCCTGCAGCTGGTTCTTGAGTATGGATTGATGTGCTGACTATGTAATAGCATTTGCGCCGTGGACGAAGATTGGGAAGAGTGGCGAGTACAAAGGAGAAGAGACGAATGCTTGAGTGGTCAGTGTGGATGGGTACCGTCTACGCTACAATCGGATCTCAATTCAGTCTAGGCAGCAATCCGGACTTTCAAATCTATAATTCTCCATTTCTATCCAATCGAGCAGCTCTTCGTGATGTTCCTTAGCGGAAACTTGCGCCATGTTATCAGACGCGGAATTAAATGTCATTAGACTGTGCTTGTGCCTTGTTCTGGCATCGGGCCCTCCGTGGCTTAACAAGATGCACAATCTCCCGCTCTCTCCACCCATACGCGAAACCATCCTCATGGTGTGCGAAGAAGTAGGATACTCGTTTGAATTATTGATTTCCATTGCATCGGCACTGTACCAGCTTTTCTATATTTTCATGCGACGAGCTGTGCACCATTTCTTCCCGGAAGCCATTCGAAACATCCAGGAATGGGCATCGTTCTGGTACTGGTATCACGTCCAAGATATTGCTGCTGAAGATACAAGCATTGGATAGAATTCGCATGGTCGCTTGCGCGTGTGTAATCACCTCTTGATACTCTGCTGAAGGCTCTCATTCGCGAAGTTCAGATCATGGACGTCGCACTACATTCTGAGCGAGGAATTCTTGTGCGGCATAGAAGAGCCATGTGGAACTTACGCTCATACGCCGCTTCGGGCGATACACTTTCGGCTTCTCAGACTTCACGCACGTCCGAGCCAATCTGGGCTTACGCAGTGCGAGCTGTTTGCTGTACCACTGGAACACATGAGATCGCGAATATTTGCATTCAAATGCCTATCGTATATATGGGGGTTCGACGAAAGATCCCATCTAATTGTGCTCAATGGACGCTCTTTCGGTGTTTTAGAAACCCTCTGCGAGTTCTTGGACATCTATCGGAAACGGTCGGACAACGATCCCTACGGACAACGATACCTACTTGTGGATCGACCAGATATGTATCAACCGCCTGCAAGACGCCATGCGACTGGTTAAATGCAAAGCTCGCGACCCGAGAGACAAGATATTTGCACTAGAGGGGCTGGTGTTGCCAGACCAAGGGATTCGAGTTGACTACACCTTGACCAATGAAGAAGCATTGCATCCAACAGCTATTAGTTGCTTTATTCAACCACTATCATGAGCCAGAGCAGGCTGACTAATCTACGGAACGAAGCTTGGAGTGCATGGGACACTTACTCGGCGAACTTGGCCTGCCACGTGGATTGCAAATTGTAATCTACAAGGCAAGACTGATCATCTGGTGTTTGAGGACCTCATATTTTGCAAGGCACGGAGACGCTTGGTACGTAACAAGGGAAATACGCTCTTTCCAAGGGTTGACTATAGTCCAGATCGTCGAGTACTTTTTACAGTGTAAAGGACAATCTCCACAACAAGACTGTAAGCAAATGGCTGGCTTCACGAGGAGTTGATGAATAGCGAGGGTCCATATAAAAGTGCTACATTCGTAAACTACCGGAACGCCAACTGGTCAAGGGAAACGCCACAAAGGGATTTTCAGCGAGTCCTCGACAGTACAACGACCGAATTCTGTTTAAAACCGGGGCTGACACAACCTACTCAGACTATTGTGCTTGTCCTGAAGCAACTATCCTACCCTGAGTAAAACAAGACGGAACGAGATCATCGAACGCCCTGACTACATGTAAAGTCACATTCTACTGGCAACATTATGTGATCAGAATAAATCGCTCTCAACGAAATTAATGAGGGTTTCTCGCATGAAGATGAGGCCATCTCGGATGGGTCGCGTAGACATCGCAGTTCAAGAGTGATATCTTGCTAAGCTTCGTCACCTGACCTGCCTCCGCCCTTCCCGCGAGCCCTCCTTCGAGCAAACTTTTCGTCGAATCGGCACTAACGCACATGCTACGAATAAATTACCCAGAAGGATGCTTGTGGGAGTATGGGCATTGCTGGTTCGGATGCTGGGGCCCGGCACTTTCCCACAGCTTCTTTTCTTCTTGGTCGAACTCTTGGTGTGCGGTTCACTCGACATTCACGATGCTTTCTCGGATTCTCCATATAGGTACATCGTCCTTTTTCTCTGCTCTTGCATATGGGAATTTGTTGGCAGAGGGTGAAGGTGCGGATGAGTGATGTTCAGCAGGATTTTGGGGCGCTCTCCATTCTTCTCCGTGAACATTTTGCTGATATTTGAACATGCTTTATCGTTTTTCTCTTTATACATAGTGTTGGAAGCAGAGCTTTCTCGAACGTGTTGCTGCCTGAAGTAATTCTCTTGTCCGTCCCACGAACATGCCCATACCCGTAACTGCTCCAAGGCCGCGTTTCGATTTGGTCATTGGAGATTGTTCGTCAGACAAGTTTCGTCAGTATATGTTGATATAGAGGTGTCTCAGTATGGCGATTACAAATGGGTTCCCCAACATGGTCCGCCGAATGAATGCGGGGTTGGAATGCTAGAAAGGAAAGCCTGCGGGCTCGCTTGCGCTCCGCTGTATTGCCTCGACCTGCCTGTGACTCCCGGATGCGGTCCTATGGAGCTGTACCCGCTCGGAGCTGGGAATTTCGCAGGAACAAAACCGCTGTTCTGGTTCATGGTCCCATCTGTATGCTGGTTCTGCTGGGACATGCCTTCAAAACGACTGCCCTGGGGATTTCCTTGAGAATATGTGCATCTATCGATACGCTGTTTGCTAGGGACGTGATCACTATGCGACTTTTATGCCGATAAGCGCGCCAGCTCGTCCCGATTTGGCTTGTTGTGGATAGCTGGTTCGATCTTCAAGGCGGTGGGCTGAGATAAGTAGTCGAATCCTCGAGTGTTGCAATCGATGGGCATGCTGAACAAGTATTTTTAACCTCCAGGTCTTCGTGTGATTGTTACTCTTGACGTGAGCGTCTCGGGTCACATATTCTATGTTAGCTGTCGAAAGGTATAGGGCGTATAATCGAACATGATATCTTGTATGTAGTTCTAATGAAGCCATCGCAAGCCACAGTAGTCATTTTACAGCTGCTTATAGATGCCATGGAAGGCCTAAAGAAGCCAGTAGGTGATTGCGACATAGTTGGGAGTCTTGGGGCGATGCGGTTGTTTCACATACTTCGTACAGTAGGCCGGGTCTAGTGGATCAGACAAACAGTTAAGTGAATTTTCTTGCTTGCTAAGACAACGTCACGGCGCTAGCCCTCTGTTCTGACATGGCAGTCATCGTGTTTCAACGATACGCACGACAAGTCGTGTCACGGTAGCACACAATAATCGACGGATATTGCGTGTTTGTTTTGCTTTGGAGCATCGCAGAGTACCGAGGACTTCTAAAGATGGTTTTGCGCTTTTCTCGAGATTATTGACAATAAACCCTCATCAATACAACAAGATCTTAACCACTGGCGACTTTGGTTCCACTAAAGCATAGGCGTCGAGATTTGGTCAGTTAGAGCTTGCCATTAACAGCCTCACCGTTTGACACTGCCGTACGCCGCTTCTGGAAGGTCTCTTTCAGATATTTCGCAGATCGCTTCGGTGTACGAGTCCCTGTGGTAAAATTTACGTGGGTGATACCAAAACGAATGGAATATCCAGCAGCCCATTCTGTCATGTGTCAGCATCTGAAACTAGCCCTCTGATGGCTCCGCTTACCGAAGTTATCCATGAGACTCCAGGCGTAGTAGCCTGCAACCTTAACTCCGTCCTCGTTGATTGCTTGAGAAATGGCGTCAATGTACAGTCCGAAATACCGGACACGGAATTGATCGTCCACAGCCTGTTCTAACGACATTGAGTTCTCACCCGGGCATGGGCATCCATTTTCTGTGATATATCTGTATGAATGGGTGATTAGTTGTTGAGGAAACGTCAATGAATATATGGTAGAAGCTCACATAGGTCTTTTGTAGCGATCCCATGCCCAGTTCAGAAGCTTCCTGAATTGCTTATGGGTCACCCGAAGCCATGAAACACCAGACAGCGGGCCGATTTCAACACCTTCGCTATTGGTGGTGGACTCCTCCACGTTTCCAGTGTGATCGTCATCACTAGGGGGTGTGGAGCGTGCTTTCGCAAATTGCGATGTGTAGTGATTCATGCCGTAGAAGGTGTTGTGGGGTGCAGAATTTTTGAGTAGTTCTTGTTCAGCTTCCGTAAACTGTGGTAATCTTGAGCCCAGCTGTTTTCTCATCGATTCGGGGTAATCGCCACCAAGATAGATTGGGTCGCCGAACCAACCGACGTAAAATTCTAGCCTGCGTTGTGCTGCCTCTTGATCAGATTCGCTTGTAGCGTCGTAGGGCTCGTAAAAGTCTGAGTTCAGGACGATGGAAATGGAGCCTTTTTGTGAAGGCAAAAAGTCGGCTGCATATGTCTCGACGGCAGCGGCGTGGGCGAGAATTAGACTGTGCCCCACTCGCCATGGCTCGGTCGTGGAATCATGGCCAGTCTTTGTACTGTGTCCAGGTGCTAGGATGCCACTGTGGTAACCGAAAAGAGCGACAATGTAAGGCTCATTGAAAGTGATCCATTGCTTGACCCTATCGCCAAATCGAGAAAAGCAGAGTCGTGCATAATGCTCAAAGTCGGCCTGGAACTCTGTGGTATTCAAAGGGCCCCCATATCGTTTGTGGAGCTCCAGAGGAAGGTCCTATAAGTGAAGTCAAAAAATGAGATTCATTGAAGCAGACCTGTCCACGAATAATGCATACCCAATGGTAGAGTGTCACGGCGGGTTTAATGCCATGAGCTATGAGGCCGTCGATGAGTGCGTTGTAAAAGGCAATTCCCTTTTCATTGATGGGATCGTGACGCCCTCCAAGGGGAATCAAACGCGACCAGCAGATTGAAAAACGGTACACGTCGACACCATATGAGGACAACAAGGCGATGTCTTCGGCGAGGCGATTGTAGTGGTCGCAGGCAATATCACCGTCTTCACCGCTTGTAACACTAGGCTCGCGATGGGAGAATTCATCCCAAATTGAGGGGCCTTTGCCGTCTTGCTTGGCTCCGCCTTCCACTTGATATGCGGCTGTGGCCGCACCCCAGAGGAAGTCTGCTGGTAGTGGAAGCTCTTTGACGGAATCTAACGTGTCGAGAACAGATTTGGTAGAGGTGTCTGCTCTGACTTCGTTGGATTCGAACATCTTGAGCCAGTAATTTCGGAGAAAAGATTGTAAGCAATATCGTAAAAGAACGTAGCGACACGATACTACTTCAACTTATACTTTCACGCATACCCCACTTCTGATCCACGCAAAGCAAAGACGGGCTGTACTTCCGTAGACTGTGCCACTTCGCGAAGGTACGTCGTCTAGCCACCAATAGAAACCCCAGTGATGTATCACGAAGTGGGTGGACCATGGTCGCAGGCGTATCCCGCCGAATTCGCCATACAAACGAAACTGAAATCCCGGTCGATCACACGGATTAGCTGGAACTGCCTAGCTTATCGTAGCTATACCACACGTGTACATTTCGTCTTCCCGCATCTACGTTCGTTTCCCCTTGGATTATAGCCTCTCGAAGCGACAAATGGTGCGGAAACTTTATCAAAGTAGTGCATTCCATACCGGGTGACATATCAAGCAAAAGTCGCAATCATTCTTTTACGTTCGTAGACACAACTGTTCATGACTTTAGGCGCAGTGTTGGTTTGCGTAGGTTGGCGGCTAGGCGGTCCGACCAGCCGCCAACGAGCCCCGCCATCGCTTATCTGTTCTTCGACTTGGGTACAGCGTGGGATATGTAGGACCATCGCTCTTCCTCATCATGCATCTATGTGCACAGCATTCGCTTTCCGATCCACCGAGCCGAGGAAGCTCAAAACTCGTCATTGAAAGGTGGCCATTGTGCCGCCTGTAGCGAGAGCGGTCGAATGTGGCCAACAGTCCAGCACCAGATATTCGGTATGTGTCAGTGATATTGAACCCGTCCCATCGAGCATGGCTGGTTCTTGATGGTTTCTACTCCGTCCGTATCCACATCTGCTAGAAGCTACTGAGTGTTGACTTGCAAAAGACATACTACTATCAATTTTGAACAATCACAATGATTTTGCCGCATTCCACAATGACCTCTTTCAAGTTTGTCAGTGTTGCTTTGAGCTTCGGAGACCTCGGAGGTTCAGAATATGCTGGTGATCCTGAACGGTGTAGGTACTGGTGGTACCATTCGCGTCGCCTATCCTATCGGCGCTTTTGGAGGCGCGCGGATTTCGCGTTTGCATTCCAAATAACAATCTGGGTTGCGAAAAGAATAAAGAACAGAGATCGCAAATTCTGGCCATCGTACCATTGTTATCCACTCCGAAACGATTGGACTCGCACTATATCTGGCGACCCTGACACGACATCATGAAAAAGGCTTAGCGCAAGCGATTGTGCATTGACACTCTTCTTCGACATCGAAGGTTCCTCAACATCAACATCCTCTAATGAAGACGACTGCAAGCGGCCGCACCGGCCTGCTTCGACGACTTGTTCTTTTCTCTTTTTCGTTTGTTCCTTGCACCTTTGCTTTCGGGTTGTCAACATGGCCGTTATACGCGATCTGGGCAATTTTGGGTGGGGCGAGAATCCGATACGGCGATCGCAAGGTGTTACAGGACAGCCTGTTCTTTGGGAGTTTTATCATTTTGCTTGCCCGACAACCTATCTCTGATGCCTGTGTCAGGACTTGGACCTTAATTGGGAAGGATAAACAATCAACAGCAACTACAGGTGCAGCCACGATTGTTGCATTGGCAGCACTTGGGTATATCTTCAAGGAAAGCAACAACTACTCTCGGGAGAAACAATCGGAACCACTGCCCAAAGGAACGCGTCCATGGTCTGTGGATCATGCGGGGTCTTTCGTTATTCCTTGCCACACAACACATTCCCGCATATTTCCGAAGAAGCATTCTTTTGGCTATGACTATCTACTATGTGGATTCCCTATCGTGCCAGTGGGGACCACACCAGAAGGAATCGACATAACCGATGGAAGCGACCATATCTTGGGGAAATGGTGGCTTCAGATCAAAGCAGAGGACTATCTCACGCGAGGCCAAGCAGCCCTAGGCTTCTACGGAAAGCTCAAGGTCTACCTAAGGGAAAAGGTAACACGTCCCGCACTCGCCGTATGCCAACATACTAAAAACAAATAGGGCGTCAAAGATTCAGAATGGTCTTATGCCTACCTAGTCACAGCGCCACGGTTCTTCGGCTATTCTTTCAACCCTGCATCCTTTTGGTATATCTACAACCAAAATCACCAACTTACGAGAATGATCACCGAGGTGAACAATACATTTGGAGAGAGACATCTTTACCTACTGGACGGGTCGAGTCCAACAAGTCCGGCTCAGACTCAAGGCGAAGAAGAACAGGTTCTCATGCCACCTAAGACAACTTTTGCCGACTACTGGACCAAAGAATTTCACGTCTCACCGTTTAATTCAAGAAAGGGCGGTGGCTACGCTCAGAAGGCTCTGAACCCCTTTCCTTCACCCACCTCTTCACCTGCTATCGACATTACCATCACTTTGAAATCAACAAAAGATCACGCTAAAATCGTTGCGCGGCTCTTCTCTGTAGGCGCGGCTCTGAAGCTTGACGGAATGAGCCTTTTCGAAGCACTAAAGTTCATTGCAGCCTGGTGGACGGTAGGATTTTTGACGTTTCCACGAATCATAAAGGAGGCTTTCGTCCTGTATTTCCGCAAGGGCTTGCGTGTGTGGTTCAGGCCCGAAGTGCGTGCTTCCAGTATCGGTCGAGTACCGACGCGGATAGAGAAGTACTGGATCCAGAATCACCTTCTGCAGCTGTCACTAACGATATTTTATAGCCTCTTATACCAGGTTTTCCGGGACTATCTCTTCTCCCTGGTGCATCTCTCTGAGGACCCTTTCCTGATCAATTTCGAGACTGCGATTCCTGACAAGCCCCAAGATGTAGTCGCATCGACGCATCGAAGAGACCGTCATTCCAGCGTAAAGTCCCTGGACATCCGCGTTTTGACTGGCGCTTTCTACTCCCGTTTTGTCCACTACTCACATACGTCAGAGGCATTCGATCGTGAATGCTTGTTCACAGACGAGAAGAACCGCACTCTATGGATCTCGCAGCCTGAACTTCTCCAAGAGCTTCTACCAAAAAAATTATTGGAGGATCCGAAAGAGCAACAAGGTTTTGTGGAAAGGGCCTACCTCAGTGAGCTGCGATGGACACTACTGCGGAAGCTAAGGTGCCCGCCCGCTGACCCGGCGTATCCCATATCCCCCAAGTCTGCGCAATTCGACCTCGACGACATACGGGAGCATACTTTCTCGGAACTTGACCGATTTGTGCGGGGATCTACTGGCCTGCATTATGCAGGACACTACAGGAGGGCTGTAACTAAGCTGTTCCTGGCTCAGCGATATGCGCTGGGCTTCACAGAGGTGATTGACGTGTTGGATCTTTGTTCGCGGACAATGCTTTGCTGGCTCGGTGCCAGAATGCTGGTGTCATATAATCAAGCCGGCGGAAATCATCACAGCTCCAGCTTGTATGACATGTATGGCGTCTACAATTGGTGGACAACGGGAACAGCATTGGGGTTATGTCACATCTATGGGCTCTCCAAGGGATATAGGTAGTCGACCTTGTAGATGACTCCCGTCTACGCGCCCAATTACATCTAACCCTTTGACTCACACATTCTTCATAGAGAGATGCGGAATTATTCGCTCGGACGTTGGCCGTGGTGTGAGACAAATGTCCAGTGTTCTAGCCCGTACCAAAGCGTCTGATAGCCGAGGTACCCCAAAACGGCTAGCGGATCGTCGGCTAGCCCTTCTACCGCGATCTCCAGCTGCTTCGCGTCCACGTGCATTCACATGCTGCTCGTATGCGCATGTCAAAGGCCTCAATTGAGAACATGTGAAGTCAGACAAGTCGCGTGCCGCGTTGCAAAATTGTCGCCCGACCTGCCACAGCGCAGCGTTATGGTGAAAACACCAGACACTCGCAGCCAATGAGGCAGCATCACAAGCCAGCAGCGCCAAACGTCATCCCGTCACGGTCCCGGATCCGCTCCTCTAACCCCAGACTTCTGCTCTCAGACGCGTCCTTTGGGCCGAGGGGCAACGACAAGCTCGTCGTCCTGGCACTTGACCGGCGGCCCTCGGCGCAGCTAACTCGGGCCAATGGTGCAGTGTGCGTTACCCGAGTGTTCCCGACCACAGTCACTGGAGTGTAGACCTTTCCTGACTGGGCGTCTGGGGTTGGCGCCCGGCACCATGATGCTCATACATACATAATAGCTTGGCTCCGCCCGTGGAACTGCTTGCGTGAAACGTGGAGAACTACCGAGGCTACGGAAGAGTCTCGTCATCAGGTCATCTCAAAGAAAAGGCAGACATCCCCTCTTTCTTTGAATATACCTTCAGGTCCTCGTATATACTTCTTACCTTTGACTGGAGAATAAGATTAGTGAAGATGGCAAACATTGATGCAGAGGAGCAGCAGTACCAGCAAGAGGTGGAAGAGGTCAAGAAGTGGTGGTCAGATTCACGATGGCGGTACACCAAGAGGCCCTTCACAGCAGAGCAGATCGTCCAAAAGCGAGGCACGCTGAGGATACAATACCCCAGCAATGCACAGTCGAAGAAGCTTTGGAACCTTGTGGAGGGCAGGTTCAAGGTGAGCAAGGTCGTCGCCTACGTCTTGACACTGGCTAATCATACCAGAACAATGACGCAAGCTATACATACGGCTGTCTCGACCCAGTCATGGTCACACAGATGGCAAAGTACATCGACACCGTCTATGTCTCCGGCTGGCAATGCTCGTCAACTGCTTCGTCGACCGACGAGCCCGGCCCCGATCTCGCAGATTACGCCTACACCACGGTCCCCAACAAGGTCGGCCACCTCTTCATGGCACAGCTCTTCCACGACCGCAAGCAGCGCGAAGAGCGCCTCACCACACCAAAGGCAAACCGCGCAAATGCGCCTAGTATCGACTACCTGCGGCCTATCATAGCTGATGCGGATACTGGTCACGGAGGTCTCACCGCAATCATGAAGCTTACGAAGCTGTTCGTCGAGAAGGGCGCAGCTGGCATCCACATCGAGGACCAAGCGCCTGGAACCAAGAAGTGCGGCCACATGGCCGGGAAAGTGCTTGTCCCCATCAGCGAGCACATCAACCGGCTGGTCGCGATCCGCGCGCAAGCCGACATCATGGGTGAGTCTCCCTTTACTTCTCTCCAACAGAATAAGACATCGCAAAAGCTGACAAGTTCTCTCAGGCGTCGACCTCCTCGCCGTCGCCCGCACCGACTCCGAAGCCGCCACCCTCATAACCTCCACCATCGACCCCCGCGATCACCACTACATCCTGGGCGCCACGAACCCCGCACTCCAAGCCCTTAGCGACCTCATGCACGCCGCCGAGCAAGCTGGCAAGTCCGGCCCCGAACTCCAAGCCATAGAAGACGCCTGGACGAAGGAAGCTTCTCTCAAGCTCTTCCACGAGGCCGTCATCGACACCATCAACGCGGGCGTGCACGTCAACAAGGAGTCTCTCATCGCGGAGTTCCTGGAGAAAAGCAAGGGCAAGAGCAACGGCGAGGCGCGCGCAATCGCAAAGGGACTGACGGGCGTTGATATTTTCTTTGATTGGGATGCGGCGAGGACGCGCGAGGGGTACTACAGGTACCAGGGCGGGACCCAGTGCGCGGTGAACCGCGCCGTGTGCTATGCGCCGTATGCGGACATGATATGGATGGAGTCGAAGCTGCCAGACTATGCGCAGGCGAAGGAGTTCGCGGACGGCGTGCACGCCGTGTGGCCGGAGCAGAAGTACGTATCCCCTCCCCGCTCCGTCTCCCCTACCCTGGACAGCCGACTGACCCCACGCCCACAGACTCGCATACAACCTCTCCCCCTCGTTCAACTGGAAAGCCGCCATGCCCCGCGACGAGCAGGAAACCTACATCCCGCGCCTCGCCGCGCTGGGCTACTGCTGGCAGTTCATCACGCTGGCGGGACTGCACCAGACGGCGCTCATGGCGGATACCTTCTCCAAGGCGTACGCGAAGCAGGGGATGCGCGCGTACGGCGAGATCATCCAGGAGCCCGAGGCCGAAAACAAGGTCGATGTGCTGACGCACCAGAAGTGGAGCGGCGCGAATTACGTCGACAACATGCTCAAGATGGTGAGTGGGGGTGTGAGTTCGACGGCGGCGATGGGGAAAGGGGTTACCGAGGATCAGTTCAAGTAGATGGGGTAGATGTGGTGGGTTTGGGAGATTGTAGAAGAATGGATGAATCAAGTCAAGCGTCTCAAAATGCTCCAGTCTCATGTTGCTGCCCATTGCACGGGCAGGGATGCGTATTCGCTCAAGTCGCCGCTGGATCGAGCTGTGTCGACACCTTTCGGGTCTATTCGTTTATGACGATCCACCTCGCCCAAGTATACTAGACAACCTCCGGCAGTCGTCGCAGTTGTCTTGCCCAATCAGTCTTTCGACTATGTACAAAGCTCACGCGCATACCCCACGCGGCCCTCCTCAAAGACAGTGAAATGATTTTTGACATGAGTCTGTGCTATACACATACGCATACCACATTGTAGCAAAAGATAGTGAAGCGTGTATCCCTACGCCAGTCCAACGCCCGTGGCCCAGCGACCAGATGCAGATATGCAGGTACACGGCCAGGTACTTGTTATACTGCTCCTCAGCAGTGCATGCAAGACAAAACCTGTCGCATTGATAATGAACAGTTGAAGGAAAATGCCACTTTTTCGGAAACACCCCCCGCCCCAACGTCTTTTCTAGATGTTTGTATGCAGATCTAAGAGCCCGCGGGCCCTGGGCAAATGGAGGGATAGGGAACGCAGAGTCTCGGTAGGGACCGAATGACAGCCAGGCTCTCAGCTATCCAATCGCAGATACCGTCCCAGAGGTGAGGAAGAAAAGAGATTGATCAGTGGTAATCAAACAGAACGCTTATGCTCTCGCCGTGATGCACTCGTCGTATCGCCTGTGGAAAATTGTTAGTCTCAGTCTCGATGTCAGTAAAGCGCAAGTCCTACCTCAGCAAAGACATTGCCAACTTCCAACACCTCCAGCTTCGGACACCGCGCCTTATGCTCAGTCTGGTCCACGGTGTTTGTCACAACAACCTTGTCCAAAGCGCTCGCGTTGATACGGTCAATGGCATCGCCGCTCAATATGCCGTGTGTGATCAGCGCGTACACAGTGTTTGCGCCTTCTTTCTTGAGCAGCTTCGCAGCTCGTGTGATGGTATTTGAGGTGTCTGCCAAGTCGTCGATGAGGATCGCGGTGCGGTCGCGGATTTCGCCGACCAACATCATGGTCGCGTTCTGACGGTCGCTGATTTGCGTAGGGCGGCGCTCCTGGTCATTCAGTTAGCATATGCTCCGGGTCTGAACCTGGTCCACGCACCTTGTGGATAAGCGCAAATGGCATGCCCAGCGCATCTGCAATCGCCGTAGCTCGCTTTGCACCTCCAGCGTCAGGGCTCACAATGACGGCCTGCTGGTAGTTCGGGATGGAGAACTGGATGTACTTCCGGAGAAGATGGCGACCGTAGAGGTTGTCTACGGGTATGTCGAAGAAGCCTTGGTACTGCGGGTCGTGGAGATCCATGGTAATGACATGATCTGCGCCGGCGCAGGTGAGGAGGTCCGCAATCAGAGTCCCGGCCTGTGCAACCCATTGCTTGTACCCGGGTTGTGGCGAGAACTGCGGAGGCATTGTGGCGGCTCTCGCAAGACCGTTGTTGCCATGTGTGCCGTTGACTCCGTTGGCCTGGAAGGAGCCCTTGTCAGAGCCATCCGACTTTTTCGTTTCGACCGTGTCGGTGCGCTTTAAGCCGTGGCTTGGAGTGCGCTCCTCGGACATCTTTAGTCGCTCCAGCGACTTGTCGAGCGAGGCAGTGCCATTTGTGAGGGTGGCACCGGGGTGTGCGGGATGCGGAGTCGCCGGGACGCTGTCGAATGAGTAGGTGCCGGTGCGGCTGCGGTTGGCACCAGGCACCTTTGCGAGCGGGGCGCCCGTCTTGTTGTACGGGATGTCGCTCTGGCGCGAGTAGGGGAAGAGCGGCAGCACGGCGGTGATGCGCTTCGCCGAGGCTGTTCTGCAGGCCGAGATGCAGATCAACTGTTGCGGGATTAGAAGCGCGGGAGACGGCAGACACCCAGACGCACAAGTTCCATGAGGTTGTCATTGACCTTTCCTCCGCCGCTCTGCACAATGAAGACGTCCTTGCCGCGGACCGACTCCTCCACCTCAACCCTCGTCTCGCCGACTGCAAACTTGGACAGCTTGGGAAAGGTCAGCCATGCGCATGTTCCGCCGGGTGCGGGGTCTTACCAGCCGCTTTGCTGGGGGGATGCCGAGGTGGTCGCATATCTGCTCTGCGCAAGGTCAGAAAGGCCGAAACGTGTAGGGCTGAAGAGCTTTACGGGTGAGCTGCGGGTGGCCTGCGGAGAGCACAGTTAGCAAAAGAGCGCGCCATAGCTACACTGCACGACTCTGGATGCAATCCAGGGAAATTGCGACCCAAAGCGACGCTGCGAGGCCGACGTACTGCTGCCGCCGAGGACCACGATGTTGCGCACCATGACGGAAGTGGTGGGGTTTCTCGCGGGTCCGACGGTGGTGATATGGCGTGCTGCGCAGGTGCTGGGCAGCCGTCTCAGGCACTGCGTGAGAGGTGAGAAATGAGTTCCTTCGCCTTTGCGGGCGGGCGTGTTGTGAGGCGTTCAGCGATGAGGTAGTAGCATGTTGAATGAATAGCTTGAATGGACCCGCCGAAGTTTTCTTCGGCTTGCTTCCTTAATTCTGCCGCCATGCGCGCCAAAATACGCATCCTTGCACGCACCGCATACGCCATACCGCCCTCCACCGCCCACCAGCCTGCGCTACCCGCCCTGCTTGCGAATCTCGCATGCATCACTGGTCGCAAGAGGCAAGGCGACATCTGGACTGCACCGCACTTGAGCGGCCGGCTGAATGGCAACTGCCTGCATCGCACCTTCCGAAGTCGGAGTATCACGTGCAAATCTCTACAGCATGCGGCAGCAGCGCTCAAGCAGCGCCTATGTCGCAGAGTGCTGGAGGTGCAAAGTAACTGGCGAAGCCTTGCGTAAAGCGCGGTCAAGAGCATTCATTATTGCGTGCAAAAAAGAGTAATGATTCGATTCAGACCACCACAGCATCGCCCTCGAGCAAACCATGCCTGTTCGCTGTCCCGCGCATGGGAAAAGTCCAAATGTTTCCCTCCTCAATGCGATCGAATTCTCACATCTCCGCCTGTGCTCGATGTTCCCTCATGTCGTGCGACCGGCTATCGGGTTGCTGCGCGTACGGGTCACCCTGCAGCGACGTGCAGCTACCCTGGGGGTCCTTCGGACTCTCTCGTAATTCGCCGTCGTAACAGATCTCGCTTCGTGCTTTCGACTTCATGCGTGATCATACAAAATGCGACGGTAGATAGCCATTGTTGCATGTGTCGGGGAGCTCTTCGGGTGCGATCATGGCCAGAACGGTTCATGTCTCACAGCAGACTTCGCAAGCCGCGATCAGAGGTATGCAATACCGAGGCATCGTTCGCATGCAGGTGTCGTACCAGATCGAAGGCGCTTGGCGCCTCCGGTTTTGTTATTTTGCGTTTCCAGACAGGCATAGCTCTCCTCATATCATTCCCTCCTCCCACTTGCCCGATTTCGACTTCTCAATTCCAGGCGTGAACAGCTCCGCGCTCAGAACGAGCACGGCAGGCACCACAGCCAGGGCATCGACCGTCCCGCTCCGATGATGCCTCCCTACTAGATTCATCGCGGCCGCCACCTCCCTGCTCTTGACTTCTTTTTTAATCCTCGGCCACTCGTCCCCCGACTTGCGCGTCGACTCGCTGGACGATCCTCTGCGGTGGAACGGCCGGAAGGAAGAGATCGAGTGCGACTTAGGGCGCTTTCCGGTGGGGGCGGCGTGCGCTTTGGGCTTTGGAAGGGGCGGGAGCGGGATGTTGATTTCGGTGTAGAGAGGTTCTTCGTATTGAGGTTCGGGTGAGCTGAGACGTGCCTCTTCGTAAGTTGGCAGAGCTGAAGCGGGTGGTGTTGAAGGGACATCCTCGTCCGCCCTCGTCGCTTCGATGTCCTGCGTGACCGCCATCGTTGGCAAGTCTGTCGAAATTGGATTTCCACAGTATATTCAGAATGAACGAGTGTGCAGGTTATGCGCCAGAGCAAGTGAACGCTGACACTTGATATGCTCTTTCCTCAGCAGTGCACAGCCCCTCAACCTCGTATCACGCGCACCACATACAGTGTCATACACCAGGCACTGTCACCAGCCACCGCAGCTCCCTGAACACACACCATGCAAACATCCAAGCTTTTGTCAGGCCCCCAACCCGCCGGCGGTGCCTAGTGACGTCCTCGAACGGCGTCGCGCTGGCGATCTCGGAAAGTCAGAATGCGTACAAAGGCGATGGTGGCAGATCCGCAAACAGCGAGCCAGGGAGCGAGCGATCGCGGAAACGGAGGTTCTTGCTGATTGCTGATCGCCATTTCGATAAGCCACCGAGCTCAGTCAGCCGCATTGTGAGCGAAAACGGGTGCAACAAGGGGAGAGTTCAGCTCCGTGCTGCTTGGGCTTACGCTGCCAAAGAGGATATGTGAGGCGAGGAGGTGGGGCGCAGCGGACGCGTTGCGGGCGAACGGCCAGTGCTCTGATATATGAACTGTGAGATGAGTCAATAACATGTAAAGGTGTCCACAACTTTGGTTCAGCTTCGATATCCGGGCGTCTTGTAAGTATGGGACACATGCCAGCGGGCCCGGGAAGACCAGGATCACGTGGTTCAGCGTTCACCTAGGCACCTAGGCACCTTCGCTCTTAGGCTTATGACTGCCTCTGGTGCTAGTAAGAGATTTTACTCATTATTCAGCAGCGTTTTGGCAGATTGATCTGCTATCATTCTATGAAGAAGGTAATCAACTGAAGATATTCAATGATAGCATCAAAGTTCCGAGGTCAAACCACTCACGTAACGGCCTGTGTGTGCAATCATAACACTGGTCGATCCTTATTCATCCTCCAAATCCAGCTGGCTTGCGGACACCTCCATCTCTGCAGGCTTTTCAAGTTTCCCTGAGTACAGCACCTGGTACGCCAGCCAACGCCAATCGTTGGGCATCTCGTCTCGTGGATGTCCCCACTTCAGCTTGCTTAGGTCTCCTATATTGTACATATCAAGCATTGAATCGACTCGTGGCGTCCACACATCAAGATTCCACAAACGCCCATCCTTGCTCCACTTCTTGTCTCCTCGGATCTCTGAACAAAGCAAGGCGGCTGGTCCAATAGGGCACAGCAAGTCGGCAATGATCTCAATATCGGAACATTACAATGATGATGGATGCAGAGGACTAGAGCCTCCGGTGTAACAGCGAGATAGTGATGGGGACCCGAAACTCCGGTAATCGGCTGAGGAAGTTGCGAGAGAAGCTGGAGATCTTGACTGGTGTACACCGGGTCGTATGCCACGATATTTGGATGTTTGGTGGAGACTAATGAGCTGTTAGATTGAGGGAATCCTTCTCGCAATAGGACACGCTAAGAGATGCTGGTGGTAAGGTCTCTAAGGTGAGAGTAAAAGCGGCAAGTGCACAAGCTACGAGGTACATGTTGCACGGGAAGATCCGAGAAAGCATGTTCCATCAAAAACTCTGAGGATATGGTTCAACCCCAATGTAAGTGAATACAAAGGCGCTGATACAGTAGGACAGTGACCTTGGACTTAATATCCACATATGGAAAGAGAATTCACAATACAGCCCACCTATGTCATGGTTGTTAGTGAGGAAAAGTCAGATGACCATGTAGGCTCGATTGTTAATGATAAAGACCACTTTCAGGAGGCCAGCAATCTCAAAAATCAATGACAAGGGCTAGTGGAACAACTGGAATAAAATCGCAGTAAGCGTGTTGACATAAGAAGTAGACCGTAGCTAGTTGATTCCATCTCAAGAAATACCCAGTGACAACTGCTAGACACTAGCTGTGTTCCACCGCCGTCCCTCTACAGAATCGAGATCAATGTCGAACAGTGTGAAAGTTCAACCTGTGACTGTCATCAACGTTAGTATATGACCTGCGAGCAGAAACAGCTTGCCACTTACAGAGCTTGGGACCGGGCATCGGGTAGACCGGCTTGGACTCGTCATTGTAGATGTTGTAATGCACACCAGGATCATTTTCATTGTAGAGAGAGGTTCCAACCACACCTTCCGGTGTAGCATTGCCGCCACCCGTGATCTTGATGTTTGCACACTGTGGGTAGAACTGAGCAGCGCCGACATCGTAGGCGGAGTGAAGCGCAATGATCTCGTGGCGTAGAACGTAGTTACCTGCCTTGATTGAGGCTGGGATCTTCACAGACCAGGCACCATCCGCCGCACGCAGTTGGTCGTCGGCCCAGACACCCGCCTTTCCGCCGCCTGTGCCGAGGGAGATCTGGCCCACCTCCGCGATCTTGAACCATCTGAGCTGGTCTTTCTTCACCGTCGTGCAGTCACCATTGCAAGCTGCCAGGTAAGAGAAGATGGGCCCGTGGTGGCTGTCGGGCCAGGTCGTCCAATGAAGGTTGATGGTTTGTCCCGCGGCAATCGAAGTGCTGTACAGCTTGGCGTTGGTAGCATTGATCGAGCAGATGATGTCCGGGCTCTGTAGGTTGCTGCTGTACACAGGTCCTGTGTCGGTGTTCCAGGCTGGCCAGCTGATAGTACCTTGATCAGGTACCCATGGTGCCGCTGTAGGGTTGAACCCTTCGTAGTCTTGGCCCGCAATAGTCAACTTATCGATCCAACCGTGCGCCAAAGCGGTGTTGGCCAGGCTCAGGGCGCAACCGAGTGCGATTGGGGACAGCATCTCAGCCTGTGTTGCAAACGAAGATTTGGAAGTAGGTACTCATGGGTCGCTGGAGCTATAACCCTCAGTCTTTAAACGGGTCTACATGCGGTTGAACGTAGGAAAAAGTCGCAGGGATCAATGACCGTGTCCGGTAGTCGGGCTACAGACCAGATTTCTTGTCACACAAGAACTATATTTTAAAGTACTACAGGCTGATGCTTAAAGCCATGGCTGCACTTTTGCAGGCCATTGATTGGTTGTGCACCTCAAATCCCAGCCTTAATACTAAGCGAATGGACATTCCCCGGAATTCATGGTTAATAAACATTTATGAGTGCAACGGACAATTCCTTTCCTTGGTCGCTCATGAACCTGGGCTAAATTGTCGTGTTGAGGGACGCGTGGAGTCTGACAAATTCGGCAAGCCTAAACGCCCTGAATAGGCTGGATCAACGATGGTGAATTGCGAGCTAGGTGAGATCCCGTAGTTGTCTATATTATAGCTTGAGGATGTTTTCGTACGTTGTTCTGATTGAGTATAAGCGCTCCCAAATACCAATGAACAGGTAGGTGACGTGGGAAAAGGAACATTCATTACTGTCAATTTTCCATCCGAGTGAAGTTGCGCTATGGAACTACTTCGCCAACGCGCACGGTAGAACACTCCACCCTTTCTTTTACTGCATGACTAAGGACATGTCTTATCTTCTTGTTAATTTTCGTTCGGGTGTTTCTTGTGTACTTTGAAGCCCTTGTCCGGGCAGTAGTGTTCTCTATGACTCCGTATCCAAGCTAGCAGACCAGCTCTTCGATTTCGACAGTTGTTACCCAAAACGCCTGAGCAGCACGTATAGCCGTATTACAGCTCTTAGATTAAATGATACGATTCGGACCCCATAGTCTACTGAAACTGGGAGAAGAACTTCCAGACATCGCTGATCGTAAAACTATTCACACCAGCATCTCCCCCATTATCACCCGGCAGCGCAACGTGGTCGGCATCGAAAGCTGTCCACTGCGTCGGATAGCTAGAATTACAATTCTGGTAAACGTTTACAATGTGCTGTCGGCTGTTCTTGCCGGGCTCCTTTGCCTGCATGGTCTGACACCCATTGTTCTTGACAAAGCGATCGCGAATGTCCCTGCCCATTGATATGGGCAGAACACTATCTCTGACTCCATGTTGGCCGTAGAAAGCAATGGGGTCGTTGCCACCAGAACATCCGGATAGAAGGGCGCCTGAAAGCACAGCGATGGCGCGGAAATCTTTGGCACGGCTGCAAGCCAGACTGTAGCTCATAGCGCCGCCATAGGAGAAACCAAGAGAGAAACGGAGGTTTTCGTTGACGCAGAGACCGTCCTCGATCTGTTGGCGGATCGTGTCAATGAAAGTGATGTCCTCGCCGCCCTGGTTGGCCCATCCCTTGTTCAGTCCATCCGGAGCGACGAAGATGGCACTATTCTTCGCGAGAGCCTTGAGGCCATAGTAGGGTGCCGATCCACCATCAACACCCGTCATATCGGCGTCGCGCCAGTGGAGACCGAAGATAAGGCGGTAAGGTTGGCTGCTGTTGTACCCTTCTGGAATCCTCAATATCCAGCGACGTTGTTTTCCGTTGACCGTGACCGTCTTGGTTCCGCTAGTCAAGGTAGGACTTTTGCCACAGCCAGCAGTACCAGCGTGTACGCCATCCAAGAGATGGAGAAACAAGGCACCGAGTGCGAAAAACGAAACCGGCACCAACATTCTGATGAGAATGGATAGATTCCAAAAGGCTCAAATGAAACAAGTTAAGAAGGCTTGTGAGATGCTGATATAGGTCGATTTCATGCTGAGTTATGTGCTCAGTCGTCGATAATTCCTCAAGCGTCCATATTATATGTTTTCCCGTTTATCCAGTGCGTGTGACACATTCGAGCGGCCAGCGCAAATGTGCACCCATCAGGAAATCTCGCCTTCATAATGCCGACTCAGTAAGGTGGTTGGGGCAGCGCCTGGAGCAGTCACCATGGATCGAATGTGTGGGGAAACCGTGTGCCGAAAATCAGTTGATATAACAGCAGGGTTCTCCGCGGGAATCTGCCGTGCTGCCTGGGCGAGCTTGGAAGGATGACATCTGCCACCGGGTGTTTTCTTTGTTTGGTATGGACGATTCTTGCCCAGAAAAGGCTCGACTGTCGTTATTTGTACTGCTTTAATAATCTCCGTGGTCTTTGAAGGGCATTGATAGACTCTATTATTAGTTGATCGCAGGGAACCGATGTTATCCTGAATGGGGATCATGCTGAGTCGGTATGATAAGGCCGCTGAGAACTACACTCGGTAAGACTTGTTCAATGCCGACTTTCTCTTCATGAGAAATTTTCTGGGATATGAACTGGATGGATGCGTCTGAAGCTCTTAGTTTGCAGCCCCATACCAAATTAGGCAATCCAAGGGTACCTATGGTATACCTAAGCATGAAAACCCCGGGTTGATCAACCTGTATTTTGTCCATCTCCGTAGAATCTAAGTTCGTGTTAGTAACTGACATCCAGCGTGAAGCGGGCGGTAGGTGTGGTGACTGGACCTCGGAAAACATGACTTCACGAGAAGCTACTAGTGAGGAACTGATGAGTTTGGTGGGCTATTAGAACAAATTCTCCGGTCAATATCATTGATACCTATTCTAATTATAAATTCTAGCGGATTGTAATTCGAAGCAAGCTGAGCCGAGTGACGATCGAGTGTCCAGGAGATTACTATGGACTTACTAATTCTAGACGTCACGTGGCTTGATCTGGTAGGATCCGCGATGCGGCCCACGCACGATACTCAACACCATCTCTGCGAGAGCCCTCCTCCTCCGAGCGCCGTTTCAATACCGACTCAATTTGACTCACAGCACTATCCAAGGATAGCCTGGAATTGGAATCGTGAAAATGAGAGCTCCTCTTGACTGATGATGTTCTCAATACGTGCAGACTGCGGGGTTGAATGTTGATGTTAGCGACACGAAGGGCCGGCTCAACAAGTGTCAGAATGGGCGGCTAATTAACTCGTACTCCAAAGGTCCCACAGCTAGTGATCGGCTCTTCTCGTGGCTGCATTTGGAGCAGATCACCATAAGAACACGCCAAGAAGACGCCATATATTCAAGACCACTTCATGACACATCGCAGAGCGTCTCTGATGATAGTTCTGTCAGGTCCTCGGCAAGCTAAGCCCGTACGGAGACACTTCCTGGCAATGTTATCCTTGCGGCGTGGAACGAATTTGGAGCCGCGAATAACTCTTTGCCGATGTATCGATCGAAGGACAACGGGCAAACGTGGCATCCTTGGGGAAGCTGTAAGTCTGAGCATCTAGGGAGGTGGCTGGTGCAACATCATATGCTGTACCTAGATGAGCCCTTTGGAGAAGAAGAAAGGGGGGTCTTGCCATTGTCAGTGAATGCTACCGATAACAGGTGAACTAATATCGAGGTGTGGGCGAGTTCGGGATCCAGGACAGACTTTCGAGTTTGTGAGTTGAGTGGCGGAGGGTGGCCGTGGAAACACGACAAATGGCGCTACGCCAGTACTAGGAGCCGTTCTTGCTACGAAAGTAGGTGGACTCTCTACAGAGACAGTCCAGGAACTGACTTCACTTCTTGTGGGGACAAGATTCCTGTGTATTACTCCGACCAGCGGGATCCTAAGCACGAACAGAAGCTCGTACAGCAGACCACGGAAGGGAATTTTGACAGCTGGGAACCTACGATCGATATGGTCGCCTCCAATACTTATGAAGACTGCCCAGTAATGCCTATCATAACCAAGGTACGCTGTGGTTTTTCAACTTGCGTTCCGCTTTGAGACTTATCTGCTTTAGCTCCCCAATGGCCAGTCTTTCATGGTGTTCGAGTACGCCAGAATGTCAACCAAAGATCGGGCCAGTACACATACCCGATCTACTAAAATCTTTCCCTCGACCAGGAGAATGCGAACAAGGAGCCATGGCACAAGCTCGTGGCCGGTGTCGGCACTCAACCGAACGGCGGTCCTCATGCAATCTGGACACCTCTGGATGGCCCTAACGCTACTATAGTAGTGTTTGATTTAGACAAAAACCCGATCTGGGTCAATCAAGCACTTGGCGAGGGCATCTGGAAAGAAGTGCAGACCCCACATGGTTGAGCTTACTCTAGGGAAGTCCGGATCCGGAAGTTTCTCCTACAGATTTGGAACCACTCTCCAAATAGGTTGCTAAATCTTCCAAAGCCGTCAATGACGGTAAAAATATACGGATTGCAGGCGGTGCAGAGTACGAAGCACCGCCACCGGGCAAAGGGCAAGTTTCCGTCATGGACTTGAAGAAGGCACTTGGGGTATAGGGCAATTGTGTGGATCGATCAGGAACTTTCAGGTAGTGCTCAAATTGGTCTTACTTATTTACACTTCCATGCCTTACAGCACATCAGTACAGCCTTGCATACAACTACATTGTCCACGGCCGCGCTCATGTGGGAGTGAAGCCGAACCAATCCGCTTAGCTCGTCTTGACCTTCAACACAACCATATCGTGAGAGGCAAGATTAAATGACACGCTAGTGCCAGTCCCAGTCTGGCCGGAGTAGAGCTCCTTCCAGCTGTAGCTTCCAGAGCCGAGCCCAGGTACGTCCTTAAAGTTAACAGACAGAGTCGCCGCCCCATTGGCGGCGGTCAAACCAACGACAACGCCGTCGCTTAGGGGTCCGGCCCAGTAGGGGTAAAGCTGTCCAGAGACGGGTGCGGCAGCTCCGGAAGGCCTGAACGTAGTCGCGGCCTTGCCAAGCGAGTCTTGGTTAATCGCAAGTAGATCCTAGGAGACGTTAGCCACGTGTAAAGCAACCCATTCCGTCAGGTCTATATACCTTGTTCTTCACGATAGCCAAAGTAGCGCTTGAGATCTTGCTCAGGTCGTTGCCCAGGACGATTGGAGACTTGCACATGGCCCACAGCCCAAAGTGGGTCTTTTCCTCCGCGGGAGTCAACTTCCCGTTGCCAACTTGCTATCGAAAAGTCAGCTTATCTCGGCAGATTCTCCCCCGAAAAGATTCTTACCATCATATCTAAGTCATTGAAGCCTCCGGGACCTGAGTATTGGCTGATTCCCGCCGCGGCGCTCGCAATCCGGACAACACTAGCCCAGTCGTTCCAGTTATCCGTGCTCATCCTCCATGTGTTGCCCACACTGGCACCCCATGTCCAAACACTGTCCCTACCCCACTGGCAAAGATTGTAGAAGATGTTTCGACCGCTCTGTTGGAGTGCATTTCCCATAGTGGTCATCCAAGTCCGCGTGTTCCCGATTGGCGACCCGCAGGTCTGCACCCTCCCCCCGTTACATGGCGTGTAGCAATTATCATATTTCCAGTAGTCGACCCCCCAGCTTGCCAACGTCTTTGCGTCCTGAACCTCGTGTCCCTCGGAACCTGGGTAACCAGCGCAAGTCATTGTGCCGGCGCAGCCATATAGACCGAACTTGAGGCCCATACTGTGGATCTGGTCCGACACCGCCTTGATACCATTGGGCCACTTTGAAGGGTCTGGGACGAGGTAGCCTGAGGAGTTACGCGACTTGGTGCTCCAGCAGTCGTCGATGACAATGTACTCGTAGCCGAGATCCTTGAGGCCCAAGGAGACGAACTTGTTTGCGGTGTCAAGGGCAAACTTGGCGGATGCGGCATTGCATTGGCCAGCATTCTGGGAGAAGGAGTCAGCGGATGGTATAGACTATGTATGAAATCGCTGAACAATCAGGTTATGAAGCTGGAGCAAATCATCCTTACCCAACTATTCCATCCCAGCGCAGGTTTAATTCCGAGACCATTGTTCAGGCGTTTCTCTCCAGCAACGGCAGCATGAGCAGATGAGCCCAAAGCCGCTGTCAAAGAAACCAACTCAAGTCTCATGATGCCAGAACGTCACCCAATGAGGTGTGTTATAGATTCAAGAATGTGTTATGAGCAACGCGAAATGATCAAATCTATAGGAAGCGGGCAGTGCTTGATATAAGTCAAAGCTTTACACATGATATAGCTGAAGCAGTAGCCTTGAAAGGCATCTCACTATTTTTAATTGGTTAAAAAGCACATTTAGACGGTGCTGTAATATCACTTCCCTGGTTATACATGATTTTAGCGGAACGTTAAGCCAGACTCCACCAAAACATTGTTTTGCAGATCACACTTCGTGCGGGGTACATATATGTGGTTAGCTATCCGGTGGCTCTCCAGTCTGAAACTCGATGTTCCGCCAATCGCTACGTACAGCAGGGATTGAAACGGACAACGGCATAATCCTAGATTGAAAGCCTCGAAAATTCTCCGTGAAACTAAAGATGTTCCGAGCATTTTATCCTGCACCTAGCGGGTCTCTTACCAGAGGAAGCTGGTAGCATGAGTCAATTCATCATGGGGCTATCATATGTGAGCCTATTTGGCTGACGGCATGATCGCATTCGATAATCTGTCTATGAAAGTAGCTTAGTACTGTGTTCACCCTGGCGCCCGTAGCATGCCGGACAGTAGTGCCTACGATCTTGGTCAGGAAGTTCAACAGAGAAGCTTGGAATGCAACGGTCACGAGACGAGCATACGCATTACATTCTCCACCAGTGCCCATCGTAAGCCTATCGCTGTCTAGAGTTAACAAACTATATGGTCATGTAACGTTTTCCGCCGATACAGCAGCCCAGAGACTACATGGTATCAACATACATCACTGATGTCATAAGTTGATTGAGCAGGCTCACAGCGTCCAGAATGCATGTGGCACAGCGACAAGCAGTATTAGCACTCCCGCACGTAAACAAAGGTCCCATACACTCTCAAACACCAACACGTACCACCCATCCACTCCAAAATCCACGTCAACCAGTGTGCCTCTCACCGACCGCAACCCAAAAACCGCGAGCGACTATGACGTAGCCCGGACTATAATGTCCCAACCAGGGCGACCGCTCCAGCGGCCCCGGTAAGCACATGTGCACGCGCGCCCACGAGGCTGGCTGAACCTGACCGACCGTCCGGACACTGCGCGTCTACGCAGGCACAGGGCTGGAGTTTGGCACAACGAGGAACAGCCGCGCCACGCCGCCGATTCGACCCGCGTTGACCAAACTCGGCATATGGGTGTAGCCTCGCGGTCGCATGCGCGGGTTCCGGACCCCAATTCCAAGCTGCTCCCCTGCCCGCACCGTTCACACCCCCCAGGGAACTGTTTCCGCCCCACGCCAGCATGCAGGCTCGTGTGTGTGCTCCTCGGGTGTAGGGTGTCCCGGTGCGCAGGAAAGCGTGGTCGCGGGGCGTAAAGGTTAAAAGTTGTGTTGGGTGAGATGGTACATGTAAAGGTGAGGTGAGATTTGGGCCGCTTCCGAGTGAGTTGCTGGTTAGGGGAGGTGGATGGGGCGGTACGGGAGTGGAAGCGGAGTCGGAGTCTAGGCTGTAAGTGGGGTGTGAGATGTGCGGTGAGGGGAGGAGGGCTGTGTAGTACGTGGAGGGGCGATGGTTAGATGGGAAAAGGCACTTTCCTAGGATTGGAATCTCTAGAACTTGTCGCAAGCTATTGGAAAATTAAGCACATCTCGGAAAATAGTCTTACTATGGTATGCCGTTTGGTTTCTGCAACCAGATCATGCATCACGAAGAAGGCTAGAGGCATTGCACACGCAGCCATCTCGACACCAGGAGCGTCAACTCAATCCATCGTCTCAAGCCCATGTGCACCCTATCACACACTGAGCTCTCTCGACATAGGAGAGGCTACCTCAATCCTTAGTCTCAAGCCCGGTGTCTACCATACCATACATCCCGCTCTTTCGACCAGAGAAGCTCGCGCTTCAATCTGCAGTCTCATGCCCAGCAGATGCCATTCCACGTCCGGCTTCTCCGACCAGAGAAGCTCTCGCTTCGATTTGAAGTCGTTGCCAAGCTGCACAAACACTTACCTCTCTCCACAGCATATTCTCAAGCCATTCCCCGCGAACCGGATGGCGAGATGCTGCGTGCTTCTCCGCTCCTCCTTCCTACACCCCATCATATCAAAGCTACAAAGTAAACATGCAAATAAAAAAGAAGAGCAAGAAGGGTCAGAAGGGTCAGAAGACAGACTAGGACGGCCTACGCGTGAGAACCCTGCTGCCATCTCGCTGTTCGACGCCATACACCTTGCCCTTCTTCCCCTGCGCAGGGCGCGAGGACGAGCACAGCTTCCGCATCACGCGCCGAATCACCTCGACGAAGCTGCGCCGCTTGCGATACCCGCTTTGAGGTAGACGGGGAAGTGGCTTGTCCACGTCTATGTTGATGTTGTTCTCCACGCGCCGCATCGGACGCGGGTACTCGCCCTCCGTACTACCAGCATCGAGGTCGCTTGGAAGCGCCGTGCAGTGTGGACGGCGGTGAGCCGTCGTCGTCGGGTACGGCGAGCAGCGGTACTGGGGGCGCTGCGCGCTGTTCGACCGAGCCCTCGGGCCACGGCGATGTCGAGGACGTGAGTGGCCTCCAACCCCATACCTGCCCCCCTCCCGCTTCGGCACATAGATCCCCTTACCGTCCGCACTAACGCCCACGCGGACAAAGGACGCGCCGTCCTCGTCCTGCATGTACGGCGCCGCGCCGACCTCCTGCCCATCGACGACATACAGCTCCCCCTCGGGCAGCTCGTCCCGGCGCGGGCTGCGCGCAGGCAAGGCAGGCGTAGGCTCGAGGGGATAGCGGTAGCTCACCACCATCGCGCCACCCTCGTCCATGTCCACGAACATGGTGCCACGGGAATCGCTGCGCGGCCTGCCCATGCCTGGACGCTCTTCGTCCCAGCTATCGCGCTCATACGCCTCCTGCTCCGCGATGTAGGTATCAATATCGCCAATCAGGCTCTCGAGGCTGTGCTTCTCTGGATTCTCCTTCATCATAGGGCTATCGGCCCGCGCGCGTTGGCCTGCAGCCGGGCGCAGGCTGCCGTATGTGTGGGTGTGAGCTGTGTGCGTGCTCATGTGTGGGTTGGCTTATCACAGCGTTGGTTACTTTGGACTCGATGTAGTTTTATATGCTGGAAACGTTGGGCATTCGTTCAGGTCTGCGGTGGAATTTTTAGGGGGCGGGTAGGGGAGAATATGGATAGATTATGAGTGGGTGTGAGAGAAAGAAGGGGTGCGTTGTGAGGGAGGACATTGTGGGTGGACAATGTCAGCGGGAAGTGAGGTGTGAGGCCTGCGTGGCGGTCAGTATCGTGCGGCAAATATTGTGAAAGACGCGAATCATGTAACTTTTGATGAATGATGATATCTGTTATGGACGTGTGGGAAGAGCAGAAACGGGAACAAACAGAAGACGAGGACAGCTAAGCTTGTAGAAAGACTGGAACAATTTCAACATCTCAATTACCAAATTATGTAACTACCTACTCTACCGCATGTGCGCCCTACATAGAGGACACGTGCCTAGCCTTCCGAGGTATATTCGTCGCCAGGCAAACGCCCCACAGTGGTATATGCTTGCAGAACGGACAGATCGCGAGAGACACGGGAATTCGCAGTGCAGCCAAGAAAACACATGAAACAAGCAGTGGTATATACCAGAAGACCAACTCCGAGACATGAACAATCGAGGAGGCCATCCAAGAGAACGCCCAGATGTGCGTGCGGGTGGTTTCGCCTAGTTTTTCGAGGAGAACTTCTCCTTGAGCTTGCCGAAGAACGAGCGCCTCTTCTTCTTCTTGTCGGTGGTGCCGGATGCAACGCTCTCGGGAGTGTTTGTGTTTGACGGAGCAGCATCCTTCTTGGGTGTCTCAGGTGTCGATTTTTCGGGGGCAGTGCTCGACTGAACGCCGGTGGTGACGACGGGTCCGGTCTGTGTGTTGGTCGTTGGCTGCTTCGACATGGGAGAGACATCGCGAGAGTCCACAACCTTCTCGGCAGTAGCCGGCTGAGCAGGTGCACCGGCAGGCGCGTTCGACTTGGCCTCGTCCAGCACATTGGGCTCGCTGGAAGACTCGAGGGGCTTCGAGTCAGCCAATGCTTCGTCGGAGAGAGCTGGAGCGGTTGCGCTTGTTGCAGCAGTGATGGTGGGTGCAGGCTCGCCCGATTCAGTCGCCTTCTTGACCTCCTTGAGCAGCTCCGACTCAACGTCCTTCTTCTCATGCACCGCCTCTGCGTTGGCAGCAGCTTCGGGGCTGGCATGAGCCTCCTTCAAACTCTCAGCGACCACAGCGGGCACATCGCGGGCAGGCTGTTCGCTGGGTGTCTGGTCTGCATAGAGCGCGTCCGAAAGCAATTGAGACTCTACTTGCTTCTTCTCCGCGACTGCCGCAGGGTTAGCGGCTGCCTCGGGGCTAACGTGGGCCTCCTTTTGGCTCTCAGCGACGACTGCGGGCACTGCATCGGCAGCAGTGGCAGTCTTGCTTTGGTTTCCGACCTCGGAAAGCAGTTCTGATTCCACCTGCTTCTTCTCTGCAACAGCCTCGGGGTTCGCAGCAGCTTCGGGGCTAACGTGGGCTTCCTTCTGGCTCTCGGCTACGACATCGGGGACAGTGCTGGCAGCGGTGGTGGCCTGGCCGTTCAAACCAACCGCCTCGGCGGCCTTGTCCTTCGCAGCGTATGTGGCGGCAGCGAATGCACCAGCAGCACCAACAGCACCGGCGGCTGCGACCTCGCCGACATGCTTCGCGGTGTCAGCTCCAGCAGATGCGGCCTCGGTGGCCTGCTGAGTAGCAGTCTTCTCGTTGGTGGAGGTAGCCGGCGCTTCGGGAACCTTGTCCTTCAACTCCTGCTCAAGCTCCTGTTTCTCCTCGACAGCCTCAGCGTTGGCCGAAGCCTCGGGCTCGAAACCAGCCGCCTTCTGGCTCTCCGACACCGTCTCGGGTACGCGAGGTTCTTTCGGGACTTGGGCCGCGAGCGCAGCAGTCGTGCTCGTGGGAGCAGCGGACTGGATGTGGATGCCGGTGTCTTGCTCAACCTTAGCAGCTACGCCCATGGGAAGACTTGACTCCGGGACAACGCTGCCAGCAAGGGGAGGAAGGCTGAACATACCGCCTTGGGCTTCCCTCTCGGCTTCAGGCGTGAAGACCGGGGCCGCAAGCTGGGGAGGGAGCGCATCGGACTTTTCGTAAGAAGCCGCATCGGTCGTGACAGTGCTCGAGACGGTGTTGCCGGTCAATGTGCTTGCGTCAGGAACCTTCTCGCCGGGCGCGAGGTGAATGGGGTTGCCGGCACCTGCGGTCGCAGGAATGGGCGCAACGCTGACAGTCGCGTCCTCGGACTCTGGCTCCCTGTCGTGCTTCACGGTAGAATCGATCGTATTGCTTGTAAGCGTGGAGGGTTCAGGGACCTTCTCGCCAGGTGCAAGCGTGACGGGGTTCCCCAGCCCCTCGCTAGCAGGGATGGGGTTGATGGAGAAGGCCTTGGGCTCTTGCGACGGAGTCTCGGCGGGGGGAGTGAGAGGGAAGGCGCCAGGAAGGTCTTCATTTGCAGGGGTCTGGAGATGCTTGTTCTGCAAGGGAACAGCGCCGGCGAGCGCAGCGGTGGACGACTCGGGCGCAGCAGAGGAGAGCGTGCTGACGGGCTCTTCCTTGATGTCGTCGGGGGTCAGGACATTGTTGAAGATGCCCGATGCGTCGGCTTCTTTGGGGGCCGATTCGTTGGTGACCCAGTTGCCGTCGACGACGAACTGTAGATGGAGCGTCAGTACCGGATGGCGGGCCCGGCGCGAGCAGCTGCATGCACAGGCAGCAGTGGACGTACCTTGTACTGATGCTTGGCCTGGGGCAGCTCGACAGTCTTCTTGAAGATGCCGTCTTCCTTGTGCAGCTGGACCGTCTTCTGCCAGTCGTCGAAGGTGCCCGTCACATAGACGTTTTGGGCATCGTGTTCCCTGGGCGAGTCGGTGAGCGCGGGTCGCCGTCTGGCGGGCGCAAGCGTACTTACCAGGTAAAAGTGTATTTGCCCATGTCTCTCGTAGCAATATGTGAGTGCGTGTGCGGGCGAGAAGAGGGGTGCACGGGGGCTGAGACGTTTTGTCTCTGGTGCGAATTCGGGTGGTTGGAGAGGACGGATCAGGAGCGGGCGGAGAGGTTGCAAGCGTCAATGCGGCGCCGCGGACACTATCGGAAGCGCGATAAGGCAGCGGTGTGCGTTTGCGGGCGGCTAGAAGCACAATGCGCTCGAGGCGGCGGCGAGGAGGAGATGGATGGGCTGATGCAGCGACGGCCACGGTTGAGACACGGGCGCCGCGAAGCTCAAAGACTGCTCTTGAAGCAAGCTCGGTTCGCGGGGCTTGGCGCGCGACAGCTGCAGCGCAGCGGGGAACGGGCCCCAGCCGTCGCATTACGTCTGCTGCCCTGGGCGGTGTGGCTCAATCGCAAGCCCTTGCGAGCGCGTGCCACTGCCCATCAGGCCATTGACGTCAGCGCCCGCGATGCCATCTCTGGAGCCGGCCTTCTCTTGTGTCCGCGCGACTGCACGCCCGCGAGCATGCGCATGGCGTCATGGCATTGGCAAATCAGACCGCGCCGACCGCGGTTGGCTTCACGCTCCCGCCTCGCCCTCGCAGCAGAGCAGCGCAGGACGCTGTGCTGTCGGCGTCACCGCCAATCGACCTCGAGCGCACCCCGGCGCCGCAGTTCCCACGGCCCACGTGTGTCTGCTACGACGCCGCCGAGCCGCACAGCAGGTGAGGCCGCGACTTTGACTCACCACCGGCACTGCGCACTGCACACTGCACACTGCACACTGCACACTGCACACTGCACACTGCACACTGCACACTGCACACTGCACACTGCACACTGCACGCACCTGTGGCATGCACCGCGCGGCTGCGGCTGCCCCTGCCTAGACCTTTGCCGCACTGCTCGCGTGCCTGTGTCGCCGTGCGAGTGCTGGGCGCGGTTCGTGGGCGCCCGCATTCCTGCCGCACCGCTCTCCACTGCATGCCTCGGTCGCCATGCCAGCCGCAGCGCTGCCCGCGGCGTGTCTGCTCTGCCCGTGCGACCACGGCAGCGCGGTGTTGTGTCTTCACGGCGCGAGGCTAACAAGGAGCTTGGGCGCTGGAGCCGCCCTCCGTGTCATAGCTCTTGGTGCGGGCGGGAGCTACTGGCGCATCGCAGCCTGCCCTCTGGCGATGCCTTTGGCCTGGGGCGTCTGGCACGGCGGCTGGCGCCTGTCGCTGCGCTGGCCGCCGACGGCTCTGCGCAGACATGCTGCGTGTTGCAGCGCGCTGCAGAGGGCGACGAGAGCTGCTGCGCGCGCAGCCGCCAGAAGAAGCAACGACGAGCCAGGCAGCCGCGAGCCAATCGTTTCTGCGTGGCTGCCAGCGGCCTCCGTCCAGTCTCACTCGCAGCCTGTCCATGTGTCTTCGATGGGAGCTCTAGATGTCTTCTGGAACGGGAATGCTCTCGTGTATAGAAGCTCGCAGATGGCCGCACGGCAGCGTGCCCGTTCGCAGTGCATCCACCCCGCCTGCCCCAGCCCAGCCCTACACCAGCAGCTCTCCGCACTTGGGCCAGCCTGCATCTGCGCCTGCTCCCCAGACGCTCCTCTCCTCGCCGGCGCACTGCCATCTCTGACCCCAAGCGCCCCTGTATCCTGCCCGCCCGCATCAGCACCGCCGCCCTGCCCAACGCCTACCCCACCGTCCCGCCGCGCCGCTGGTGACCTCGCTTGTTTGCACAACTGCATATCCCTGCGCGCGTCGTCAAAGAGCTGCGGGCGCCGACCCCCGCACCGCATCGCTCATGTCCCTCCCTCCCGACTACTCCAACGAGATTTCCTCTCTCAACCGCGAGATCCTCAAGCACCAGCCCCACGACGTCCTCCAATTCTGCGCAAACTTCTTCCTGCGCCGCCTCGAGTCCCAGCGCGCCGAGTTCCTGCTCTCCCAGCAGCATTCCAGCCCACAGGGCCGTGGCATGGCCGAGAGCACCTTTCCCGGCGGCAACCCCTTTGGCACCTCCCCGAGCCACACCGGCACCTACATGCAGCGCCTCGACGAGGAAGACGAGAACGACCAGGTAGCCTCGCCCACCGCCGCCTCCTTCTTCCCCAACGCCGCCATGGACAAGGCCCAGAGCAACCCCGCGAGCGAGGACACCTTTGGCAACTTCGCGGGCTTTGGCGGCTTTGGCGATGCCGTCAAGAGCAGACCGCAGCCCTCGGGCGCTCCCGAGCCCCAGCCCTTCCCCAACAACTACAACCTCAACAGGCGCACCTCTGTCTCCGCCGAGTCCCTCAACCCCGCCTCGTCCGACCACAGCGACTGGACCCCGCCCAGGCACCCCAAGTCGGCGGAGCAGCAGGCCCGACTCAGGGAGGCTGTCGCAGGCAACTTTCTCTTCTCACACCTCGACGACGAACAGTCGGCCCAGGTGCTCGGCGCGCTGCAGGAGAAGCCGATACCAACAAAGGGCATCAAGGTCATTCAGCAGGGCGACGTGGGCGACTACTTCTACGTTGTCGAGAAGGGCAGCTTCGACATCTACGTCAACCAGTCGGGCAAGCTCGAGGCAGGGCCTGATGGTCAAGGCTCCAAGGTGGGGTCTGTCGGCCCTGGCGGCTCCTTTGGTGAGCTTGCCTTGATGTACAATGCGCCCCGCGCCGCCACCGTGGTGTCGGCCGAAGCGTCCAACCTGTGGGCTCTGGACCGTGTCACCTTCCGTCGCATTCTCATGGACAGCGCGTTCCAGCGCCGCCGCATGTACGAAGGCTTCCTCGAAGAGGTCCCTCTGCTCGCCTCTTTGACGCCTTATGAGCGTTCCAAGATCGCCGACGCCCTCGAGACAAAGAAGTTTCCTCCCGGCACCCACATCATCAAGGAGGGCGACGTGGGCGAATCCTTCTACATTCTCGAGTCTGGCGCAGCCGAGGTCTATAAACGTGGCAACGAGCAGCCCGTCCACAGATATGAAAAGGGCGACTACTTTGGTGAATTGGCCCTGCTCAACGACGCCCCGCGCGCCGCCTCTGTTGTTAGCACCACCGAGGTCAAGGTAGCAACCCTCGGCAAGAACGGCTTCCAGCGGCTGCTGGGTCCAGTCGAAGGCATCATGAGGCGCAACGACCCGAGCAAAGTCCAAGATGCAGACGGCGTAGATCCGTTCACCAAGTCATCATAGAGCCCATCTCCAGTCGTAACGGCACGGGTGCCGTGTCCCAAGGTTAGACAGCAACGAGTGCGCCAGGTGGTCTGGTCGTGTACGGAAAGTGCACGCGTTCAATGTGGAGTGTACGGGAGTGTCGGCTGCTGCTAATCCCCAAGTTGTCGTTTGCTCTGCGTGGCGTTTTCGCATGTACTCTTACTCTTCCCTACTATCACTAAGTGTTTGTTCGACGCGTGGGTGGGTCTCACGGGCGAAGGTGGGAGAACGGGTGTGCTGGTTCCTGTCGACTATACTCCAATGTCGCATGATGTTCAATCAAGACTATAGACTTGCTATGTTTACAACTGTGGTCAACGTTGATTATGCCGTGGAATCACGAGGTAGCCTATTGACGTTAGTCATGCACTCATGCAGCACCGTTGCCAATAATGCGGGGTTACGCCCCGGTCTAGTACCTACAGCATCGCCCGTCAATGTTGGCGTCAAGTTCCAGACGAAAAAACGGCGGCACCGCGTGTCATGAAGCCGGTCCCATGTTCGGTCAATGGTCACTAGACAGCCTCACGTCCGACTTAATCACGACTGCTAGTTCATCCGCCAGGCAACAAATACTTGAGCTGGATCCCAGCTTCCACGCAAACTTTGATTCGAAACTCCCACAGCACCATTTTGACTCACACCAACGGGCCTAGAAGCGTGATGACGCACTATTGCTGATCAAGCAGCGGACCATGCAAGGTTGGCAGTTCGCTCCGACCACACGAGCTGAACAACAACGTAACGCAGTCCGTACAGGGGAGTCACTGGAAGTTTGAGGGTGCGTGTTCCATCAAAACTTGCTATCTTTACTCACAAAATCTCTCTGACTTTACCCCAGCGGATGCTCGCGCGATACTCGCACCATCTCCCCGTCCGCGAGAAAGACTCACCTGAGCATCGTGGCAGCAACGGCCGGCTCCTCCCTGTGATTTTGTTACCTCCACGCCCAACAACTTGTGACAAGTCTGTTCGTCCTGGATGTTCTTCCTCTGTCTGGACCGGATCCTTGAAGACAATGCACTAAAATGGTGTTGATTTCAGCTGCCCGTTTAGACAGGTATTGGCCGTTAAACATGGCTTGCGCCGTCGCGTGCCCGACGATAATGCTGGGTATGGTGTTGAGGGGATACCCCCTACACTACCTTGCCGGACCGCATTCGGGGACGCTTCGGAACGATGGCAGTGGGAGTCACAACTCACCAAAACTGTCACGTTTCGAGACTTGCAACAAAGGCAATGGGTTGCTGCATGCCATCTCTCAAATCGATGCATTGGCACCCTTCACCATCGTCCATTGTCCAGCTTAGGATGGCGGCAATGGCGGTTGCAAACGTCCAGACGAATTACAGCGCTACCAGAGAAACCTACGGAGCGGCCGTTGGCACTTGAGGTGTTGTGTCTGCCTCGCGCGTACCGACATCCTACATGACGTACAGGTGGAGACGGCGAGTTCGAAGAAGCACTTTCAGCTGAATGAAAGCATGGAGGCGTTTCGGAAATAGCCTTTGGTATGTTTAGGAAACCAATGGAGAGCGATCATCTCGTGGTCGAGCACTACCATGGCGTGGACGGTCGTCACAAGCTGCGCTTACATGCATATGCAGGGGTGCGAACGGGCGCTAGTGCTGAACTGGGGCAATGGGCATAGTCAAGGTACCAATCCTTGACTATTCTTCGTGGCCCGAATCATAGTAACGAGTGTAGTTGGATCGTGACTGTAAACGCAGGTTTAGTACGTTTTCATCAAGTTAGAAGCGGAGCTTCACGACGGAAATGGGCCGAACATCCTTGCTGCCTCCTACTACTGACCTGCGGCTCATCCTCAGGCAGACCTAAGGCACAATTACCGCATGCAGCGAAACGGACCCCACCAAAGCGCCACCCTCGTTGTCTACGATCGAACTCGACGACAGCCTGTATCCATATTTGCACATCAGCCACCTAAGGCACCAAGCTTGCGCAACCAAGCTTTCTCGTCTACCGTTCCATCGGACCAACCCGATGCCAGACCACTTCTGTTGGAGCCAAGGCTGATGCACTTCAGCTTGGAGCAGACTATCACGGGCGTAGGCTCCTACTGCTTCCGCTGCGGAGTCAAGATCACTCACACACCCGCCCTTCTAGCGACCGGTGAGGCCGACCATATTTCACCAGAACAGGCGCAGCAGCATTGCAGCTACTGTTGTAGCTCTCCACTGCGCATACTTCAGGATTCGCGTTCTCCCAGTCCAGTATACCGGATGCACTAATCTTGTAAGTTTGACATGGATTCCTAAGATCTACCCTAGTTACCGGTGCTGCTTTTTGGCATGTGTGGCTAGTGTGTCCGGTTAGACTCATTAAGTGTTTGATCGTAACAGAACCCTAGGGTGCTTACGTTATCTGGGAGGCCGACATCTTCATATAACCTCCTGAAACCTCATCTTGGTGAAGCATCGGCATCTGGTACCGCATTACTGGGTTACAACGTAGTGCATGAGTACTCCATCTCCCATTGAGAAGAATCACTCCTGAGACGTCAACATGTCCGCGCAATCCGGATCGAAGCCTGTGAAAAAGAGAGCTGGCAGGAAACGACAACCACCCCTGGCTCCCGGTCCTGCCCTACAGTTTGTGGTAGCCAGTCATCCGAGCCAATTTAAAAATGAGAACACAATGAGGCATGTACGTTCGCACGTCATGTACAAGCATCGCGGCGAACAACGAGGAGGCTCCCCGACAGAAGGATCGCGAAGCCGGCAGAGCTCAGCGGCATTGACTAGAACCCCTAGCCCCATGACAACAAGCTCAGATGGAGCACTCGAAGATACGTTCAATCTGCCACCGGCAGCTCGGCTACGCAGCACTGTCTGGGATGACGCGTGGTACCAGTACATGTCTCAATCCCCGTCAATCGACCCATTGCGCAACCTCGCTGCTCGTATCATTGCAGCTACCACGGCCGAACCAGCACGAAGCGCTCCTCCAACCTTCGAACACGAATCCGAGTACCCATTCCCATCGGCCGCGACTTTTTCAGGGTCCGAAAACTTGGACGAACTGCGAGAGATCTTTCTCAAAACCTCGAATCTCATCGACGGAGACGACCTCTCGGCTTGCAGATGGATGAGAATGATGTGCAGCAACCGAATGTCTTTCCTCAGTCAAATAAGTGTTGTTTGTGTCTACCAAGATGTTGCGGAGGGCTTCCTCGACGATACAGCTCTCACAATATACGCCAAAACCAAGCTGATGAAGACGATAAATGATAACCTCAACACGCATACGGACGACTTCACCATACTCAGCATAGTGAACCTCCTGGTAAGCGAGATTGGGGGACAAAACGAAGATGTGTTCGATGTGCACCAAGAAGGCCTGGTCCGGATCGTGCAGCAGAGAGGTGGTATCGCCAATCTCGGTGTCGATTACTACATTGCTACTTTTCTCATTGTGTAAGTGTAGTCGTGGAATTCCTAGGGTGAGGACTAACATCGGTAGTGTCCTACTCAGCTTTACGGTGTTGCGAGGTCGACCGGAACCTGCGATGCTACAAGGTTTCACGCCCGAGCCATTGAGCCGTAGCATCGGATCACATCGTCCCATATCGCCGTTGTACGCGCCCGAAGGAAATATCTCAGGCATATACGGTCGCTGCTCAGTTGATACATTTGAGATCCTCCAAGACATGCACGAACTTACACGGACATTCCTTAGCCGTTGGAGCTATCCGGAATCTGAGGACGCAGTGGCAGACTCACGCCTGGAGCAGATCTACACTCGGCTTCTTTACCGCCCTTCTACCGAAGATAACGTATTGCGTGACTGGATTTACGAGAGTTGTCGCATTGCAGCCCTGATTTACTGCCGTTCAATAGTCCAGGGTATGCCGCTTTCACAGTCGGCAAACGTCATGCACGCGCGAAGTTCTGGCTCGGGTACAGCAACCAGCCTCATAACAGCTCTCCACCGCGCAGTTGAACAGACAGACAGAGCGGGACACTGGGGGGACATGAGTGGCGCTCTACTTTGGGTGTACCTGGTCGGTGGAGCTGCATCATGGCCATCTTTTCAGCCGCTATACGTGGAGCTTCCAGAGCCTCAATCGTCAACGGCGTGGACGAGGAAGTGGTTTGCTCTGCATGCAGTGCGGACATCGCTTTCGATCAACTTTGATCACGCCGATGCTATCGTCGAGTCTCAAAGAACGATGCTGCAGGTTCAGCACATGATCAGCTTGAGAAGAGGAGGTCCGCGTTAGGAAGTACTTAGATTACGTGCGTAGTATCTCGGATGCACTGGTCAGACCAACATCCATACGAGGTCAGCTGACGACAGCGCAACTTTACCGCAGCCACACTGGGCACGACAACCCTCATCACACCACTTCGGTTGCGTCGATTTCCAACAAAATCAGCATCTCGCCCATTACAGCTTCCATCGAGACCTCTGGACAGGACCGATGTTTCGGATTCACCAATCTTGGTTTTGCACTTTCGAATTGACCTCGGCATCTTTGATTCCCGTATTTCATGCCTTCGACTTCTTTCTCACCGATCATCTTATAGATGCATACCAACACGAATATAGACGCAGCATACCAAGAAGTCAAGAAAACAATGATGGAGTTAGATGGCGGTTTCACTGGTGTAGTTTAGCGGTTGTAACAATAGCATGATACGAGCTCCAGCACGGTTTTTCATATCAAATTCCCTGGCATAGGCATGACCCGACTTGTACGGAATCCTTACTCGGCAGGTTCCCAGTGCGTGTAATCGAGGATTGCCAATCTGCGAGAACAAGTCGCTCTGAGCCCGAATCAATCGTAGGCCGTTGCATGGTTCTCTGCGCTCGCAAGCATACTCCCTCGGTTTCTCCCAGCGGAGGCGGAGTCTCTAGCATCGCACCCGCACACGGCTTCCACGGCTGCTCGTGTCGCTGTTTCCGCGCGCCGGCATTGGGATGGCCAGTCCTGCCGGCGGACGCGGAAGCGGAATCGAAGGCGTTGTGCGAGCGGTAGGGCTGCAGCACACTTGTCCGTCGGTCGGGCCAGCCGACTGCACTGCGCGCTTGCGGGGACGGCACGACGAGCCAAGACGGGTTCAGCAAGGCAGGCACGCGCACGGCGCCGCAGCGTGCGTGTGCATGGTAGTGGGAGTACCGTACCTCGGGCGCGGCGATACGGTGTGGCGCTGGGGGCGCAGGGCATAGTGCTCGCGTAGCTTGGTGTGCTGACGGGACGGCAGGGGTTGCGTGATTTACCTTGGGTAACGCTCTGGACGATGCTTGCCAGGTTTGGGAGAGGCTGCAGGGACATGTGCGTGGGACTCCTTTGAGTACACGTCCTCCCAGGAGACTACCGTCAACTCCTGCGTGCCATATCCGGAGTGCCTCGCAGTCCGGGAACGCCACCCATCAACATCACCTGTCGAGATACGTTTCTGAAACAACAGGGCTGAAATCATGATGCATTTGCGCGATTATCCCCAGATATTTGCGTGACATGATCCCGTCGGTGGAAGTGACGCACAATCCGAGCTGATAGTGCTTGTATACCGTTAACCGCAGCTGGATGCGTACCTGCCTGCTCGGAGAGGCTGTCGAGCATGTTCTATGGTAGAGCAGCATAACCCATTACCATGTCAGTGTACAGGCCAGCGCAATAAACGCAGAGGAATGCACAATCGAAGATCAATTCGGGATAACGAGCGGCGGCGATAACAGCTATGATGAGGATGATGGAGATGGAAATGGAGAAGAGCAGCTTCTGCCTGCGGTATGTATCAACGTTGTGGATGCCGGCTTGAAAGCTGCTGCGCACAGCTACCATACGTTCCATGGATTTTCAAGGCAAACGGAAGAAGATAGGGATGGACGGTTATCAACATAGAAAGACAATGGAAGACGTGATTTGTAGGTAGAATGCAATGAGAGCAGGACTAACAGTAGACAAAACAGCAGTTGAAAGTTGCAATCAAGTCACCACGAATCTACCCGAACCTCATCCTCTGGGCATAACTCGTTCCTCCGCTCTCATACAGCGCGAGGAAAGTCGTGTCATCCAGTCCAACCAACCCCGCCCACATTGCCGGCAACTCATGCACCACAGTCTCATCCGTCCACGTCAAGCCCCCATCCCGACTTACTCTCAACGCCATCGCGCCCTCGGGCCACGCTCCGCCCTTCTCATTCGTCCCATAGCTCGCAACAAGCGTGCTCCCAACCCGCACAATCTGCGGCGCTCCAGCATTCCACCCCGGATTGCTCGACACCGTGTACCGCGTGGGGTCCCATGTTGCTCCATCGTCAGTGCTGCGCACAGTCTGCACGATGAAGTGGCCGTCGGTGCCGGACTCGAAGATAGCGACCTTGGTGGGACTATTCTCAGCTACGCGTGTAACGCCTAGCATGCCATCGCGCGCATTCGTATCCTCGCCCGTGAACACGCGCTCAGGGCTCCACGTCAAGCCATTGTCCGAAGTCGCGCGAATGATGCTGTCCTGCCCGCCTGGTCCAGTCTCCTTGGAGTAGTACAGCTGGGTAGTCCCGTCGAGGGCGGTCTGCAAGAAGGGCTCCCAGGGGCCGTCAGCGCCGCCGGGCATCTCGATGGCCTGCGTGAGGAAGCTCCAGGTTGCGCCGAGGTCGGTGCTGGTGGTTATGGTGATGCGGTACCAGGTTGGATCTTGCTTCGGCCCGTTGCCTAGGTCGTGGTTGCGGAAGGCGCAGAGGATGTGGCCGTTGGGGAGTTGGTGAACGTAGGGGTTGTCGAGGTCGCGGGTGGCTGAGGGTGCGGTGTCCTGGGCGCAGAGTCAGTGGAACATTGAAGAGAAGTAGTACGTAGACGTCGTCACTTACAACTTGACCAAGCGGACTCCATGATGCCCCATCGTCCGTCGACCTCACAGTAGTAATAGTCCTGTTCCCCCCACCACTCGCCGTATACACCCCCAGCAACGAATTATCCGCTAGCCTCACAGCTCTAGGATACGTCCCGCCCTTCCCGAACACAACAGCATCTCCATCCTTTACAGGCGCCTGTGCAGCAGCGCCAGCAATCAGAAACGCTGCAGTCCTCAACAGTGTAAGAGAACGCATGTCGATGATTCGCGATATCAACGTGACCGGACGATGAACAGAAGACTGAAGATGCAGTGGACGGTGAGTGCCAGTCCTTACATATACAGACCAGAGCAGTATCCGCTAGAGTCCGCATCAAGCAGCACTTTGCGAAGCTCACGCTCCGAAGACGTGGCGCGTGCAGATCATGGCTATGTCGCAGTTACACTGCTTGAAACAAAGACGTCCCGAAGAGGTCATGCGAGCCAATCAGCCCAGGGACCCCACGAAACGGGGATGTAGGATACCCTCCGATGCGGTTAAGCTTCTGGCGGCGGGTGGACATGCTTGCTAAAGTAATGTCCGCGCGAAGGCTGTGTTTGGGAGTGGGACGCCGGATGGGGGCCGAGTTTGCGGTTAGGCGAGCGGGAACCGAAAGCTCGTTGGAATGTTGGAATAGAGGTTTGGTGTCTGTTGTATGCAAGCAGATGGCTGTGAACTGTGAGTGTAGTTATGAACGCATGTGGAACTTGATTTGCCCTGGGTTGATGGTGTTAAAATCTCATGGCCCTGCACGTTTGAACTCCACTCGATCTGCAATCTCTCGCATGCACCCTGTCCTCGGCCCTACAAACGCACACTCGCCAACCTCTCGATTTCAATAAAGAGATTAGCGAGCCAGCCAATGATAAGGTGAGACGACCGAGGTCCGCGGGGCTTACTTGCTGGGCATATTGACTAACCATCGGCCTTCGTAAGTACTTCGATCGTGCTCCTTATATCGACTTGAAGACTCCACACCTCCGAGCACCCCAGCTCCCACCTGTATAACCAATAAAGTTTACCATGAGCTTGTGAGCTGGCGTGACGCCTCAGCCTTTGCTCCAATTCTGCAATCGAACAAGTAGCAACTCCTCTCAAGAGCAGTCATAGACGAAGCACAGCACACAATGAGAGGTCGAACTTTTCGTCATTGACACGAAAGACAAATCTATACTGATACATGCGCGTTGCGCCAAGAAGACCGCTCGTGCAACAGTGCTATGCAGATGCAAACAAACAAACAAACAAAAAGACAAATCCGCAGAAAGCTCGTTCCTCCGAAGACGACAAACCCAGCACTTGCGTGCATCATGGTTTCATATAGACCTCGTTTGTCGTCGACATACCAACAAAACGCTTTCGAGGAGTATAACAGAGTCAAGAAAGGTAATCCACACTTTTTCATGGCTCGTTACCCATGCCGCTAAAAACGCCATTGAAACAAAACTTAAACCCCAGGAAAAAAGAAACTTAAAAGGCTGACCACTTCCTCGTGCCTCGTCCTATCGTCGAGGATGCCGTGAAGCAGAACTTTGGAAGCCGACAGAAGCACAATAATTGGACCTTGCAGCGTGCCTTATTGGGAACACAGTCTTCGTCTCGTCAAGACGCCATGCAAGAAAATAAGAACACCGAAAATGCCGACAGAAGAGGTTTGACGCCATGTGATGCGTCCTTAAAAAAGAAAGGAAAAGAAAGGGTATCTTCAAGGCCAGTATGCATTCGAACGCCGTGACATGATAGGAAACAGGCTTAAACATTTATAGCTCATCTTCGTAGACGAGAATGGGGTCTTCCCAGTTCTTGATAGCATCAAGCTGGGCTTGGAACTCGGCGGATGGCACAAAATTCTCCAGGTCTGCTTCCACATCGGAAGGCAGGTCGAGCGGCTCAGCGTCAGGTGGTGTGAGATCGTAGTCAGGTAAAGCAAGGTTGGTGCTTGCGCTCTTGACTGCGAATGTACCATTGCTGAGGCTCTTGGTCTGGAAGGGAGAGTCGCCGTTGGGAATGTCCGTGCTCTTGAAGGGAGATGCGCCATTGCTTGAGTCCTTGTTCTGGAAGATCGAAGTCCCGTTGCTCAAACTCTTGTCCTGGAAGATTGAGGTTCCATTACTCAAGCTCTTGCTCTGGAAAATCGACGTTCCGTTGCTGGAGCTCGTGTCCTGAGCAGGGGTAGCACTCTTGCTAGAGGTCTTGTCCTGTGCCGGAGTAGCGCCATTGCTGAGGGTCTTGTTCTGGAAAAGAGAAGCCCCGTTGGCCATGCCCGCGCTTTGGAAGATGTTGGGCGTAGCAGTACCAGAGCCCTTGGTTTTAGGCATGGGAACAGGAGAGTCTGCAAGGATGGACTCGTTGCCGGCGTCGGAGCGGAGACTAGGAGAAGGCTTGCTCATATGCGACAGATTGCTCGGTTTGGCCGGAGTAAACTTCAGTGCCTTCGCACGCTGAGCTTCGACCCGAGCGACGGTAGGGCTGGTGACAAGGTTACCCTCGACAGAGGGGATGGGTGGCGTCGGACCGACGGAGCCTGGAAGTTCAGCATGTGGCATGACAGGAGCAGGCGGCGGTGGCTGGGTCCACGTTGTAGAAGCGCCGGGCGTTCCATTGGTGAGGGGCTCCTCATCGAGATCCTCATCCGAATCTGTGTCGTCTGGAACACTGAATGAGGTCGGAAACGGTACAGATTCGTCCTGTGCAGCAGTTTGTTGAGACTGCTTGAAGATGTTGTTGTCCGGGGAGGTAGCTCCGCGGTCCAGGCAGGAACGAGGACGCAGATCGCGAAGAGATGTGGACCTTCCACCGCTGTTGTAGAACGGGCTGCGTGCATGGTCGAGAGGTAGGACAGGCTGCTTGGGTGACGCGACAAGCTCACGCGCACCTGTGGAGATCTTGCGCTTCTTGGCAGAAGGTGGGCTAGCTTCGTATTCCTGCTCGGCCTGCTTGCCTTTCCATTGTTGCTCAATGCGCAAATGCTCGAGGATTGCCCACATCGGCGCGGGCTCATCCGGAGTGTTGTCGACGTGGTCCATAAGATCATCGTCAAGCCCGAAGCTGCTAGCTGCGGGCTTCCATGGCTTGGAGTTGAAGTGATTGAGGTCGCCGTACGTCATGCCGTCTTCGAGTCGCTTGCGCTTGTCGCCTGCAGAAGTAGAGGATTCTTGGAGCAGCTGCATTAGGACCTTTTCGGCCCACTTCGTAGCCAGCTCTTCCTCGGCTGCGTCTGGCACGCTTGATGCAACGTTCTTGATGATGGCTGCGCGCTCACGCCTGCCCGATAGGCGCTTGACTTTTGTATTTCCACGGTTGTCGCCAATGGGCGTGGGTGTTGGTGTGAGGGTCATGGTGAGTTCGCCTATGACGGGAGGCGCGATCGGAGTGCTTGGGGTGGCGGCGACAGGAGTGTTCGCTTTGCTCGAAGGGCGCGCAGACTTCGGCTTTGGTGTAGACCAGACAGATGACTTGAGTGTTGACCACATGCTGCCCAAGAAGCTTGTAGACGTCTGTGGGGTAACTGGGGGTGGACTTGTTTCGTTGGCGCGCGGTGTGGAGGGTGGTGGGGGCGCTGCGTGCACGGGCGAGACTGTTGGAGGTGAAAGCTCGACAGGTCGTACGTCGATCCTGCTGAGCGCCATGTTCTGTTCGCGCTTCATATCTGCCAGGCGCAGGAGCTCGAGAGCTTCAGTGCGGTCTTCTTCGACTATGGGGGCCGCTTTCGCTGGAGATGCTTCGGCAGGAGCGGCTTCCACCTGGGGGAGATTGGTGAGCTCCTGCTCTGGCTCTGGTTCTGGTTCTGGCTCTGGCTGGCGCTTGGGCTCAGCCGCTCGCGCAGGCCGTTTGGCCTTCGCCTTTGTGACTCTGCGCTTGGGCTCAGACTTGAGCTCCACAAGCGGAGATGAGTTCGCGGTCGCGCGTGTGCGGCGACGCGTCGGCGGAGCCATTGTTGGCTGCGAAATGTTAGCGGCTGGCAGCTGGCAACAGCGCACGTGCGCGCTTGCGCTTTGAAGACAGTATCACTCACGGAGTGCTTGGAGAGTTGGCAAATTGATATGCGCGCGCAAGCAGATGTGTGCGGGCTGTGCCTGCTCTCCAGTGTTGTGCGAGTGAAGAGGAAATGGGAAGGCGCGATGCCAGACTTGAAGTTCTACAGGAAGTGCGGACCGTGCGCCGCGGCTGCCGCTGACCTAAGCCGCAGCCCGTGCAGCTTGACGTCGAGCTCTGGCTGGCCGCGTTGAGCAACGTGCGCTATACCACGATACATCACGATGGAGGGCCTCTTCTACAACGTCAAGTACGGGTATGTCTCGCCAATGCCTTCCTCCCCTCTGTTGTGGACATGACTGAGTTCTACCCAGCTACATCGAGGGCATCGTGCGCGGCTATCGCAATGCACTGCTCACCAGCCAGAACTACAGCAACCTGACGCAGTGCGAAACCATCGACGACGTCAAGCTGCAGCTGTCCCCCGCATATGGCGACTTCCTCGCATCTCTCCCTCCGAACCCGTCCACCTCTGCGCTCGCTAGCAAGACGACCGACAAGCTTGTCGCCGAGTTCCGCTATGTTCAGGCCAACGCCACCGGCTCGCTCGCCATGTTCATGGAGTACTTGACCTACGGCTACATGATTGACAATGTGGCGCTTCTTATCACGGGCACACTGCACGAGCGAGATACGCGCGAGCTGCTCGAGCGCTGCCATCCGCTTGGCTGGTTTGAAACCATGCCTGTGCTTTGCGTCGCGACCAACATCGAGGAGCTGTATAACTCCGTCTTGATCGAGACCCCGCTGGCCGCCTACTTTAAAGGTTCTCTGAGTCACCAGGACCTGGATGAGCTCAACATTGAGATCATCCGCAACACTCTTTACAAGAACTACCTCGAAGACTTCTACAGCTGGGTCAACTCGGCAAACGATATCGCTGGAACGCCAACAGCCGAGGTTATGTCGGAGGTGCTCGAGTTTGAGGCTGACCGGAGAAGCATCAACATCACCCTCAACTCGTTTGGCACGGAGCTGTCAAAGGCGGACCGGAAGAAGCTATACCCAACCTTTGGCAGGCTGCACCCGGAGGGCACGCTGCTGCTGTCAAAGGCTGATGACGTTGAGGGAGTACGCATTGCCGTGGAGGGTGTTTCAGAATACAAGACCTTCTTCGAACAGACCGGCCTCAGCGGTGGCGGAGGTGTTGGCAACATGGCGGGCGGCGTCGGCGGCGAGTCGCGCAGCCTGGAAGATCTGTTCTATCAGAAAGAGATGGAGATCTCCAAACTGGCATTTACCCGACAGTTCTCGCACTCTATTGTGTACGCGTGGGTCAAGCTGCGAGAACAGGTACGTCTCCCAAGATGTAACCAGCTGATTGAATGCTAACGTGGACATGCAGGAAATCCGCAACATCACTTGGATAGCCGAGTGCATTGCTCAGAACCAGAAAGAACGGATTGGCAACTACATCAGTGTGTTTTAGCATTAGCTCCGGTGTCTACTGCGGTAATCTTGGACGATCTTCGGTGCATGGCGACTTTTGGGCGGCGTAGACGGTGGGTTGTATACACTATTTTGCTTCAATGTTATGAGTTCCAGTCATGCCCCATGTATCAGCCTGGGATGGACCTGCCGCCATCTCGTGCCTGCGCAGCCTTGCATAGCATGAACGAGGAACAGATACCATCACTTTTGAGATCCGACATATACATTTGTTTCGTCTTCACGACGTACACTTACGCACCAACTGTAGAGAAAATGCTCGCACACCTCTCCTGAACCGCCGCGATCCTGCTATGCATCAGGACAGGCAGATTATCTCATCGTAACGATGACCCATGCGCCCATCCACCTCCCACTTATGCACCCCTGCCGGCAACCACCCACTGCTGTGCCGCGCCCTCCCCAACCGCCTTGGCAGGCACCGTATCCAGAAGGCGGGGTGCTCACACGTCATACGTGCGATAATCCGCGCTTATCCAGCACCGACTTTCTGTGCGATGTAACCTCGAAGCTTGGAACGCACGACTCCTTCCGCGAGAATAGGCAAGATGCGGGGATCAAGTTAACCGTCTTACGCGCGCAAGTGCGTGGGCGCTGTTGAAAAGGATGGACAGGCCCGCGACGTGAGCGCGAGGTAACACAATCGAAATGTGGATGTCAAGTACCTGGGCGCTTGGAATTGGCGCTGTGCTGGGGGTCGCGGCGCAAGATGTGGACTATTCGCAGTTTGTGAATCCGTTTATTGGGTCCGAGGGAGGGATTCCGGGGTACGCCTGTAGGTAACGGCCTGTCGCTCGCTCGCACAGCGCGATTAACGCACAGCAGATGGAGGAGGCGACATCTTCGTGGGCGGCGCGGTGCCGTTTGGTATGGTGAAGCTGGGAATCGACACGTTCGAATTGCCTGTCAACCAGAGTGCACTCAATGGCGGATGGACGCCGAAAGGGAAGGTTACGGGGATCAGTTTGATGCACGAGTCAGGCACTGGGGGAGGTCCAAAGTATGGGTATGCATGCCGCAGGTTGCCTTCGTATGTGCTCTATTAAATGGATCCTACAGTTTTCCGGCGCAGATGCCGCTCACAACGATTGAGGCGCCGGTAAATGTATTGGATAATGTGACATACTGGCAGGACCGGGTATGTGGTGGGAACTAGGAGAGGATCACGGTATACTGACTGTAGGCAGGTCGGGGACGATGCAGCGAGCGTGGGATACTTCCGTACACATCTTGAGTCTGGCGTTACAGTGCGGCTCTCTGCATCGCGACATGCGGGGCTTTATCAATATGATTATCCCTCGACAGGCGGCAAACACGTTCTCGTGGATTTCTCGCACTACCTCCCGCATCCGACGCGCTCTTGGGATTCGCAGTTCTATACTGGTGGCGAGATCGAGATACAGCCAAACTCGTCTGTGTACACTGGATATACGTCAATCGCAGGAGGCTGGAATCTCGGTGCCCCCGTTACGGTCTATGTGTGTGGAGAGTTTGACCAAAGGCCCAACAGCGCGAACGCGTTCAAGGGCAAGAACACGTTCCCAGTCAGCCGTCATTTCCGAAGCTTCGACAACGAAACAGTCCCAGAACCAACATATACTGGTTCCAAGGCACGCGCTGGTCCTCTGAACAACCGTGTTGGTGCGATATTTTCTTGGAACAGCACCACCAATGGAACGGCAACCGTGAAGTCACGCGTCGGCATCTCATTCATGTCAGTCGAGCAGGCATGCGCATACAAGGATGATGAGCTTTCGACATGGTCCATCGAAGACACGGCGCAAGCCGCACGCGATGAGTGGAACCGCGACGTCTTCTCTAAGATCCGCGTCGACACCTCCGACAAGGCGAACAAGACGAGGCTTGCACTGCTGTATTCCAGCTTATACTTCACGCATCTGATCCCGAGCGAGCGCACGCACGAGAACCCGCTCTGGGATTCCGATGAACCCTACTGGGACGATTTCTACACCATGTGGGATCTCTTCAGAAACCAGGTGTCGCTATGGCATCTGATTCAGCCGGCATACTACGAGTCCATGATCCGATCGCTCATCGATATGTTCAAGCACGAGGGATACCTGCCTGATGGGCGCTCTGGGAACTACAATGGCCTCGTACAGGGCGGATCAAACGCGGACAACGTGCTGGCGGACGCGTATGTCAAGGGTCTCCGTGGCAAGATCAATTGGACAGAAGGCTACGCTGCGGTCAAGAAAGATGCCGAAGTCCTGCCTTACTTCGATCAGAATCCCGTCGACCCTCAGGGATCGCTGAAGGATGGACGCTCAGCACTTGATGACTGGATCCCACTTGGCTATGTATCAGCTGATCGTAACAGTCGTGCGGTTTCAAAGACAGTGGAGTATTCACTGAATGACTTTGCTGTGTCCCAGATAGCAGCAGGCGAGGAACCGGGAGACCGCGATCTGTATCTACGTCGATCAGCGGGATGGCAGTTAAGCTGGGACCCAGAAGCCGAGAGTCGCGGCTTCACAGGCTTCGTCATGCCGCGCTATGCCAACGGGACGTTCCACAAGACGTACAACATCACCAACTGCGGCGACTGTAATTGGTCAGACGAGAGCTACGAAGGCACCGCTTTCGGTGAGACGTTTTCCTACTCTATCTCAACAACATGCCTATTAACATCCCGCCCTAGAATACTCCTTCGTCATCCCCCACGACGTCGCCCGCATGATCACCCTCATGGGTGGCCCCGCCCACTTTGAATCCCGCCTCGACTACGTTTTCCAGCCCAACACATCCGGTGTCGACCTCGGCGTCAATGGCCTCGGCATCACCACCATCAACAACATCGCCAATGAGCCCGACTTCCAGACCCCCTACCTCTACAACTACCTGAACAAGCAGTGGAAATCGGTCCAGCGTAGTCGCCAGCTCGCCACGGACTTCTACCTCAACACGAGCAGTGGTATTCCCGGTAACTCGGATGCGGGCGCGCTCAACTGCTGGCTGATTTGGCAGATGCTGGGTCTGTATCCCGTGGTCACGACGCCCGTGTATTTGATTGAGAGTCCGTGGTTTGACGATGTTAATGTTACGGTCAATCATAATCGGACGCTGAGGATCAGGGCGGAGGGGTTGGATGATGGGGAGGGGAGAGAGGGGTTCTATGTGCAGGGTGTGGCTATCAATGGGCAGGAGTGGGATAAGAATTGGTTTGAGCACGAGGATGCGGGTGGGATCATGAGCGAGGGCGGGGAGATTGTATTTAGGCTGGGCGCTGAGAAGAGGGTTTGGGAGAGGGGGGAGGTGCCGCCGAGTCCAGGACATGCGGTCGTGGATGTGGGGGGTGGGTATATGTAGTGTTCTGGTGATGGAGTGATGGTAACGAGTTCATGATATGCACTACTGGTAAAGTGGCTTGACGAGTCCAAATCCAGTGCTGCGATATGAGCGCTGTGGCTGTTGGTCCTAGATTCATCACGCTGCAGCCCAACTGATTTAGACATTACGTTAACGCCGCCGCTACTATCGCACACTACCTTCCCGCCCACCAAAGCTCCTGCATTCCTCTCTTGCGCAGAACACCTCTCTCACCCTCTCCTAAGCTTCCTCCCTCCCCATCCCCACCGTCTCACCCTGCCGTCTCACGCCCCTCTCCTTCCTCTTCCTGTGCGTGTTCAAATCTCTATTCTGCACCTGCCCACCTTCACTCTCCTCCTTCTCCACCGCAGGCCCCAAATCGCTGCCCTGCGCAGTGTTCTCACTGCCGCTCCCGTTTCCGCCGTCTGTGCCCAGTCGCGCCTCCTCGTCGCGCCGCTTGTCCTGCGCGATGTCCGGGGCCGGCGAGAAGGTCGATTTCGCACGGATCTTCTTGCCGTAGATGTAGAAGAGGAAGGGCATGGGGACCATGAGGGTGGCGACGCAGCCGAGGAGCTGATGTCAGTCAGTCAGTACAATCGCAAACTTGTGACATGGGGGGGAAAGCACACCGTAGACGCCCACTGGATGCCCATGCCGTTGAGCATGTACGTCGAGAAGAGGGGGAACGTGCCGGCGAAGAGGGACCGCATGAACGTGTTTCCGGCGACGGCCGAGGCCGCGAACATCAGGTATGCATCAATGATATAGTTAAGTAGCGCCAGGAAGATGGTCCAGATGCCGAAGCCGGTGAAGATGCCCGAGAAGACAGGGGCGACCCAGAGGGTGCGCCCGTTGTAGCCAGTCCAGCCGAACCAGAAGAGGCCGCCTTGAAGGATCGTTAGCGATTATTTCTCACTTTTCCGCGCAATTATAGAAGGAGGAGGCTTACCAGCGAATGTTGGTGCGCCGACCATGGCAAGGGGCAGGCGCCATTCCGGGACGGGGATGTTGTTGTTGGCCTTGAGCTTCCGTCCGTACGAGGGGTTCATGGCGGCCATCAGGGCGAAGCCGAGTATAACGCCGACGATCAGGCCAAAGTATGTCAGGCCTGATACGCCCGGTGTGAAACCGTACTGTCCCTCAAAGACGAGTGTGTATGCGGTGAGGAAGCAGTACAGGATGCCGTCTTTACCTGATTAGCACATGCATTGAACGAGTTAGCAGAGTCCACTCACAGACAAATGACATGTAGATCGTGATGAGTAAGACGATGGGCTCGGTGAATAGGATGCGCAACGGCCTGCTCACGTTGCGGATGATGAGTTCTTTCAGATCGACCTCGATTTCCTCTTGCTTCGCGTGGATTCCCCAGTTCAAAGTCCGTCTTCGCAGCTTGGCGGCTTTCCCAACGAGGATTTGCGGGGGATATGTCTCTTCCATGAACAGAACAATCAGTGCGAATGCAAGCCAGCCCATGATTGAGGAAATGTACATGGTCCATCTCCAACCGAGATGGCTTGTCACGATGAAGCCACCAATGAAGGGTGCCATCTGCATAGTCGGATTAGCTATAGCTGCAATAGTCGGAACGTGGAACTCACCATCGGCCCCATAAACACGGTGGCACTGAATGTACCAATCGCGATACCACGCTGTACGTTACTAAAGATATCGGCGTATACGGCAGCGACAACGCTCAACGGACATGCTCCGAATAATCCGGCGAAGAAGCGACATATCAGAACGGTTTGTAAATCTTTCCCCGTCGCGACCGCGAGACTGAAGACGGAGAAGCCAAACGAGCCGACTAGCAATGGAAGCTTGCGGCCGTACAGTTCGGACATGGGTGCCCAGACCTGTTGTTGGTCAGCTCAGTGCTCGTCAATCGCTGCTCGACCTCAACATACGAGTGGACCAAACGCGTATCCGAACACGAACAGACTCGTTCCCAATGTTGTGACTTCAGGGATAACGCCAAACTCTTCTGCGACCGGCCTCGTAGACGGGCTGAATATACTACTGCCCATAGTCACTGCCAAAGACAGATACGCCATCAACACTGCGATGTAGATTTTCTTTTTCATGGGCCAGTTCTGGGCATGCATCGGGTCATCCACGCCCATAAATTCCACGACGTATTCTTCGCGATCGGGAAGCGGTGGAGGGTACGGTTTATTTGCTCCCATTTCCGAGAGCGGCTTTTCGGTCCTGCGTCGACTGAGTGTCCTGGTTATCCGCGATGGCCCTGTCAGCCTGGCACCGACGGTACCGGCGTGCTGCGAACGAATCGTCTCGATACGGCTCAGAGCCTCAGGGTTCCTTTCTGTCGGGTGCCGATACAGTATGCCTGATCCTCCCCCGACACTCGAGAACGTGTCTCTTCTTTCTCGTGTAGAAGACACATTGTGTGTTCGGATCTCCTCTAATCTGGGCGTGTGCGTGGTGGAGGAGGATGAGGCCGAAGAGGAGGATGAGGCTAAGCTGCTCCGTCTAGAGGCAACTTCCTCCGTCTCTGTCGCGTGCGGTGGCGCGTTCGCTCCGGCTGTTGGCAGAGGCCTGCCAGAAGGAGGAGATTCGAAGAGGGCGTCGACTGTGCGTCCAGGCTCTACGTTACGTTGGAACTCTCCCTGCGCGTTGACCCATGATGAGAATCTTCTCGGCTCCGCATCTTCCTCATTCCGCAGCATCTCCACGTCCTCTTCATTCATGGCGGGCAGGTGTTTATTGCGCGCCAGAAATCAGTAGGAAACAGCGCAATGCAGGATGTTGCTCAACGCAAGCCTGAGCTTTCCGACCACTTCCGCCTGTTCTCGTCACGATATGCGTGGGCGCAAAGGAACCTAGAGGGAGAGATAATTGTAGAAATATATGAAGTAGTATAAGGTTATCGAGGGTCCACATCAAAGCTCGGGCAAGAGACAATGGTCGTACAAATAATGCCGACGACAGATCAGGGCAATGACAAAGAACAGCTAATTGCTCAGGTCGGCAACGTGCAGGTAGGCAAAAGTATTTCGTACAGCTCGGCCAACGGAGGATGGCAACAGCACTTAGGCTGTCCAGGGCTCTGAGTAAGCCATTGTGGGCGTTGTTAAGGCCGGCGCCGCTGCAATCGATGCACGACGCGCGCTGCCCACAATCCGGTGCGGGTCACTGTGATGCAAATTCCGCTGCTGTGCGAACGCGCCGTTAATGGGCGGTTACGTCACGACGCCGAGGGGGCCGCTAGTACTGAGTCAAGTAATGGCCCACAGTACGCTAGTCGATGTGTCAGCTACCGTCAGCGCGAACATGTGAGCCGGTCCATATGCTATCACCCACAGGACCTCATACGTCAGATGCAACGGGCCGGCAGGGCCGGACCATCGTGGCCGATATAGGAAACCTCAGGGCAGCATGGCCCAAAACACGTTATATCAAGCAACAACACAAGGTCTATTCAGACTACGATACAGGAACAATGGATGGGGGAAAAGAATCCTTGGAGGTCATCAAAGCTCTGGCCATGGTCGAAATGCCATGATCCGAGAGCCCGCGCGCTCAATGGGCTATACGACATTCGCCGCCTAACACGTACGAATGAACAGCCCCATGGGATTCGGCGAATTCGAATCTTGGGCGTACTTGATGTGGAAGTTGTCTCCACAAACCATGAAGGTATGCACGAATCCAGCGGTACATGGCACCGTCTTCACGTTGCAGCTGAATCCAGGACCCACTGGGCCAGCAGCAACAATCTTTCTCGGGCCAATTTCGTTCCTGCACAACGTGTGAGACGTGCTTTCAGATCAGCTTGTAAACAATGCTGGCACTCACCAGGTCATCCCGTCGCTTGCAGGCTGGCGCACATGCCAGAATTCCATCACTGGGGTTTTTTTCGGCGAGGTAACGAAAAACGTCGAGTTATCCGTATACCTCTCCTCGGGGAAGAGCCAGACTAACGAGCACTTCTGGCCTGCGTTGCCAGGACCAACATCGAAGTTGTACAGCGAACACTGCGCATTGCCGATATGTCCATCCATTCTGTTGCCAAGTGCTTTTTCGGGGTCCACTTTGCTCACCGTAGCCATAAGTCGAGGGGACTCGAAGGTGCCCTCCAGGTCGTGCGGACAGCCGTAAGCAAGGTAACTGTTTCCGCACTTCTCCGTATTGGCCGGATCGTTGCAGTCCGGTGCAGGAGAATATGTGCCGTTATTATCTGCTGGTCGAGAAGGTAGAGGTTTGGATATATACGTCGGCAAAGTGGCGTTTCTGGAAGGCTGGAGGGAATGATCAGCGAAGAGTCACAACTTGTTAGCTTCCTTGGAGTCTGGCAATGGCGCATACCATCTTTTCTTTACTCACCTTAGTTGTGGTCGAGAAGGTCTTTCCACATGATCCAAAACCAGTCTGGCAGCCAGTTCCGCAATGGCTGGGCGAGGAACCACACCATCCTGCAGAGCTGCAGCACGAACCTGCAGCAAAATCGTGGCAATGATAACCCTCATCGCCGCCGCACTGGCCGTTAGGAGAAAGCGTACCTTGCTTAGGGGCTGATTTTGCTGAGGCCTTGGAAGAAGCCGGAACGCTGCTGCCTGATGACTTACCAGTGCGTGTAGCACTGTTGGTCGCCTTGCCGGTAGAAGAAGTCTTGCTGGGTGCCTTGCTGGAGGTGCTGTTGAGCGCCTTACTAATAGGTGAAGCTTTGCTGGCCATCTTACTTGAAGTTGATGTGCCATAAGAGGCTTTTTCAGAGGATTCGTCATCGCAGATACCGAAGTCACCCTGGCATCCAGCACCGCAATGAGATGCAGAGAAACCGCACCATCCATGAGAGCTGCAGCAGGGCCCATCGATCTTTCCGAAGCAGTTGAAGCCGGTTGGTGAACCGCAGCGTCCGTCTGGAGACTGTATTCCGTGCTCTGCCTTGGGTCTGCCTATGGTTGCATTGGACGAGGCGTGCTTGCTGTCCTCGAGGTAGCTGGCCATTTGACGAGCGCCCTCTGGGGTGTTCGGTTGAACAGCTGGGGAGTTATTGTAGAATCTGTCCCAGGGGAATATCCAGGGTACGTGATCTGTACCCTTGTCCTCTTTGCAGCCGGTTCGGTTGGATATCTTGGGGCTGGACCAGGCAAAAAGTTGGATGTACACGCACCACAGCTGTTGAGGCACTGGTTCAGTGTATATGTTCTCGACACCCTTGTCGTTCACCCTACAAGCCCAGAAGTGCGGAGAGCTGTTGAACAAGAGCTGATTGTCGCAGCTAATGTCAAAGTCCGGCATCGCTAGATTACTGAGTCAGCTCAAAGCTACCTACTGGATCACAAAGGGACGGTTGGATGTGGGGAACTACGAACGCTTCACTCCCTCATCGCACTGGAACTGGTTCGTTGGGCCTGGTGTTGAGATACAGCCACGACGTTTACTGTCAACAATTCCAATCTCAGGTGTAAAGGTAAAGTTGGCTAGGGGAATGCTGCCATCGCCGAGCCTGAGCTGGCCATCTGCAAGCGTGTGTACCCGACCACGGCTGTGACTGTGTGTGAAGGCCGTGAGATTGAAGTCGTAGCTTTGCGGTACGGTGCGAGGTACTGCGATTAATGGTTAAAATTTCAGCTGGGTGTGAGACGCATATGCTTCGAACCGACTTACGGACGGGGATGGCCTGTGGAATAACGGCAGATGCCGACGCTGTACCGACGGAGGCGAGAATTGCTGTAGACCGCATTGTGCAGGCCCAGGTGATGTTCGACGTAAGAACTACCGAAGAATGGGCGCGCAAAACAACAACAATGCTTGGGCTGTGGGTGTGAAGATGAACAGATGCTTCACGGGAAGAGGGGTCAGCGGCGCGCTGTCCTCTTACTTCTTTCCCTCTGTAAGTAGATGATGACGTGGCATTCATGCTGTTTGGGATAGATCGAGCAAGAGAGGAAGGCACACACAGCGTAGGTCGGCATCCACAATTGATTCTTGAGAATTTTGATACCCTTTGCCATCTCTTGCCAGTTGTTGGCTCTAGCAACCATCAGACCAGCAACGCCATGGCCAGGCCCGTAATTCTAGCCAGTGCCAGGTTCAAACAGCAGCGGCATCGTGAACACGTCAGGTATTTTGCCGCGCATCGTTCGATGGCCCTCTCCGCGCCACTGGCAGCACTGCAAGAGCAGTCCGGGATGAAAGCCGTAAGCCAAGCCCGAGATGTGCGAGATTAGTTTGCCTGCAGTGACCTTCTCTTTCGCATCTTGCAACACGGGTTGTCGATCTTCGAAGCCCACTAGAATCTGAGGCTGACTCCATTCGGGCAGAAGCCGGTCTACATCTTCCGAGGATATAATGTCAAACAAATCGCGTGCGATGCACTGCAGGACTGCTACAGATGCAACGAGGTTAGACATGAAGGCGAACCACATAGGTGTCTTGGTAATGAATGCCTCCAACGAAGGATCGAGCCGGAAAGTGCCGTATGCAGCAAGGAAGTCTTTTTTTTCTGCTTCTTCTCCTGGGCACTTTTCAGTAACTTTTGGGCAGACTTCTGGGGTTGTTTGTTTTGACAGTTGCAGGGTTGAGTCAAAGAGGAATGGCAGCTTTGTTGCCAGCCAAGTGACTGTGCGACGCGACCCGCAAAGTTGCTGTCTCGTCATTGCCATTTCTTTTCTTGCGACATGGGGTATGGTGGGGGTAAGGAGCTTGTGCAGGGCGGGCCTGACAGGAAAAGCAAAAGACTTAACGCACCGTTGACGCCACCTGCCTAACGCCATTCCCGCAACCAAACGCTCAGCCCCAGGGCTGACAGCCTTTTTTCATGCTTCCTCTAAGACAGAAGACATGATTACACTCTGGTGCTTCTTGGCCTGCATATCATGCCGAAGTAATCGGCCTGTTGCTCTACCAAACGGTCAATAAAGGTGCCTCAGAATCGGCGTCGACGAAATCCGGTGCGAAAGCCGATGGGCGAGAGGTACAAGAAGCCCCTTCCCACGCCATCGCTCCATGTCCGTCGCCGTCGAGCTACATGCCACTCAACTATTTCTCGTCACTAGCAGCTGTGTACGATGACTTGCTCTTGCGGCAAACTTCCATGATGTTTGCTCACGCATTCCGTACGGCTACAGCCATCCGCCACTTGGTTCATGAGCCATGTTTCACATTTATCTCGTCACGCATCATCCGGGACGTCGTCCGAGATTGTAACTTTCAATGAATCGCGTGATACCAGAATGTTTAAACAGGACGCATACAAGACCTCATTCTTTCGCGTGGGAAGTACAGAACGGCGACTTATGGACACACACCCTCTCGGCAAGATTACAATGCGGGGATACAAACGAATGAACTCGCTTACACTGCCATGCACAAGATTGGGACCAGCCTTCCTGGTCAATGATGAGTGGTGTGGTCACACCATGCAACGTCGATGAACGTCTTGTGGCGTGCTGCTTTGACAGTCGGTTACACATGATCTCGGAACGTTCCCTGCATTGCAGGCATGTGTACGCGCGCAGTCCTGCAAATCGGGCACACAACCCGACTATGCAGCAGGGCATTGTTCGCATGGACAGAAGACATCTGATCGAAAACGCAGAAACAGACACTCCCGATGATCGTCACAGCCGCCAGTACATCACTGTACACCTGCAGACCACCCGTGGTTGGTAAACGGCGGATTGGCATTCCCGTTATCTACAGTATCGTTCCATAAACGCCCGAAAATGCAACAAGGTACTGACGACGAAGATTGGCTACGAGATATCTTGTGCGGGTCGAGCTAAGCCGGAAACAACACCCTCTGCAGCAGCGACAGTTTTACGAAACTCGCCGCGAAAAAGCAAAACAGGCTCTGCAGATACATTCGCACCCGAGTGGCTCTTGTGGAAAGCTTGCAGGACGTAGTAACCGTATACATAGATGGCAAAGTTCGGCAAGACGGTGAACCGATGAATGAGCCCACAGCGCTTGTTTGAGTTGGGCCTTGGTACTTGCCAACCGTTCCACCCCAATGCTGAGTATACCACCGTACATGTTTTCTTATAGTGTTTCGCCAGACCGAGCATTTATCGGGGACGCGGGCGAATGAGCGTGGCGTCCGAGATCGTTATCACCCTGCTGCACTGACTCCTTTCGAGTCGTACAACAGCATCCCTCCGAAGTACTACCTCAATGATTGTTTCGACGCAACTTTGCACCTGGAAGAGTTTCAAGACCTTATTGGGTGGAAATCCTATTTGCTTTTTGAGTAACCAAGCTCGACCTCTTCCACAATGACAGCTCGCCTCCGATCTCGACACAATGATCCGGATCTGGTGCTACCGAGCCATATGCACTTATGGCAGGCATGCCCCGACTTATTCACACGCAGCTGACCTCCAGACTCCCTTAGAGTCTAGCCAATGACTTGACAATCGCGACGCGTCAGCTTCCACGATGCCCGGTGGTATACATCCTCCTCTGTCTGTCATACTATCATGGCCAACACCGAACTACATGAACCCTGTCACTAGACCAAGAGTCGCGACCATATTATCGTGTGTTTTCGGGCCCCTCACAACTCTCCTTCTCTTCGCGAGACTGTGGGTCAGAATCCGCGTGCAACAAAACGCAGGTTTGGATGACTGGTTGATGATAGCAGCGATTGTAAGTATAGTACTCCACTGAGTGCATGTCCCTCCACTGACAGTACTAGGTACCGCTTGGTGCGCTGACAATCATCATCCCTTTGGGTAATTTCATCTCTCAGACAAGGAGAAGGCGTTGCTAACGACAACAGCGTCAGACGTGTACGGCTTCAACAAACACGTGTGGGATGTCCAGCCGCATTTCTACGTGATTGAAAGGAAATACGTCATGGCAATTGAATCAGTTTTCTGTGTCGCCTCGGGGCTCATCAAAGTTTCCATCCTTCTGTTCTACAAGCGTCTAGGCTCACGTGCCGTCTCCAATACCTACCGCTGGGCGATCAAGCTAACCATAGCCTTCATAACGGCATATTCCATCGCATTCGCGCTCGTACCGATCTTCGGCTGCCAACCTATATCCGCGTTCTGGGATCAAGTCGACATAATCAAGACTGCGATGGGCTACGAGTATAAATGCTTCAATGAAGGAGCAGACGTTTTCTCCGCTTGCATCATTTCTACAGCCCAGGATTTGCTCACTGCGATACTTCCCACCTTTCTGTACTGGAAACTTCAGATTCCAATTCGTCAGAAGATCGCTTTGTTCGGCATTTTCGCGATCGGTTACGGGGTGGTCGCGATTGGAGCACTGCGCTCGTATTTCTCCTGGCAGATCTTTTTCGAAACATACGATGTCACCTGGGTCACATGGCACACCTGGAACTGGACGCTGCTTGAGATTCACATGGGGGCTCTGTGTGCTAACGCACCGGCACTGAAGATATTCTTCACGCAAGTTCTCCGCATCAAAACTTTAAGTTCGGGTTCAAAATCTCATACGAAGAGCTCTGGTACTAAGACATCCACGTACTCGAAAATATCAATGTGGAAGTCCAACCAGCAATTTCGTCAATATGGTCACATCTCCGAGCCCTATCCCGAGTCATTCGGTAGCAAAGACGACCTTCCAGCGCAGCAAGATGCCCACGTCACAAAGCCTACAGCATCCAAGCGAAATTCCGATGTCACTGTATTTCCCAACGTAGAGGACATTGAGCTGGGCATATTTCGCACGCAGTCACAACCATATGACCAGATACACTCCATCTCACAAAGCCAGGAGAATCTTCAAGCGTTGCCGCGGATGCCGTCGCCATACCCTGCAGCACTGCTACCGCTGCCAACAGATCCAGGTTTATCTACCTACGATCACAACGTTAGGACGAAACCGAAATGGCAGAGCTGGTCATAACTCGACCTAATTATTGTTCGGCACATCCATCCAGCACAATTTCGTGCCAGCTCCGTGAGCCTCGCATGCGACGTAATGGTTAGCGCTGGTACGTAGATACACTGGCCTGTTCTCTATTTTCCTCGTTTGTTTGTCCTTCCACATGCCTCTATGGCCTTCTGTTTTTCTAATCGTAAGACTTTGGAGGCGATCTCGTAGCAGAAATGCCCGATCGCCGCGCGACCGAGAGACAACAACAACAACTACCTAAAACATGTAGAGCATGTTCCATGATACCCGATGTCACATCCGTTATTCTATTTTTTCTGCTTTGTTCATGTAAGGTCCTTGCATAAAGAATCGGCTCTCGTTAGCTAGATTCCAGTCAGACAGGTGAATGAAAGTCCTCTCACAACTGTGGTCAATATGAGCCTCCGTTAAAGACTTGAATTCATCAACAATTACGTCACAGTGAGCGGCACAAAACCGCAGAGAACCTTTTGCTCTCGAGGAAACGAATCGACACCATTTACGCCTACTTCGACTCAAGCCTAATAGCCTCATGCTCCTCATACCTCCTCTGTGCCTCCTCTAATTCCTCTCTCTCTAATCTCCACCTCTCCTCGTCACTCAGCTTTGCTCTTCTCTTCGCCTCGTGCTTGACGCTCCTTATCTGTTCTCGCGACAGACCCTCATACTCTTTGTTGTTTCCCCTGTGCTGATCCCCAAGTCCGAGACTCTTTCCAACCGCACTCCCGCCATACGCTGCAGCGCTGCCTAGCCCTGTACCTAGACCAGTGACGGTACGGAAAACGCCGGTACCCACAGCCTGTACGGTATTGCCTGCGGTATCAACGACTCCTTTTACCGCGCCGCCTGCCGTTCCCGCGAGCGCCGTCGCAGCATGTTGTACTTGGGTGAGGGCGCCTTGGTCATGCTCGTCTGAAGACGACCACTCCTCTTCGTCCTCGTCCTGGTCTTTCTGCCTGTTCGCATGAGTCCTCCTGTCTCGTCACCGATATATAACGTCCGGAGGACTTGCCTGATGCGATTCATCGCTTGCCCCTGCTTCTTGGTGCCGGGGAGTAGATCAAGGTCTACAAGGCGATTCTCGAGAACTTTGACCATGGGAAGGTGCAAGTAGTGTTGCTGCACGATGATGAATGGTTCCGCCCAACCAGTAATATTCAATTGGGAGGAGGCATGCGGGGATGCGTCATGATGTAGCGCGATTGCGGGAGCTAGACGGTCTCACGTCAGGGTACCGCGTTGTGGTGATGTGCTTATGAGTAGGGCCGACTACGATTACGTTGCTTGAACGTCGCCGTGTTGAGCCTCGACTTCAACCTCAGAAGTGAGCGCTTGTACATATGACAGCACTTCATCATTCAGATCGATGAATATAGTACATGAATGTCGGCCGGATTCTAGGTCCCAGGGTGCGAAAGCACATGTGAGGTGAGACTCTTGTTAGTAAGAACCGAGATACTACACGTCAAACTATGGCAATTGCGCGCATATAGCCCAACAGCACGTTTTCAAGCCAATGTAGAGAGAAGCCGAAAGTACATTCACCACGACAATTCTCAAATTGCTGACACAAATCATGACGCCTGCAGATAGGGATTGGGCTGTGAATGCAGCTCAATGGTAAGCAGATAGAAGCCTTGTAAGTGGAACATTTCACTACAAGGCTCGGTGAACCGTAGATATCTTAGCCTTTCACTGATTTTCTGGCCCTAGCACTGTGACACGAATGTCAACTTAGGCTGGGAGTATCAGTGTTATGAAGCTTCCTACCGGCCTAGTGTTGGTCAAACAGGGTATGATATGGTCAGACCGTAACCACTTCAAGGGCTATAGAGCATATCCTCCGTTTCATTTGACCGCGCAAGAATAGGCACACTGCCCGGCCGGCCGAGGTGCATTCTGTAATGCTGAGTCTTATTGTACGGCGCAACTTACTCTCGCACCGCAATCTATGGACTCAAAAGAATCCTTACGTTCGGGGTACGACGTATCATATGCTCGAGGTTTTGTTCGAGAACCAACCAACAATTAGCCAGTAGCGTGACAACGTCTCTTTACCCGAGAATGGCTTGATGGTCGAGAACGCAGCTGGGATCTGTCCGAACCTCGCTGCTTATGAACAATTCATTTGCGCTGCGCACTCTGTGACATACGAACTGTTTACGACGTTTCGAACGATAAATCGACTGGAGTGGTTTGTGGTGACGACAGTGGAGGGGGTTTCGGAATTCCGTGCAGCATAGCAAGTGCGAGCATAGCAGTTTCGCCTCGTTCCAACTATGCGCAATCCATCGAAGCGAGTCCAGAACCTGGTGTCTTCTGACGAAGGAAACGTGCAGTGGTGGCGCAGATGTATGCAATACATATGCCCAGATACCAGTCGTAGAACGGCCGTCTTAGCCCAGGCTTGACTCCTGCGACACAATTACAGGACCAAAAATAACAATGATGTTTAACGGATTATGGATGTGAGGCTCTAAATCCCTCCATGGAACGTGAGGCAGGCCACGTACCAAGGTGGGTCCGTCGGCTCATGGCTTCACTGCAACATCATCTCGCGTAGTCTTAGTCAACTAACTTCATCAGTACGATAGATCTGGCTAAAGGATAGTGCCCTCCCGGTTCACGAGCCGGCAATAGCTGCTCGAATCGGGAAGGTGTCAATGACAAGCATTGGGCAAGAACAGGACGAGTGCACGCGCACGTTTCTGGAAGATCATGCTTTTATGCACGGAAAGGTATTGAACTTCTGCAGGAGTTGTGAAAGTCCTGAGATGGAGGCAACTCGGATGGGAGACATTTCAGATGTCTATTGTAGGCCATTGCCGCACACGTGACCTCGCTTCTCGCTTGCGAATCCGAGGCGCGGTCCGGCGGCAGATGCCTCAACACAGCCAATCCTTGTCAGCTTGACACAATATGGCAAGATGAGCAAGATCGCAAAGAACCGGCGGTCTCCATCTAAGAAACAAATGGACGCGACAAGAGCCGGACGTTCCACCATCTGCAGGTGCGGACGCACCGACGCGGCGAGGCGGGAAACTCTAGACGTCCTTCTTTTAGATCATCCTCTTGGTCTCGACTGGTACCTGAGAATTCTCCGACTTGGACGTTGTATTTTAACAGGACAATGTCACTTGCCGCTTCGTCAACGCACGAACTAACGTTCAGGCACGCTGAACATCCTGGGTGCATTAAAAAGAAACGACTTCTGGGAGATAATTAGCAATTTATCCGACAACAACCGCTCATGTCCGCCCCCTATCGAACTCTCTCCACTCCACGGTGGCGTTCCCCCTCTGCAAATTATCTCGAATGCCAAGTCATTTGTTCCTTGCAATTCGTGGAAAGCCCAGCATGTTTGGCCCGTTTCCTAGGGCTGACTGTAGACACATGAGGGTTCCTGGAGGTATGCACATACCAATTTCATACCTCGTGTCCCCTTTCGGAACTAATCTCTTCTTTTTGCGCCAAAACTGCAATTGATCAAAGGTTATCACTGGACTTTGCTAAGCCCGATTAACTCTACAAATCGACCTATGCGTTGCCCAGAATTTAGGCGGCGAGAATCGCTGCCTTCTTGCCGCCAGCGCGAACTGGATATCGCAACGCTACGGTAGCTCGAGCACAGATGCTAAACGAGTCGCGACACTAGAGGATTGCGTAGATCGAGCGGCACGATAGCAAGACTCACCTTGGGCAAGATCTCATGCGGGGTGCGCAGTCTATACTCTGACCAGAATCCTCGAGCTGTGTTACTCACTTAACCAAGACGATTAGCTGAGGTTGCGGTCTTCATTCGGGTCGACCCCCTTGCTATCTCCATCCCGAGAGGCCGGTTGCCTTCTGCACAACTACCGCAGGCGCGATGCATTGCCGCACGACCGGTCAGCTCGCAGAACTTCTGGCAATACGTCCGATAGATCGTCATTTACCCAAACTGCTTCAGCGTCGCTTACAGGCTCGTCGGGACAGCACCCCCCAGTCGCACTAAAAGCTTTGCGCTAATCGCCGACTTCTTTTGTCCCAAATCCCTGAGAGCTGAATGTGTTAGGGCAAGCTTCCACTGAAATGCTTGAGAATCTGCCAGTTCTCCCATGATCAAGATAATCGTTTCGTCGTCATGGTCCGCGGAGGCCTTTCTCTAGCTCGTTTGAGCTTTGCCCCCCCAATTTGTAGCTTGCTGACGGTATGATCCCAGCGTTGAAAATCCACTTTTCTTCACCAAGTCATTGGTCTTCGTGCTCGATCGGCATAGTCCTGTACAGACCGTCCCTTGCCTCTGTATCCTTGCGCATGGTCGTGCCTCCCGAACTCGCCAGCCGCGTGCTGCAGGAACAAAAGACTTCCCCTAAATAAGCTTATATGTACATTCTACGTTGACGAATGGGCTTCTCCTTGTTCCACAGTATTGATTGTTGCCACCTTCTTGCCTATGTCGGCGTCCGATCCCTATGATTAACAAGAGCAAGCTCCTATGCATTCTTAATCCAAGCATAGAACCAAGCGCCAACACAAATTCGGGCACGGCACAGTCAGCATTATCGAGGCTTCTTGTTGTCAGGTCCTGCAATTCTTTTCGTTGGTCGTCAATCGTATCAATTGGTAGCCTGGAAGAGTCGCCTAGCAGGCTAGGACACGGAGGTGGCGTGGTGAAGGGCTACCACTATCAGCACCATGAGGTGGTTCAAGGCTCTACCCGTGTTACTGTGTTCGCTCGCGACGCACACCGAGGCCCAGAACAGTAGTGCTCTTCTCCAGGCCGCTTTGACAACATTACCAAAATGCGCTGTAAGTATCATTGAGGTTATGCGAGGAACTGCAATTGACGGATTGTAGATCAACTGTCTCGTCACATCGGTAAAGCAATCGACCTGTGAGCTGACGGACTTCTATTGTATTGCCCATGATGCACAGTTGAATGCGAACATGGAAGCTTGTGTGCAAGCCAGTTGCACCGTACGTGAGGCGCTAAGTACGTTGTTGTCACAGCTTTGAAATGCCCTTGCTTACTTTGAAAGCTACCAAAAACTTTACGGTCACTGCGTATGGACTGCCAGTGCGTGACCACAGCAAACTCGTCTCTTACAGCGGGATGATCGGAGGCGGACTCACGCTTCTAGCAGTCATACTGAGGTCATTCGCTCGCATGCCGTGCTGCGGTGGAACGTGGGGTTGGGACGATTGGGGCATCCTGGCTACAATGGTGATTCAGCTCTGCTGCGTCGTTGGACCTTGACTGACAAACGCAGATACCTGTCCTACCACTTACTGCCCTATCAGTGGTCCGTAAGTGCAGCTTCCGAACAACGCAACGAGATCCTAGACTGACTATTGTAGTTGCGAACGATGGTCTCGGCAAAGATCTCTGGACGGTGCCATTCGATAAGATCACAAAGATATTGCATGTAAGTGCGGACTGCCTCAAATGTGGAAGCGGCACTGATATTATTATCACTCAGATATACTACTTCGATGAAATGCTGTATCTCTCGTCGATCGCTTTGACGAAGATCTCGATTCTCTTATTCTACCTGCGCATCTTCCCGAATCCAACGTTCCGGAAACTAGTATGGGTTGGCATCGCATACTGCGTTGGATATATTCTGGGCACTATACTGGCTCTCATATTCCAGTGCAAACCGCTCAATCTAGCCTGGACACATTGGGATAACGAGCATCCCGGACAGTGCTTCAACCTGAACCTCCTGGGATGGTTGACAGCAGCGCTTAATATTTTCGGAGATCTGATTGTCATCTGCCTACCGTTACATGAGCTCAGCAAGCTGGCCATGGGAAGAAGAAAGAAAGCAGGCATCATGCTAATGTTCTTGGGTGGAGGCTTGTAAGTATACCCATACTTCAGACCCGTCGATCAACTCATTGACCGCCTGCATAGCGTCACCATCGTCAGCATGCTCCGACTGAAGTACATGATTCAGTTCGCCAACTCGCACAACGTTACATGGGACTACACACCTATTGGATACTGGTCGACGTTGGAGGTTCATGTCGGCATCATCATCGCCTGTCTCCCTGCAGTACGCTCGCTCCAGCTTCGCATATTCCCGAGCTCCCGAACACAAAACAGCTACTACCTGGGCCCAGCCGGCGCATACGGATATAACTCCAAAGGTGGCAGCCCGTTCCCCTCATCAATAGCCAAATCGAAAGGTGGACACGTCGATCTTATGACTGCAGCAACCCAACCGGCGGAGTACCGCAGCCGCGACCGCACGCCTGGCGACAAAGAGTTCATCCAGCTGGAAGAATACGAATTCCGCCTTGGCGATAAATCTTCTTCGTTTGAGAAAGAAGATGCTTGTAACCCCCGTGGTAAGACTTCAACACAGATCGAGCGAGGATCAGTACACACCGACGATGACGCGGTCTTCCTGCCAATCCAGAGCACACGCGGCCTCTCGCCGCCTAGAGCAGTCTATCAGAATTCTGGAAGGAACACGAGCCCTCAATTTATCACCGTGACGAAGGACTACAGTGTCACGGTCGAGATGACGCCAGAACACTTAAGCTCTAGCCCGCCAAGGGAGAGCGAAGATATGGGGAGAGGGAGACGCGAGAGCCAAGTCGCGCTGACAAGGTTTTCGGGAATAGAGAAGAGTTCAAGTCAAAAACGTTTCGCATAGCACTATACCCTCATTTTTTAATACCATTTCGTTCATTATCGTTGATAACAAGCAGTCACTGCTACAGCCGAAGAGTGCGTAGTCTTCCTTGTCGCTCCTTCCTGTGGGCTACTCGGATGAGACGTACATCTTATGGCTCACCGCCAGAAGGCTTGGCGTGAATACAAAATTCCCGTGACCATTTGTCCAGGTCCGGGCGAAAGGTCAAGGAAGACTAGCCCCACAGCTGAAGCGGTACGTGCGACCAAACTGGGCTTGGCACATGTTCTAGTTCCTATGATTCTTCGTTCCGCTAGAATCCAGACCATAATGGACGGAAATTTACCTCCAGCCCATGCATGTTCATGTCCTTCTCCAGGAAAAGCCATTGGAAACAGCGCTGCTCCCACGCCCAGATATCCATGACATTCGCATTCTCCGATAAGAAGAATGGGGATTTAGCGACTGTGCACTTCAAATACCAGTTGAGGATGGTCCTTGGTGCCTGGTCGATGTGCCTAGGTGCATTTTTCTTGATGGTTATACGGGTGACCAGTGGAGCAATATCGTCAAACCACTCTCTTGCACATGCACTGAGAAGGATCCTGAAGGCGTGCTGGATCGTGATGTCCGAACATGTTGCTACGGCGGTTAAGCTTGAAAACCGCCGCAGTTGCTTCAACAGCGGAAGGACGTTTGTCTCGATGCTGCTGAAGCCGTAGTCGAAGTTGATGAGCATGCAGCCATGAGAGTCCTCACCATGCGGCTTCACATAAGCTGGGATAAAGGTGTAGGCGTCGAGGAGACGCATAGAGAACATCGTGTATGCCATATAGGTAGGCCGGTACTCGTTGCGGATGACGCGACAAGTTTGCGTAAGACCGAGGAAAAGTGGCTGGCTGCGGGTGGTGCTCTGCTCGCCGACGGGACCCTCCTCACGTGCGAAGTCATAGATGCGGTTACGCAGCTCTAGCCGGGAGAGTTAGCTCACAAGTGACTTTGTACTACGAGGGCGGCTTCTTACCTCCAGGTAGCTGAAGCAAGCGCGATTGCGATGTCGCGTTGCCCGCCATGCTGGGAACTGACCACTGGTGTTTCTCCGACTGTGTTGTTTGGTTGATTGCGCATCTCAGAACTTGAGTGCGGCTGGGGTCGTCGTGCCTGCCTGTTAAACTACTCGCTTAAATGTACGCTAGCCCATATCAAAACATCGACATGAATACAACTTGTTTAACGTACCCGGCAAGCGAGCTGCGCAGGCAAGCGAGCTGCGCACCCCACTCGACTTTCATGCCTCTATAGTGGTATATCTCAACAACACAATAAGATAATGGAATATAATTACTATGCTAAATTAAGTGGCATCTCTAGTGTCCTTCTTACATGTTCGCGAGTTATGGCCAGTCGCCCTACAGCGCCTACAGCGCGCTGAAGCCTGCCGACTTGTACCTGATCGCGCCCTACCTTGACGCGTTTCCCCCTCAAGCTGCTGCTCAACCTCATTTTGAGCTATGATTTCCTCTGCCTCTGCCTTTGATAGGGTGCCTCGCTGCTGGATACGCTTCTTTTTGCGCCTTCTGCGCGTTATAGTAGTCTCATTTGCTTTCTTAAGGCTCTTGATCCGATCGCGCATTAATGCTATTTCGTGCATTGCTATTGTAGAGCCTTTCTCAAGCTGATTAAGTCTCTCAATAATAGATGTAGGTGATGAGCTTCCATGCCTCTGTATCCTATCGCGTATTAATGTTGATTAAGCCTCTAGCTTACGCGCGTTGCTTGGTGTTCGCGCTTCCCAGAGGGTAGTCTCTAGTGCAGGCGGCGTTGGCGTACGAAGCTTCACATTAAGCTTCGCTATCACCC